TAAGATAAGGGATATAAGTAATTTGAAATTCGAATTGTATAGAGATTACCCCCTTAAGAGGATCGACGTGGCCTTAGTTAATGGCAGGCGGTACAAAAGTAGGTAGAGCTTATGATTTTTAGGTTTTATAATTTCTAGTAGTTAGTATATTGCGAATATAGTTTTAATTCTATAAATGTAGAGCGTACTTATACTTAGTATATTATAAAAGCTTAGCGGTTTAATAGAGAGCTTGAAGTTTTTATAAATAACTTGTAAGTGTAAGAAGGGGCTCGACCTTAGAAAGTAAATAGGGGTTAGATATTAAATCGAAGTCTTTTAATATACGTTTAGTAATATTACGAAATATTTAATAGTGTAGAGTATTATAAACTAGATTTATTACGGTTATAGATATTAAGTTATATGATATATACGATATATATACAAATAAATCCAGTCTTTATAGTAATTTAGTATTATCTGGTATAATTAGAGGTGATGAGAGTAAGCTAGTACTGTAGTCATAAAAATGAAATTTAATACAAATATTTCGATTTATATTAAATGTATTAAAACCACTTTTTAATATAGTATTTGCATACTACTATAAATCCTTCTAATATATATATCAATCGATTGCTAGCAATTAGGGTATTTTATATAATAAATTTAATATTATTAGATTTAATATTGTAATTATAGTATTGAAAATACGATTAATATATATATTAATTAACCTTTATTAATTTTACAATCCTATTATTACTAGTATATATAGCGGTTACTCAATATAAAGCTTATCGAACCGATTTATATTACTAAAGTAATTGCCTATATAAAATATAGTTAGAAGGACTTTACTATAGGAATTAGATTTCCTTTTCTAACATTATTATCTACTATATATTGTATACGAAATGGTACCCTTATTATACGCTTAATGTAGAGCTTATCGAATTACGAAATAGTACCTTTATTATATACTCAATGTAAAATTTGTTAAACCTATTTATATACGAGATGGTGCTATTATTATACGTTCAACGTAGAGTTTATCGAAGCGGTTATTTAACGTAGAGTTTATCGAACCTATTTATAAGGAAGATAAAGCTTATCGAACCGATCTATACTACTAATGTAATTGCTTATACAAAATATAGTTAGAAGGACTTTGGCATAGGAATTAAACTTCCCTAATCTATTAGTAAGGCTATTAAATAATTTAGGGAGACTAGTATTAAATATCATTAATAATGTGCGGTCACTTATAATACTATACTCTATATTATAACTTTTACAATTTTACTAAATTAATACAACGGCCATATACGACGAACTAACTCAGCTGGCTTCAATTCCATACGCGTGTTTATATACTACCCAAAGAGGCAAAGACTGTACGATTACGGGACTCAAGAAGCCATACCGTTCTGAGTAGTAGATGTGCGGGGGCTGGAGGTGACTGGGGGTGCGGTACGTATCTTTCTACAAATCCGTTACGCGACACCAAGAGATGTACGCTGACCCAGAAAGGTTCCCCTGTCAGGTCGTACAATCAAACGCTGCACAGGGAGAGAGTGTGACAATGTATTATACGCCACTCGAGAGCTCCGTCCAGAGATGATTAGATTAGGGAATGCTGCATGAGGGGCGGCAGTAAAGAAAAAGAGCTACCACGAAGTGATAACAACTCATAGAATTCAACATAACAGGTCGCCAAGCCAACAGAAACCGACAATGAAAAAAAGTTGAAACCGATAAACCAAAAGCAGAGACGCGTGGTATTTAAGCATCCCGTGTGTTCCCAACAACGCCGTAGATGCATGTCGCAAACATTCTTAAGAGAATGCCATTGATCGAATCAAGTCGCCGACGAGCTGTTGCCGTCCGACTTGTCATCCTTGCCCGAATTTGCTACCTTGCCCCACCACTTGCTCACTTTCCCGGTGAACCAGTCCCAGAAGTTTTGTGTTTTCGAGTCGGAGTTGCCGTCAGATGACTTGTTGCTGTCCTCTCCATTGTCGCCTTCGAGCGGTTGGTCGGTAGGTTGTGGGTTCGGCTGGTTGGTGCTAGGTGTATTCAGGTCGGATGCGGTTGAGGAGGTCTTGGCCGAGGTAACGGCCGAGGTAACGGCCGAGGAAAAAGGATCAGCCGCCGTGGGAGCCGACTGTGCTGGAGTAGTGGTAGACACCGTGGTAGGAATGATAATGGATGAGGTAGTAGAAGCGGTAGTGGATGAGGTTAATGTGTAAGATGTCACAGGGTCTACCGGACTCTCGATCCCGGCTCCGGGCTCATCGCTATGGAGCCCTACCGGTTTCAGTGGAAGACGAAGCGTTCCGTTATTGGGTGCCGGGGAGATGCCGACGGAGTCGCAGAGAATGTTATAGACCTCGATGTTTTCTGGAGCAAAGTCAGTGGATTTTGTTACACAGCCACATCCCGCAATAGACCACATAAAGTGCACTTACGGAAAACTTCGAGCCGGCTGTTCGCCTTGTGAGGGAAAGCCGGACCGCGGGCGATGAATATCGCCCTCATCAAGGGATGCTCGTGATCATAACCGTGTAGACCGCGGGGGTGGTACACGGCTCCCTGCGCCTGCGCCTCCTTCAGATTCATCTCTTTCATGTTGACCAAAGCCCAGCCAGCTTTGGGTACGATCCAAAGAGGGGCGATCCGCTCATTGTTCGAGAAATGATACCTCTCCGGCATGTTGACATCGCGCAGATACACCTCGAGGTTTGGGTTCGTCTTGGTCTTTTCAACCAGGTCGCTGTAAATGTCCTGAAGGTCATCGGGGTGCTTGGGTCTCAGTCCCACCAGCGGCCAGCCGTCTGTGTGCTCGATCTTGCTGAGGTCGACCAAGTCCTCAAGTTGGACAAGCCGGGATATATCAGTAGTTGCCATGCCGTGATCCGAGACCACAATAACGTTGACAATGTCGGTCAAATGCCGCTCCTCGAGCCCCTTGAAGATCTTGTCCATCATCCTGTCCACCTTTTCAATAGTAGATCGAATCTCAGTACTGTTCGGGCCATATTTGTGGCCGTCGGAGTCGACATTTGGTACATAGGCCGCGATGACTTGTGGCCGTTCATCATCCGGCATGTCCAAAAAGCCTAGGATTCGATCGACCTTGTTTCCGAGCTTCTCCTTTCCGTTATATCTGTCCATATAGGTAGGTTCAATGTCCAAAACATGGGCTTCGCTCCCTGGCCACATGTGGATGGCCGTCTTGAGTCCCTGATTTTGAGCCGAGACCCAAAAGGGCTCTCCGCGCCACCACTTCGGATCCAAACTCCGCGCTGGGTCCGTGTAGTAGAACTCTTCTTTGAGTGTGGGATCCCAGAAGGTGTTACCGACAACACCATGGGCCTCGGGATACAGGCCTGTTGCGAGCGTGTAGTGGTTGGGAAACGTGACGCTAGGGAAGGAGGGCAGCATGTACAGTGGCGACACGCCCTCCTTGATGAATGAACTGAGTCTTGGTGTTAGTCCTCGGTTGAGAAAGTCGGCTCTGAATCCATCCAGACTGAAGATGATGGTAGTAGGCGCAAATATGGCAGTGCCATTGCTCACTAGCGGCCGACTCGAAGCGCCATTCCGCCGCTTCGCTTTTAATGACAGCTTCCACGCTGTCAAAAACAGGATGGCAAAGGCGACGATTATCAAGGCGTATATGAGTATCCATCGGCACCAGTCTCGCTTGCGTCTAGCCTTGGCATCCGCAAAATGCAGCAGGCCTCTTCGGTCGACATCGTCGCTGTCTTCGCGGTCGCTGCTGTCGCCCGTGGAACTTCCGTCTTTCATGCCCCCTTCCTCCATCTCGTACATTAATTCGCCATCCTCCCCATGCTGTGCCTCGGCCAGCAATCTGTCCCTCTTAGCCTGTCTCCGTGCTCGCCGCTTATTTCGCTTTTCGGCCACCAGGTCATCCGTTGACGCTCTCGGCGCGCTAGAGGAGCTTCTCGATCGTGACGGCGAAACATCGCTCATGCGGCGCGCAAGCATTCGTAGGGGATTGGGGATTGGCAGGTTAGAGACTGTGCGTTCCAACTCTTGCTTCCGCCGAGTCTCGGTCACCATCTGTTCCAGCTCTTCCTCCTCCATCAAGACGAGGCGGTCATGGGCTAGAAGCTCGCGGCTGTTGCGCGCACGGAGCTGGCGTTCGTCATCTTCGCTGTCGGTGTCCTGTTCGCTCCGGATTGAAATTGCATCGGCATCGTAATCGGAAGGGGAGAGCAGCGATTGCGAGCGGTCTCGGCTAGCCGCAGGGGCTGTCGTCGTGTTCAGCGATCGGAGGGACATGTTCGCATCTCGACGCGGGTTCGCTGGTTCGGGGATCAGGGAGAGGTTTTGGGATTGAATCTCTTATCAGAGATGGAGTTGGGGTAGCATGGTCTATTTGGCCGTTAGACTGCGGATGAAATCATGACTCGAGGTTGTGCTGACATGCTCGTGGTTTTTTCCTCGTTGAAGAGATGCAGCAGGTTGGGGGCAAGGGGGGGCAGAGGGGGGTTTTCCAAAAGGGACGGGAAGTCGGGAACTGTGAACTGGACCCCTGTCAGCAAAAGCCTAGCGCAGAATGGAAATGATGGTCCTCGGATGAACACACGCCGAGGGGTGGCTTGCCCTGGTCCCGTTTTGACCGCTCGGATCCTTGCCGCTCCATCAGCCCCATGTGACGCAGCCCCACAGCGCGCAACGGGTACCTCAACGGCCAGAACCGAGTTCCCGAAAAAGTCCAGATCGAAGCTTCAATACCTTCTATCCATTTCATTTCGCGTTCGAGTTCCCTCAAAACCAAACCAATCCGCGGCTTTGAGTATCCTTAAATTTCAATCATCTCGACGAGAATATTCAATGACAGACGAAGGCCCTTTTTGATGGAAGCTGCGGCAGCCTTGAACCAAGCTTGAAGGTCTCAGCTCACCTGAGAGGACTTATGTCTGCTACCAGTTCACCATCGGTATTCTATACTTGACCGGGCCATCTAAACCTTCTACTCGTCTAACTATCTAGGTTTTGCTGGAGCCGTATCATCCATGTCTGTCCTGGCTAACCCATAGCTGATTGATAGCGAGAAAAGAACCGAGGAAAAATACAACGGGGTCAATCCAAAGGCGAAGTAAGCCAGCCGACTTCAGCACCAGCCATAGTAATAGTTGTCTTCCCACACCGTATCCGTGTGTTTCCCGCCAGCCCACCGCAGAGACGGGATACTGTCGTCAATCCTCTCATCGAACACGACATCGAGATCGTGGGGATGCGCATCACCCACGGCCTTGCAACCCAGCGCCGTCTCCTCATCCGGGTTCCACAACAACACGGTCTCCAGACCCCACGTGGTTGCCTCGACCAGGGCGGCTTCCACAAGGACCCTGATGTCATGAATGCGCTGTTGCTGTGTCGATTCCAGCACTGTGACAATCTTCAGAACCTTGAGCTTCTTCGACTTCCAGTCGTGGTCCCAGTAGATCCATGCGCGTCCGTGACTAGTAATGGCTCCAACATTTTCTGGTGCCTTTCCGTTCAACAGCTTTCCAGCTACGAACTCGGCCCGCGCTACCTGCCACGACATCTGGGCGAAGCTGGGCAAGAATGCGACGTGTCTTTTTCCGTCGGTTGGAAATCGATCGAAGCGAGCGCTGAGATGAAGCTCGTCCACCTCGCAAAGAGTACGCAGTTCTTCGAGGCGCAGGTACCGTATACTGTCGGGCTGAGTGTGTTGTAGGGCGGGTGCCTCGTTGCCACTAGTCGAGGCAGGCGGAATGTAGGTAAGAGTGACTTCCTCGCTGGGGAAAACATGCCAGCCCAGGTTTGAATAGTATTGCCGACCAATGTCGCTGTACAAGACGCTGAGATCGCTGTCACGATCCATGGCCTTTTGCACGTGGCGGAGCAAGGTTGCGGCCATGCCCTGGCGGCGGTAGTCTGGGTTGGTGTACACACTGGCAATGCCATAGCCGTAGCCCTCCCGCGAAACGCCGTTTTCTGAAATCAAGACCTTCTTCCGGGTGGTTTCGCAACTCGCGATGATCTGCCGTGGATATCCCTTCAGGTGCAGTACCCAGTACTTGCAGCTCCCATCCTTGGTAAGCTCCTGTTCCGAAAGGTGGATTTCCCGCGCAACGTAGGTTTCAATGGACATGGGTCGGGCCCAAGCAGCGCCGTTGAGCTTCCATGCCAGCTCTCGTTGCTCTGGTGTCGCCTCGCAAAACTCGGTGTCGGCTGCCGTAATGGCCATTGGTTGTGCCATGATGACTGTGCTGTATGTGCAGCAATCTGCGTAATGGTGAATGTCGGTGGCAGAGAAAGAGCGTCAACGCGGGCTTAGCTTAAGCTTGTTTCGTATGTTGGGGGGTCACAGATGAAGAAAGCAATGTCAGTTGAGAGATGAATGAGGCAGTCTGACGTTTGGAGGTTCAAGGTATATAAAAGCAAGGTTGTTCGGCCCGACAGCTGGTTGAAACAAACATCTCGTACGTTCCCCACGTCGAGTTACTATCAAGGGTGGGGGTGATGATGCTTCCGCAGATCCTCAGAGCCGCGCTGTCAAAGTCACAGAACAGGCTTGTGTCCATGCTGCTTCACCAACCACGGGCACCTCTCCCTTCTTTTGTTTGGCCAGCGTTCTGGCGGCTGTCCCAGCATTTATCACCCGAATACGTGAATAGCGAATTGGGGAACGGGGAACTCATTCGAAAATACGATGGCTATGATGCCACCATGACTTTAATCTCTGTTGCACATGATTTCGAGAATTCATCGGCCGCGAAAACGGATCATTGCGCCTGTTAGTGCAGTGGATCCATCAAAAAGCTTATTGTCGACCTAACCAGCCACAATCCGACCTTGGGTCATCATCCGTCCCATTCACATGCGCATCTGTCATGCGATGGTGTTCAACTTCACCTGCTTCTTTAAGCATCTGCCAAAGAAGGCATCACGTCCCCGAGCCACCATACACCTTTGGGTCCAGGAAAATCAAGGTGAAGAACGGAAAGGTGGACTGACGACTTAGAATTTTGGACAAGATTGGTCCAGCAAGGAACGAACTGAACAGCTGCTTCCCCAAAAGGCCCGAAAGATATCCGGAAACGTGGTGTGCAGTGGTAAGTCTTACGAGGTAACCAGCTTACAACGGAAAAAAAGGAATCTTCACCTGGTATCAGTCAGGTTCAATGCTGACTTCGCGTTTCCGCACCAAGAGTCCATACCACGACGGGACTCATGACGATGAACGCTCCGTACTACCCTCGTTCCATCTCAAGAAATGAACCATGAAAGGATAGAAGAGAATGCAGGGTAACCAAAGGGAAAGAAGTTGGTGATCGCCAGAGTTTGTTTAGGAAGTCAGATCATGAGGAATGTTGCTAGTGGTGTGTACCTTGCTTTGCTCGAAGAAGATCAAGGTTGCGTCGAGACCTTCGATTTAACGATGTTGATGACGGAAGGTGAGTGGTCGAGGCCGCGATAATTTCCACTGCAGTAGCTGACCGTTATCGATAAGACCCACTTACAGGCATGTGCCGGGATAACCCCGCGCTATTTGTGGCTGACACCCTTGCGCCAGGAACCTTGCGAGCTAAGCCACGGAGGCGGAATAATTTGTGGCCGCAACTTTTCGCCTAGCCCTGCCAATTACCGGAGCGCACACAAAAATTGGTCTGGATATCGATGCAAGGTGGATGACTTGGACACTTTGACGGCCTCGTAACCAGCATCAAAGGTACGCATATCGAACCCCCCCGAGCCTCTAGCATATCCCACGGCGTTTTTGGCTTCTCTCCTGAAATTTGCGACAATCCGCACTTTTCCCCCGATTCCCGACTTGTCGCTGACCCAGCAAACCCAACTCAGACCGACAAGAAAAATGGCGGATATCCAGATCGGTTCCAGCGCCTGGCGCCTCGTTGAGGTTGGCCGTGTCCTCAAGCTCGAGGGCGGCAGCCTCGCGACCATCGTCGAGATCGTCGACCACAAGCGCGTATGTTTGAACCGAGCATGGAAACCACCGATTTGAAGACGCGAGGACAGGAAACTAAACGATCATTTTTTCGCGATACACAGGTCCTTGTCGATGGCCCCTCGTCCGACCCCAAGCTCGCTGCCCCCCGCGGCGTCGTTTCCCTCTCCAAGACCCTTCTCACCTCCCTCGTCATCGAGAAGCTTCCCCGTGGTGCCCGCACTGGTGCCGTCAAGAAGGCCTGGGAGGCCGCTGGCATCGATGCCAAGTGGAAGGAGAACAACTGGGCCAAGAAGCAGCTCCAGCAGGAGCGCCGCAAGGCTCTCACCGACTTCGACCGCTTCAAGGTTATGCGCCTCAAGAAGCAGCGCCGCTTCGAGGAGCGCAAGGCTCTCGCCAAGGTCAAGGCCTCTGCTTAAATGATTTGGGACGATTAGATTTGGGAGCGTTTGGTCGGCATGGTTCTTGGGTGGAGGGTTTTTCGAAACGGTCTGCATGAACAACATCAGCATCAGGGTTGCTGGGATACCTGTCTGCGTCGCTCTCGGAAGACCTCTTGTGTCACATCATCAGGGTGGCTCGCGGCGTCATAGGGAAAATGCGAATTAAGCCAAAGATGACCCCAAGGTCTATACCCCCAACAACCACCATTTCTTGGGTTTATCTGAGGTGCTGGAATCAATCAAAGCAAGCTGTGATGAACATATCCGTGCTCCAGACAGGGAAGACCAGATTGTGACCATTGCTCCGGTGACTCGGGATCTGGTGTGAAGTGATGGCATGGCTTGACTCTACGCGTCAACGCGGTTCGGATGGGCGACTCGTGGCAACAGACGCGGATGGGATGGAGAGGCAAGGGGTGTGACTACTTCTTCGGTCACGGTTGGTTCCTCATCGGTTGAGCTCCTGGTTGTGGCACGCTATCCGCATGTGAAGCAGTATGTTGACGTTCTGATATCCACATAAACATAAGTTGAATGCGATGAGACTTGACTTGGTAGCAATCCAACATTGAGACCTTTGCTTACGGGGGAATCACAGTATGAGACAGTCACCAGCAGCGTTCTCTACTAGTACTTCATGGGCCGGTGGCCATTGTCCTGGGACAACTCCGGTGAGAATGGTGAAGGTGGCTCAGCAGTGTGAGCAGTCCAACTTGTACAACACTCTACCTTGTGAGTTGATCTTGAAGATGACCTCACTGGTGATGGCCCCTGCCAAGACAATATTCAGAAGGCGAGTCACGCTCGGTACGTTCATAGCAGGAATGTCCGACATTGATGATTGTTCAGCATAGCTCAACCTTGGACGACAAATCGATGCATAAGCAACTCAAGCAAGAACTCGATGTCATCCGCCTTGCCAAAACATGCAATTCCTATGTGAACAACTTGGGGTCAATGTCGTTGAAGATGAATGTGGACCGTTTTCATCAAGGCCCTCAGTATGCGCATAACGGACTCCACAATCTGGTCGGACAGAAATTGGCTTAACGAGATAGTTAGGGTTACCGAGGGGTATCGGCCAAAGGAGGGACCTGGGCAAGCTGGGCAGTGGCTGCGGTGCCCGGTTGAGCGATCACACACCGGGGCCGGGGCGTGCACGCACTTTTGGTGAATTTTGGATCCCGAACTTTTTCTCTCCCACCACGCCTTGCGACCCCTTCACAACCCCGCATATCACACTTTAGCGGTATTTTCTCAACAATGTGAGTACGACGAGGAGATGCACACTCGTGGTACCCGCCCTTTGCTTGGGGCCGTCGCCCAGGCACGATATTGCCATTTTGCAGCTCGGAATGAGTGCAAAAGGGGACGCATTTGAGCCATGTTGTGTGTGTGCGGTTGTGTGCGGGGCTAGAGAGCTGACCAGTCAATCTGCAACTAGCTATCAAAATGGCCGATCCCAGAGTTGAGGAGCTCCCCGAGGAGGAGGTTAAGAAGACCCAGGTCGAGGATCTCGACAACTCCAGCGATGACGAGTCCGATATCGAGGCTGGCGACTCTAGCCTTCCCGCTGGCTCCCAGGCCGTGATCCACTCCCGCAACGAGAAGAAGGCTCGCAAGGCCATCGAGAAGCTGCACCTCCAGCGCGTGCCCGGCATCACCCGCGTCACCCTCCGCCGCCCCAAGAACGTGAGTTGGGAACATTGGAAAAGCGACTGCTGTCACAGCACTGCTGCCGTCGTGGGCAGACCCGCGATTGGACAGCTTTGTTTCGAAACGCGGAAGCTTGGAGCTCCCTTTTTGGTGGGGAACTACCATAGCTAACAGAGACGACCAGATCCTCTTCGTTATCAACAACCCCGAGGTCTACAAGTCCCCCAACAGCAACACCTACATGTGAGCTTGCCCGTCAGCTCCCGTCGCGGAGCTTCCCCGGTTACCTCGCCGTTCAGATACTAACTCTCAGGACAGCGTCTTCGGTGAGGCTAAGATTGAGGACCTCAACGCCAGCGCCCAGGCCGCCGCTGCCCAGCAGCTCGCCAGCCAGTCCGCTGAGCACGACCACGCCGGCCACACCCACGAGCACGAGGAGGCTGGCGCGGCCAAGGAGGAGGAAGAGGAGGAGGATGGTGAGGAGGTCGACGCCGAGGGTATTGAGGACAAGGACATCGAGCTTGTCATGACCCAGGCCAACGTCTCCCGCAAGAAGGCCATCAAGGCTCTCAAAGAGAACGACAACGATATTGTCAACTCCATCATGGCGTTGAGCATCTAAGTTGTCGTTAGGAGCCGTTGAATGACTTTAAAATATACCTCTTGGCCCACCAACCCCGCCACCATAAGGTTCCCATTTTGTCTTTTTGCCATTGACCGCCGGGCTTCTCATCCTTGACGGCTTAGCGAACCATTGAGTTCGATATGTGTCCATATCATTAGGCCAGCTTCTGTACCTCCTTGACAGCGGTGGATGTAAAAGGTGTCATGGTCCATCAGGTCGTAATTTGAAGTTCCACGGGAAATTGGAAGAGTTTCATTTCGTATGTGTAGATGTCCTCTTGATGAGATGTCGCGGATTTTGATCCATTTTTGGCCGAGATTGTTCGTGAGGAACATTGTAAGGAGTTCCCAACGTGGTGTGCTTTGACTTGAGGCATTCCGGTACCTCCCGTATGGATGAACAAACTGGATGCGCACAGAGACATGGACTCCAGGGCGCGATTTCCGTTTGTTCAGCAGAAGATTGAAATTAGCCACCGGGTGAACAGTTATGACTTCCATTCACTTGACAAATGGTCAATATCATGCATTCGCTCAGAAGACGTAAAGAACATCTCGACCATGACCCGATTGTCCCGCTGGTGGGGTCACGTGACGGGTTCGCGATCGCCCGGCGGGCGGCTCACAGGCCTGCTTCAACTTTGCCGAGTGCAAGCAACGACACTGGCAGCGATTGACCTCCACTCCCTGACCACCTCAGAACCACCGCAAAAATGGCCGCAGTAAGTGCAATCCGTTAGTGGGGAGATTCTGGCCGTGCGACCGTTTGCCATTCATGGGTGGCTCAATTTGGTGGCCGTCAATTGCGCCGTCGAAGCTCTGTCGCCTTGGGTCGTCATGATGCTGCAAAGAACCTGAGCTAATTTTGCCTGTCGTCGAAAAACAGCGGAACGCAGCTCTCAAGGTCGACTGGGCCAAGATCACCACCTCCCTCGGCCTCCGTGGCCAGACCGCGGCCAGCCTCCAGGCTTTCAAGAAGCGCAACGACGACGCCCGCCGCAAGCTCCAGCAGCTCTCCGAGCTCCCCACCACCGTCGACTTCGCCGCCTACCGCAGCATCCTCAAGAACCAGGCCATCGTCAACGAGATCGAGAAGCGCTTCATCTCCTTCAAGCCCGCCACCTATGACGTGAACCGCCAGCTCAAGGCCATCGAGGCCTTCGAGGTTGAGGCCATCAAGAACGCCGAGGCCACCAAGACCAAGGTCGACCTTGAGCTCAAGGATCTCGAGAAGACTCTCAAGAACATCGAGGAGGCCCGTCCCTTCGACGAGCTTACTGTGGTATGTTCTGGGCGTCTAGATGGAACACGAGGACAAGGGCGCATGGAGTGCTGGGACTGGGCCATGATGCTGATCGAGTTTGCGAACAGGACGAGGTTGCCGCTGCCGAGCCTTCCATCGACGAGAAGACTTCCAAGCTCGTCTCCAAGGGCCGCTGGTCCGTTCCTGGCTACAAGGTATGTTTATGCCACAAGGCTGGAACTTGGGTGGTGGATAATGCACAACATACTGACCACGACAACAGGAGCGTTTCGGCGATCTCTCCGTGCTATAAATGGCGACCCCTCAGTCAACGCTTCCTTTTGTTTATGTACTCTAGCATTGTAGATAGCAGGAATGCGCCAAGGAACCACGGATTAATTCGCATGCTCTATCTCTCACACTGATCTGTGATAGCCGTTACAACGCTTTCACCAACCTTTTCTATCTCACTCACATCCATCACGCAGCTAGCTCACTCACTCACACCCCGGACCCGGAGGACTCACCTCACCCTCCTCCCCCCCCTCTTTCCTCCACTCAACCAAGCAACCAAACAAGCCCCCTAACCATCTCCTCCTCCGCCTCCGACGCCCTCTCCAACCCCGGCGCCTTCAACCAAAACGTATGCGGCCACCCCCTCACCACATCGACCCTCACCTCGACCCTGACCTCCTCCAACGCCTTCGCATAGCACACCCCATCCGAGTACAGACTGTCGTTCGTGCACAGCCGGATCCACGTCCTCGGCAGTCTCTTCAGTATTTCCTCTTCTGCCTCGAGCGGCATCCTCTCCAGCCCGTCCCGCGGCAACCGCCCGCTTCATCTGGCCCAACAGCGAGTTCCAGAAGGAAGGATGCCAGGCGCTGGTGTGCAGGTGCCGAAAGTGCAGCGGCACGTAAGGGTCCAGGCCGCTGAAGGCGTCGCTGGTTACGGGACAGCGGAGGAGGACGCCGTGGATGGTGGTGCCAAGGGCAGTGGCGTGTTGGGAGAGGAGGGCGGCGAGTTGTCCGCCGGAGGAACTTCCTGCTAGGATGAGTTTGTGGTTGTTGTTGTTCTTGTTGTCGCTGTGCTGGTGTTGGTGTTGGTTGAGGGATGAAGTTGAGAACGGATAGACAGTCGGAGAGACTGTCTTGAGCGGAGTAAGTGGGCATGAGACGGTAGGTGAGTGAGTAGACGTCTTTGATCAGATGGGATTTGTTGGTGTCGTTGACGTTTTTAGTTGTGGGGACTGATGTCGCCTTCAGAATCCGAAGGCAGGAGAGTTCTTTGCTGTCCGCTTCGCCGACGTATAACCCGCCGCCGTGGATGTAGAGGACTGTGATATCTGGTTGCTTCTGAGCTTGGGAAGGCGGTGCGGCGCTGTCATTTGCCGGGGAAGTGGTAGCATGCTCATAGCGTATTACCGGGATTTGGTAACGGTTTGCTTCATCAACGGATGGCGAGGCGAGCGTCGATGGAACGGTGAACTCGGTCTTGGTCACGTTTAGGGAGAGATGGTCATCACGAGCTCCGGGGGCTAGCATTTTGGCGTTGAGTGAACGGCATTCTGCTGCGTAGGCGGCCTGGTGCTCGGCTATGGGGAGCTCTTGACGGGGTTTGTTGAGGGCGAACTCTTCTTCGAAGGCGAGCCATGCTGGATCTAAAGGGGGAGCAGTCTGGAGGAAGAGGGATTTCATCTTGGTAGTCTGCGGTGTTGAGAGAAGGTAGGTGAGTGTTGTTGACTACTCGTATGAACGGCGTGACCGTGTCTTATATCTCACAAAACCGTGGGGAAAGACGAGTGAAGTTGGTTGTTCAGCTGGTAAGGCAGACACTACCTATTCTGATGTGCTCACATGGTAGGTTATTAAGGGAGTATCTCCCAACTGGAGGCCGTTTTATCCGATTTAACCGTAGGCTAGTCCTATTCGAAATAGGCAAGTTGCTGTGAATGCAAGTTCTCTATCTGTACGGTGTGAGTGTTCATCAACCCGATCTTGTGTGATGCTGAAACTACTGATGAGATACTTCCTTTATTCGACATCTGAAAACACATGAAGAAAGCATATAAGATCCCAAGAAGATCCGTCAAGAGCTCCTTGGTCATTTCAGAGGTTTTGTGATAAGGCCAGACATCGCCTCACACATGGTGAGTGTCCTCTGTTGTCTGTAAATGCACATTTCCTTTGAAGGAAATTGGAGAACTCCAATAACAGAAGTTCACATGCTACCGCATCAACACCTTAGGAAGTTCTATTTACCTCGTTTGTTAACGCGCCGGACCACGTGTCATGTCAGTGAGAAGACTTTTTTTTGGTTCTCTAGTAGTGACACAAGCATCACCAACTTGATGGTTTACCATCTGGAAGACATGTTTCCATCATGAGTTCGCAACGGTAATGGAACTTCATCATCAAACTTCTCAACTTCCATTTTATCACGTTTGTTTATGCATAAAAACTGAACTGCCAGGTTAATGTGGACTCTACCAAGCCAAAGTCTGGAAATATGATTTACCCGTCTCTCGAATATGGCAAAAACCCACAAGGCATTCACAAGCCCAATGCAGGCTGCGTACGATGCCAGGTGCCAGCCACGATTTCTGTCACGATTTCTGTCACAGCTCCTGTCACCGTTCCTGCCATTTCGCTCCTGTCATTGCTCCTGCCGCCGTCGCCCAGCCGGCACAACCTTAGTTCCCCATGGCAGACATCGGACGACAAGACACCCGCCTCCCGCCCCCGCGCCTTCCCAGACTGGACTGGACCTGGCCCAGGCACCAGCGGGCATATAAGGTCCGTTACCTAGTCCCTCTACCACAACGGGGAGCCCTGTGTCTCATGGCGCAGTGGTTACCGTTGATGAATAACTTAGCGTGGCGGTTTTCGTAGGTCTGTAGCTGGGGTATTGTCGTTCGTTCTACAAACCTACCTGGGCGACTTAGCTTTTTGCATTTTTTATTCGATGGGGGGATAGTCGAGGATATGGGAAATGCGGGTTTGGGGTTTCTCCTATCTGTTTTGGGGTTGTTTTCGAGGTGCAAAGATGATGGGTTTGTTTGCGACATGGAGGTGGGAGATGGGATGGATGTTCACGATGTTTGCAAGCACCGACCGACCGACTTTGATCTTGTTTTCAACCTATGCACCTCTATTCTCCTGGTACACCTGACCTTCCAGGTGTCTTGCACCAGCGAGTACACTCAGTCAAGAAAATATACCTACCTCGCTAAGTTCCTGCCCTGCTTTCTACATCCGGTGGCCACTCCGTGGAGGTTCATCGCTGCGGTTGATATTTCCCATCAACGAAGGACTCCTATAGAATCATTGCTCTCCAAGGCTTTACAAGGCTCCCATTGCCCCCATTGCTCGAATTGTTCTCTTTGCTTGTTCATTATCCTCCAAGACTCTCCAAAACTTCCAGGGCTTCCAATGCTTCCAAGGCTCTCTGATACCATATAGCGGGAGGCATTTATAGTCTTAACGGAAGAGAGGCTGCATTACAGGTGACTACCTATTTGTTTTCTAAATTCTTGTGATTGTTATGGTCGTGCAATAGTTATTGATCGGTAGCTACCTGATCAGGTAGCTACCACATAAACCGTGGACATCTGATGTTGAGTACATTCGGTAGAGGTAGACATCCGTCAAGTAGCATAACATGCAACGTAACAAAGTCGTTCAGATGCCTGCGCCGTTTCCAAGCTTATAGCCATCTTGATATACGTACCTCCAGTCTACATACAACGGTACAATTTAATATCTGCAGAGAACGAGCCTGCTCATTCCCGCTAAATGTAACCTTACCAACCAACGGTCGGCCACGTACCACACTCATCTAGAGTACCAGACTTCATCTGAATGCACTGCGCCTTGGAACAACGACAACCTTAATCTTGCTTTCGATCAGGAACCGACGTCGTTCTTGTCAACGGTCCGGTGGTGACGAACCGGATTTTTCTTCCCTTTGACCGTGGGGGTTCGATGATGTTTTGTATTGGACAAAAATTGAAGACTTATGCCTCGTGACAAAGTTGGATATACAGGTATAAAAAGGTTTCTATAGCTGTTACATGGCGTCACCCGACTGGGCAAGAGGTTTTTGATATAAGGTGGTTTTATGCCGGTTGGGATGTGAAATGAAACTTGGATATAATGCTATAATATGCTTCAGTTTTATGGTTGGTTTCTTGGCCTTTTTCTGTTATGATAGCACAGGCTATTATCGTTCGAACTCCGACAGCCTTGGCCCGCACACATCAGATAGACGGGTACAAGATCAAATGAGGTTTCCGTCCGGAACTTGCCATACCGTAGTTGGAACTAAGGGACTTAACAGAACAGGGGTTCCGCCGTCTTCATTAGCCTTGAAGTTGGCGAGATTGACATATAAGACAGCAGTTGAATGATATCACAATAGACGACAACCGGGCACAATTGAGGGTTGAAATGTGGTTGACACAATGATGGTTCAATTTCCTTATCACTATGCCCCATCATACGACATGTATGATGATGTCCTTGGATCTTGGATGGATCCCCCCCCCCCCCCCCCCATTCCACCCATTCCTGTGTGGGTATTTCCCAGTTCCAAGTTCCCCTTTCCGGACCTTCCCTTCCGAAAATTTGACCGGCGTACCGGAGAGAATTGAACGGATGGAGAAAGAAGAAAAATTTGAAGACAGATCCCTAACCCCAACGCCAATGCCACTTCCAATTTGCGAATGTGTGTGTGACAAAATGCTTGCTGGTCCTTGATCGATGCAGAATGGGTTGCTAAGACAGTTTGAAAAAGAATTGGTATCAAGGAGAAAAAAAAAGTAAAAGCAAAAGCCCCTAAAGCGCCGTAGCCATATCCCCGTTCCCAAATATGCAGTGACCGACCGACCGAACCCCGGACCCGACCTACGACCAGGTTTAAAAGATGATGTTTGATGTTGACAAAGGAAAAGAGTGAGGTTGTGTTAACGACAGAAGGTATTATTGTTGTTGTTGTTGTTGTTGTTGTCGAAAAAAAAAGGTACAGGTTAAGGTGAAAACGACAAAAGGGTTGCGTGAGGTAATACAGTCCACCCCTAAGCATGTTGTAAGAGGCTGGATAAGAAGTGAAGTATGAAGTGAAGAACAACACAGCATGGTACGGGATAGAGGGAATGAGTGGTTAAGGAGCGAGAGCTAGAGAGGAAGAGAGGGCGAGATATCAGATCCCAACTTCAATCCATATCAAGATCAAAGCACTCTTCGTCATCAGCCATCGGCACGTCCAACTCAAAGATGACGCCTCTCCTCTTCCAGCCACCTCTCTTGATGAAATCATCGGCGGCACTCAAGCCTCGTGGCCGAGTCATTGCTTCTGAGACCTCCTTTTGAGGACGCTGATGACGAGGCTGTGGTGCCGCTGCTAGGCCGGCACAGTAGTTCGATTCCATTGAGTCGCTGCTGGCGGTGCTGAAGCTGCTGCTGAAGCTGCTGCTGAAGCTGTCGGTGCTCGGCGTGGGAGAAGAAGGCGTTGCCACGCCTGCTGAATGGTGTGCTGGAGCTGATGGTGGTGTTGGCTTATTTTGATCGAAGCCAAAGTCGAAGCCGTGGTAGATGATGGTTGTTGGCGAGGTTGGCGAGGTTGGCTGGTGGGAGTGGTGATGTACACGTGGCGTCGTCGTGTAGTGATGCTGAGTGTGATGTGGCCCGGGCAGACTGCGCGAGGGCCGGACTGGTCGATGGTCAAGCTCGTCCTCAGTGATATTCCCCAGAGATGGCCGATGAGTGAAGGTGAGGTCGGGTGGATGGCACCTCAGGGGGTTGAAATCGAGTTCGACCATCCTCCCGTTGCTGCTGGTGGTGGAGGAGCGGGAATCCATGGATGAAGCGTCGCTTGGGTGTCTGGCGTGCTGGACCTCGCCGGACGAGTGGCCGGACCTGAGACCTTTATGGCTCCGGAAACTTCGGAGCACGTGCATCTTTTGGTTTTGTGTGTGGTGGTGATGATGGCTGGTGGTTATAGGGATGCAGAGCATAGCCTGATGCGGACTTGGGACAAATGGCGAGAGACGAGTTCGTCGTTATTTGCAATGTCGGTAGTGGTGAAGCGACTGAGCTAACCCAGCTACTGGGCGAGCACGGTTGGGAACATGGAGAGGAGGGGGAGCAGCTTTATTTAGGTGGCAGTCCAGGTGTGGTGTAAGCGGGGGAATCCACCGAGATTTAAAGTGGGCAGACTCAGAGAGACGTGTGTGTGTGAAGCTCCAGATTGCTTTGCTTGTGTACCTCCAGGTAGAAAGATTGCCTTGCCAGGTTAACCAGGAACAGGGCTTTTGGATTTCCCTTGGGAGTGAGGGGTGCCACCGTGCCTCTGTAGATCCCGGGCCCCATGACATGGCAAAGTGCTGTCTGTACCTTGCATTTCCGCATGTTCCATTCAGCTGAGCCTGTATCCCAAAGTTAAAGTGGTGTAGGGTACCGTGTTAACATGTGTACACAATTCACCATCACTTTTTCTTCTTATCAAAAAGTCCCAATCAAGCAGTGCACCCCGCGATACGATCCTCTGCTGATACCTTGCTGGCGGCCTTGCACTCCCCATCAGGAAAAGAAGAAAAAAAAAAGCATGTGTTGACAGGGTACGTCATGATCGGGCATGATGCAGTCATAGCGTCCCCTGATCAGTGCAATGTGCCCCCCCTGCTCGTTTCAAATTGCTCACGTTTCTGACGCAAAAGATCAACTGCAACGCTTGCGGGCCGCTCAGTGGATGACAGGACTACCAGGAAGAACGATGATCTGGGGAGAGATGCTACCTGGAAAGGACTATCAGATGTCTGTGATAGTCGAGAATCGAGATAAGTGTTCTTCGCATCTGATGCCTCTGAGGGAAATGTGCACTGTGCATGTTTGTGCCCTTCAGTGAACGATGAAACCTTCACAAGGGAAGAATTCCACTTGGCAGGGCAGCATCAGTATCGGCGAGGTCGGATCTCGCGCTCGGCATGGCCTGAGCCTCGCGACTTACAACCAAGGTCGGTGACATTGAAGACTTTTTTTCTCTATCCGCAGTTCCTTCTTTTTCGCTCCCTTCCAAGCCTTTCTCTCTTCATAAGCCCATCATGACAAATATCCCACCAGTTCATATCCACACACACCACGGCCCAAGACGTCCAAAAGAACATCTCTCCGGCTTGGGTGGCAACTGGCATCCTCAAAAGCTCCATAACACCCCTCGTTTTCGATTCCGTTTGTTGAAGCCAGGCAGCCAATCTCCAAGCTCGAACGCATCGCCATCTGCACGAAATTCTAAGTGTTCGTTCGCCGCTGGGCGATCCGGGACCCGAGTAGCAGGAAAGCAGCAGGCATTTACGGCACCCAATTTGTACCGGGAATGTCCAAGCTCGGCCTGCACGGCATTGCGAAAGCGTGGAAAGCATGGGAAAGCAAAAACTCAAAATCTATTGGCAAGGTCATGCTGCACCTTCTGATTGGTCCGCTAGCAAATTGGAAAGATTCAAGCCAAGCCTTTTGCCAAGGACAGGCAAGACACACAGACACACACAACCTGCAAGGCTGTGATTCCTTGTGATTCCGAGCAGCTTCGGAGTGGGTGTTGTTTGCACGCCATCATCCACAGTGGTGGGTTGTGGTCACTGGTGTGTGTGTGTGTGTGTGATGAGTTGATGACCTGATGACTGAGAAAAATGTGCACTAACCTTCTTGGACTTATAGCCTACCTAGCGTGTGTTAACGTTGCGTGGTGAACTTCTTTGAAGCTGTATGATTATTGACCGGCTATGGCGTCCTCACCATTTCTTATCTTGGACTATAAGACGGCGAACCCCTATGCATGGTGTGCAGAGGTCCGGGGATTCCATGTGCGTGTCGCACAGTCGAACGGTCGCGATCGTAAAAAACCGAAGCAACAAACATATTTTAACCAAACATCTCCTAAGCTTCCCGATCCCGAAAACATGGTCAGCATGGGTTGTTGTTCCCAAGAATCTCCGCCGGCCGGAGGCTTTTTTTCCTCTCAGGTCCAGTGTCTCGCAGGACAGGAGACCGGACAACGTCTCGCTAGACTATTATCTGATCGGGTTAGCACGATCTCATTCAAAGACCCGCAAGTTCAAGAATCGCGGAGACATACTGCGTACAGTATCGATCTCAATTCAGCTTCAGCTTGCTCAGGTACCAGCTCTGAAAACCCCTGCCTCTCACGATCAAAAACCCTCATTTTAACCTTCGGTTTGGCCCCATTTTACGGCTCTACGGAGCCCGCGTAGAGCCCGCAATCTCACCAAAGTGCGTGCTGTAGAGTGCGCCGTGCCTGAAAATCGCCCTTTACTGCAAACGTAAGCTTGCAAAATCATGATCAGTCAATCCATCGATCTATTTCAGTCCGAAAAAGCTTATCGTGATTCCCTGCGAACATCGAAGTGTGTCGTGATTCGTGATTTGGCCTTTCCCGAAATGCGACGATGTGATGCGATGCTCATCCCGATCCCGTCCGGAGTTTATTTGATGTTTTGGTAACCAGTCAAGCTGACTGGATCTGAGTCGGGGACCTGGATGGAGTTTTATCTCACTTTTTGCAAAATTTTGTGTCACGGAGTGTTGTTCTCCGAAAGGTGTTGGTCGTTGTTGTGTTTGGTGTCTCGAACTCCCAACATACAGTACATCTATGCTGTCATAGCTGTGGAGAGAGCACCTCCACTGTTTAGGTTTGTAATGGTGGGGTCTATGTACCTGCGTAAACCTCATCACTGCGTTTGAGGTTCTGCTTGTCTCTGGCAACACCACCATCCTTGAAGGGCACCTTGACATCGTCCGAAGTGATGGGAAAATAGTCAATGCATGTCTAAGCTCCCCCGAAGAAACTGAAGTCTGTGAGTGCCACGAGTCAAGTTTGTAACACATTGCACAAGTTTAGCACAAAAAGGCGTCTCACTTGGCGGGGGGCTGCTATATATGGTGTTAGTGCAGCCACTCTTTGAAAGGGATGGCGCACGCCGCACGTACATTCGTATACCTCTACGTAAGCGTTCAGTACAGCGTATCAAAACTCTCTACGATGGTGGGGAAAAAAGGGTCAAACCATTTTTGACATATTCTTACAGCTTCAGTTCAACCAAAAGTCCGTTCTCAGCCGCGAATCCCGGATTGCGGCGCAAAGAGTTTTCACACAAGGTTCCGTGGTGTCGGCCTCTCGGCTTACATACCAGGGATGACGCCTTCCAGGACGCCGGGACGCCGGGGGCGCCGGGCGCAACGGACCATCGTTGATGATAGCGGACGGACTTTGCCTATTCGGGGATTTCTTGTCGTCAGACAGCGTCTCAGCTTTTCCATCTATTTATTTTCCGTAATGTTCCAGATCGAGATGTTCGTCCTGCTGGTTGTACGCGCTGAGGCGACTTGATAGACGGGATAAAATGTCAAAGGCGTTGATGTACGTCAAAGGTAAACCTCAGCCACCGGATCGGCAGCCAATGGGCTTCCCGAATCCGCATCCTTCCTTTTCAATACAGTACGGGCAAATCGTCCAACTTTTAAGCTTCAGGTGTTGATGATCATGACGCCCATGACGATATGGCAAAGTACGGCTATGCACAGGAGATGAAGTATGTATGGCCCGCGCACGTCAGACATGTGTCAAGTCTCGCTTTATTCTTGGACCTCTTTTCGGCAGGATCTTCTTCTGAAACGAGACCGGATGCGAGATGGGAAAAGTGCATGTTATGCATTACACTACGCAGTCGGTGTCCTTTTGCAGGATTGCCATCTGCAGGGAAAAGCAAAATTCCGACATTCTTTTCTCAAAGGAGCAACGACCGTGCCGCACAAGATGCCTTTTTTGGGGTGCAATGTCCGTCCTATTCGCCATGAGGCAGTTTAGCAAACATTAGAACAAAAGTTGTAGGTCTAGATTTTGTCCTATCCCTCTAGCTGAGAAGAGTTCTCCCTCCCTTTGCTCCCCTTTGGGTCATATATCCAAGCCAATTTGCACAGATATCTGCTGCAGGTGTACCAGTAGCAACCATTTGGTTCCTGAGTCACCCGTCGGTGGCTCAACCGGGGTAAGGTAATTTGTGTGCACCGGCATCATGTCACGCGGCTGACAAGAACGCCGCAAATCCGCTACTAGTTCAGGTACCCGTCACGGCAACCAACCAGTCACATTCCCCATTCCACAAATCCGTGCTATCGGTAGTCAATCTGGTGACCTCCCTCAAGCCTCCCTTGACCGTGCTGCCGCAATATGCCCGGGCGTACCTAGACTGGGCTGAGTGTGCTACCTCGGCCTTACTGAGAGTTCCCAGAACAGAGACAGTTCGCCGCCTTGTCCTATTGAGAGACCTTCTGTACTCCCAAAAAAAGGCGTATTGCTGCGCAAGGATGGTCAGAAACCGAACCCGTATAAGAACTAACAATGCCTCTCAGTCATCTTCTCCCTCCGCAAAAGGACTTGAACGATATACGGCTCAGCCTCGACGCCTTATCGCACTTGAGCCAATCGCAGCAGCCACAGGCCCCTTCCAAGGGCTACGGCCCAATGGATGAATGTCCCTCGACCGTTGCCGAGTACGGAAGTTCAAAGATGTTCGTTTTTCTCTCCCTGTTGATCGTAAAATGCCTTTTATTGCCTGAAACCGACATGACATTCGGGGCGCAACCGGGGGTTGTTGTAGTATTGCCTGCTGTGTGTGTGTGTGTGTGCGTTTGTGTGTGCGCATAACGTCTTCAAAGCAGACCATCGGACTCTCCCTTCAGGCGTTCGACACGCTTCTGTTCCCAGTTGTCGATGTCCTTCGCCGCCAGTCTCTGTAGCTCGTGTGTCAGCAAATCTATGATTAGATATATGCTGGTGCCCCTCCTGGGCCATCAAAACCTAATGTCGACTTACGTAGTACTCTTCGCGGATGTCCACCCTGCGCTTCCTCTGACCCAAACCCAACTCCTCTTCGCGCGACACCTGTCGGACCTTCCGGTCGTATTTCTCGTAGCGAATGGCGGCGGCAGGGGTAAGGACGAAGGAGCCGGCAACAACGACCGACATGAAGGGAAGACCGAAGAGAAGGAAGGGGTGCTTCTTCATCATTGCGCGGTACTTGGCGGCGAAGGTGTTGGTGTTCGCCTTTGAGGGAAACTTCTTGCTCTGGAACGCCATTTTGTCGAAGATACCTTGCGCAGGTCTGTAATCGGTATAAGATAGGGTCGCGCGAAAAGTTGACGGCTAGGTCGATGTTCGAGGTTGGCGGGAACGTCAGTGTCAGGGTCAGAGTTGACGCATCGAAGCATTGACGGATCGATGGCGGGACCGGAGCATGCAAAAGCTCAGGTGGGGCCCGCATGCCAAGAAAACGTGGGTAGCGGATGGGATCATCGTGGAGGGTTAGGGTTCCCCTTATGGCCCCTGATGTCGACGACAAAGACTCGCAAGAGAACCTGAACAGAACTTCAACTCCAATGCTTTGTGAATGAAATTTCTAAAGCCTCTGTTCGCATTTCATGGATTTTGAAAACTGAGAGCATAAGCATACTCCAATAAACAGGATACATTATTGTGAGATAGGTAGTCTACCTAGATGCTATCAAAGAGTATCAGAGACATGGAACTACAAACGACATCTTTCAGAGCCCTAATACGCAAATCCCATGATTGAAGCCCAGTCAACAGGAGCAATAACTTCACCACCACAGAAACCCTCCCATCCAACAACCACCACTTCCACAAAATTCAAAAACTAATAAGCCCCCGTCCTCTTTTCCCACGCTCCCCCATCCACCACTTCCACCTCCTTCCCCCGTCCCGTCCTAACCGGCGTCCCCGCTTCCAACTTCAACCCCGGTACCTTTGCGCCCTTCTCCCCCGTAGCCCAAACCACCACGCCCACCCAATTCTCTCCCTGATAATTCAATATCCCCTCCGGAACGGGGAAACTAGTCTGCGGACCAATGTGGCTTACGTACCGTCCGTATTGAAAGCCGTTGACGTAGAGCCAGACTCTGGATTCTTGTCCTTCTTGAGTAGAAGTGGAGTTGTCAAAGACGAAGCGGAGGGGGATGTCAAATTGGGAGGAAGGGAGGGAGAGGGGGAAGGATGTGGTGTAGAAGGCTACGCCTGGTGAGGAAAGGCCTGTGAAGGGGGTTGAAGAAGAGTTGGAGAAGGAGGAAAGAGGAGGGGAGGGAAGGTGATACCCTTGTCGTTCGATGTAGAGACCGCCTTCGTTTAGAGGACCGCGGGCTTTATCGCGGTATTGTTCGCCGCCTAGGTTGCCGGTGAGTTTCCAGGTGATGTTAGACTTGGGGAGAGTGGTGTTGGTCCCTGAAAGTAAAGAGTAGTCAAGGATGCCCCGCGGAGACTTCATGCTGTCATCGCCGACTGTCCAGTCCTCGTCCAGACCCATGTTGTCGACCAGCACCGTGAGCACGTAATGTTTTCCGGCAATAAGTGGGGAGGGGAGGTCGTACGTGTCATTGTGCTCCGAGGCCGCGCCGCTGCCGGGCCAGCTGCCGACGAACGAGCAGTTGAGCCAGACGGAGGAGCCGAAGGCGCTGCCGCCTATTGTGGAGATGTACAGGTTGGTTTCCGCGCCGGTGGCGGTGAAGTGGCCGCGGAAGAGCAGGGCGCCGGTGTGGAAGCCGTAGTCGGAGGCGTAGAGGGAGACGGGAGTCTTGAGGGGCCCGAAGTAGGTGTTGTTAGTGGATTTCAGGTTGGCAGAGGGCCAGGCTGAGTCGTCGTAGTCGGGCTGGATCTCGGGTAGGGAGTCGATGTAGGACCATTTGGCTGTGGAAAGGTCGGGCAAGGAAAGGGCCGGGACCTTGTAGTCAATCTGGACGATGTAGTTGCCTTCGGAGTCTACTTTGTACTTGGTAGTCTCGCCGTTGATTTGGAGCTTGGAAACACCACGCGGCACGCCGATCACTTCGAATGTGGTTGTGGTGTTGAAGTCAGCTTGGAGTGACAGAGACGTGCCGTCGACAGAAGCTGAGCGGATGAGATATCCGCCATTCACAATCAAGGAGGATGATGTATCGGCGATCTGGGGTGCCCAGTAGTTGTATGCAGAGTTACGATCTGGTCATCTGTTAGCGATGCGACACTTCGAAGTATCGGAGGTTAGGTTTAACCAACCAAGAATGTAGATGTGCAAGTTCCCTGTCTTGAAGATCCTCCTTTCCGAGCTCGTATTCCACTGGACGACGGTGAACGATTTCTTGACATTATCCTTGATCGTTTTGACCTGCACCGACGGGCCTGTCGACGTCCACTTGACTTCATCGGCAATTGCAAGCTCGTGCGTTTCTCCTTCACCACCATACACGACTAACACCGTTCTATCGCTGAACTTCTGCCAAGTAAAGATCTCAGCTGTCGAGTAAATCAATTTGTGGTCGCCGACTGGATAATCCGCGACGTGTATTTTGCTGTCTCGTCTGCTCAGTGTGAGGGAACCGCCAAGAATGGGGATACTCAGGTTTCCAGCTGAGGTTGGCAACGAGAGAGTGTAAGGAGTGGAAGCAAGCGTCTGGTAGTCGGTGTGTCGAACAACGTAGGACGAACCTCTCTCGGGGGTATAGTTGACCAGGGCAGTTATAGTGATGTCTGTGTTGGGGCTGTAGATTCCCGTCTTGTTGCTAATGTCAGGTGTAGCTGTGAGGTATCCGGGTGAAATTTTGAGGAAGTTGGCTTCCAGCTTCAACTCCGAATACTTTTCGCGAGAAACGGTACGGTCCTCGGCTATGGCAGCAGCATAGTCGTATGAGGTGTAGCCTCCCGGATGCCCCAGGTTACCCCAGTTGGTGCCTCCGAAAATCTGTTCTGGTTAGACCTAGAGTTGTGATACGGGTCTTGAGGAGTAGCATACCATATAGAGGTTAAAGATGGTGACGCCAGAAGCAAACATGTTCTTGTAGAAGACACGGACTTGCTCATGGTTAATGAGTTGCCCGCACTGGTCAAAGCCATATCCGCCCCACGGGTCGAAACTGCCGCCCTATTCGAAATTGTTAGTCGTCGTACTGAACAGCATCTAAGACGAGGATTATAGAAAGCTTACTTGGAACTCTGGCACAGCGTACGGAGTAGAAGCACTAAACTTCAGGTGGTTGGCACGATACTGCGTTATCAAGTTGCCCAAAGGCCATGTTGTGGGATTCTTGCAGTCGAAACCCAATGGATAGCCATCGTGCCCTAAGTACATTGTACACAGTAAGCAACGCGTGTTCTCGGAGTCTTTGGAATATCTCACATACCGTAAATATCAACCTCGCCTTTTCCTGAGCCAGGAAGATTGTGACCACTCATCGAAGCATCGTTGCTCATCATAGGGAGAACAATACCGGCATTTCGTGCCTGGTCAATCACATATTGCATGTAATCGGGATCAGGGAATTTGATTCCCGCGGCGGCACTGGTATACTCGTTCTCGGGTTGGTACAGGATGATGGGGCCGCCGTTGGTTATCTGGTATTTGGCTATGAGCTTGTCGATGTTGGCGATGTAGCTTGTCTCTGTCAGTTCAGGTCATGTGTGGAACGCGTTTGAATTTTGGAGCTGTTCACTCACTTATCGGTAGCAGCAAGGTACTCCGGATCTGCAGTCCTTAGGTGTCCCTTGATTCTCTGGAGCCAGCCTGGGAAACCACCGCCGGACGCCTCGGCATCTGTAGGCTTATTAACAAGCTGCAATAAGTGTTGTTCCATATGGGAAAGAACTTACTGATGTAAGGTCCAGGTCTCGCAATTAGGTATATCCCAGCCTCCTTGGCCGCCTCGAAAAAGGCTGAATAGTCAAAGATGCCTTCACCACGAAAGACCCCCTGTTCTCCCTCAAGTAATGCCCAGTCGAGATAGAAGGAGACGGTATTGAGGCCGAGAGCCTTGACCTTCTGGAAGATGTCCAGCCATAGTGACGGAACAGGCAGGCGGAACGGATGAACCTCGCCGCTAAAGATCATCAGTCGCTCGCCATTGATGAAGAGCGACGAGTTGTCGAAGGTGACGATATCCTGAAGAAGTGTCTGAGGCTTCAAGGTCTCGGCATGTCCTAAGCCTGCCGCCACGGACACGGCCGACAGGACGGAGAGCAGCCTCATGATGCAATCCTTTGCTGTGAGATCACAAGGTAGGGTTGGCAAGTCGAAGATGCAGCCACGATGAGATGGAGACGCAGGAACCAGGCATTTGGAAACACCTTGTATCTGTAGTATATTTCGACTCGGTCCATGGTGTCATATAAGAGTAACTCGACTATACCACTTGGCGCAGCTGCTCCTCACCCAGCCTCCCTTTGACTTTCCCCGCGTCTGCTTTTGAGGGCATACCGCATACAATACCCCGAAGTTACCATCGTCATCACCGGTCTGGCCATCGAGGATCCTGCCGCATTCGTGTCCTGGTCTTCTAGTCCCTTGGTTACGCCGTAGCCGAACGGCACCTATCCGTTGTGTTGTTGAGCATTGCGACCCCGCGCCATGTTGTGCACATCGGATGCCGGCTCGATTGTGGTGTTAATGGATGGGAGATGCACGGTAGGCGCAGGAACGAGATAAGATCAGCGGCATTTCAGGTTCGCATGCTGAAGTTTCCAGGTTGGACCGAACCAAATGGGACGGAAGCTGGTGCATGATTCGTGGGGTATTTGACCGTGTATCGGTGCATCTCGAATTCGCTGCGGATGAAGTCATATGAGAAGACGTTGACCGAGAAGAAGAGGCGGCCAATGCTACTGGAAGTTTGGCGCTGGACGGAGAAGGCTATATCGACCCACTTTATGTTTACTGCAAGGCGACGGGAACCGGTGAGGGGAAGGTTAAGAGGGGTTTTCGGGGAAGACGGAACAAGCCGATGGCGGTTATGGTAGGAGCGTGGGATGTTGTTTCTTTTCTTTCTTTCTTTTCATCAATCTATGAGCAGCCATGGATAAGGTATCCGTCTTCCATCCCGTAGAAGCAGGAACGATGTGGAAAGCTTGAGGCATCGCCCAGAGCGGATCAAAGGCGCTGTGGCTGCACGTATGTCAGTGAACACGGTATCACGGGAGATACGAAAGGTTTGGCTGCGTATTTCATGTACTTTTGTTCTTCGCCTGTCTGGATTTCGGAATTGGTGTTTCTCACCAGCACCCCTCCCCCATCAAACCGGAGAGTTTTGATGAGGAGAAGGTGACGGATGATATCGAATCGAAGAAATGTGGTGGAGACTACCCCACGGGGTTAAAGTTCAACCCGGAATAGCTTTGTTCTAATTGGTGCGCATCAAGGCATGTGGGGTTCTTCTCGGTCTGCTCTCTCCCGGTTCCCAGCTTCAACTGTCAAAGGCGGGAAACTAAAGTACTCCACATCCCGCCCATGACATCGCAAGCTTCACATGGAACGTTGCTGAAGTCCATTTTCTTCACGAATCTTCCGGATCAGATGTCTGTTTGGATTTTTGGAGACATGGCCATGTAAGAAGCTTCGGGAGCCTTGGCGAGTTTGAATCAGAGAAAGCTCTCCAAGTTCTGGCGGTGGAATGTTGTGCCAGCCTTGAATGCGCAGGTGTTATTCAAAGTGGAGACTGCGCGGCGGGCACAGTCAGGAACCTAAACTCGATACGGGGTCCAAGTGGATGTCTCTCGACTCCATCGCGACATTGAAGAGCGACATCATTTGGGCGTTTATAACCGTCACGAACCGCCACGGCTGTTTCAAAGCCTGGACTGGGCTGGAACGACCTTGGTTCCTGGCGGCTAGCGCTCAAATTTTATCTTCATCCACATGACCCTCGCCAGATAAACGAAGCCTCGAATCGGAGTTCAGGATAACGCATCCCTCCACAACACTCATGTTAACGCGGGATGGAGGCAGACCGGGAGAGCAGAGAGCGGGCAGCAGGCGGGCAGCAGCTCCCTGTGCCTGATGTGCGTATAAAGAGGGAGTTGCGCCTCTCATCCCGCGCTACCCCACACTCTCTACTCTTCTCTCGAGCTTCAGTTCAGTTGTGACACTTTCTCGACACTCTCTGACAGCTTCAGACACATTCCCCTCGGGTTTATTCTGATTACAATGGCTTCCAACGCTTCCAAGGCCAACATTGGCGTTTTCACCAACCCTCAGCATGATCTGTGGATCAGCGACGCCTCCCCCTCCCTCGAGAGCGTCCAGAAGGGTGAGGAGCTGAAGGAGGGCGAGGTCACTGTTGCCGTCAGGAGCACAGGCATTTGCGGGTAAATACCTTACCAAATCCCTACCAGTTGGTTACTTTGTGGAGAAAAGAGGACAGCAGCTTACAATTTGTGTCTCTTAACCACAGATCCGACGTCCACTTCTGGAAGCATGGTTGCATCGGCCCCATGATCGTCGAATGCGATCACGTCCTGGGCCACGAGTCCGCGGGCGAGGTCATTGCGGTCCATCCCAGCGTCAAGAACATCAAGGTCGGCGACAGGGTCGCCATTGAGCCCCAAGTCATCTGCAACGCCTGCGAGCCCTGCCTGACGGGACGTTACAACGGATGCGAGCGCGTCGACTTCCTCTCTACACCCCCCGTGCCCGGCCTTCTCCGCCGCTACGTTAACCACCCTGCCGTGTGGTGCCACAAGATCGGTAACATGTCCTACGAGAATGGTGCCATGCTCGAGCCCCTTTCCGTGGCGCTGGCCGGTCTTCAGAGAGCCGGTGTTCGTCTGGGCGACCCCGTCCTCATCTGCGGTGCCGGTCCCATTGGTCTGATCACCATGCTCTGCGCCAAGGCCGCCGGTGCCTGCCCTCTTGTCATTACCGACATTGACGAAGGTCGCTTGAAGTTCGCCAAGGAGATCTGCCCCGAGGTCGTCACCCACAAGGTCGAGCGCCTGTCGGCTGAGGAGTCGGCCAAGAAGATCGTGGAGAGCTTTGGTGGAATCGAGCCAGCGGTGGCTCTCGAGTGCACTGGTGTCGAGAGCAGTATCGCGGCTGCTATCTGGGCCGTCAAGTTCGGCGGCAAGGTGTTCGTCATCGGCGTGGGCAGGAACGAGATCCAGATTCCCTTCATGCGCGCCAGTGTGCGCGAGGTCGACCTGCAGTTCCAATACCGCTACTCCAACACTTGGCCCAGAGCCATCCGCCTGGTCGAGAATGGCCTCGTTGACCTCACCAGGCTGGTGACGCACCGTTTCTCGCTGGAGGATGCGCTCAAGGCGTTCGAGACGGCGTCGGATCCCAAGACGGGCGCCATCAAGGTGCAGATCCAGAGTCTGGAGTAATTGGTTGTGGTCGTTTATTATGTGTATAGAAGAAAAGGGTTCATGGGTTTGGCGTTTAGCGTTATTGTCGAATCGACTTTTGGATTGCAATTGAGTTTACGTCTTGCATCGCGTCGGTCATTGTGATTTGAATTGGAGATGTCAATGTGAACGTTTTGATCCCCTTCTGCAATGCAAGTCTTCAGTTGACTGCCAAGTCGAGATGGCATATGCCGATACTGCATTTCGTGTTATCGATAAGAGAAAAGACGAGATGAATTTCCGGGCCATCCTTCAATGAAGTCATGGCGCCTAGGGCTCCCCTGTTTATGCACCATCTGCCCCTGGCGGACTTTCTGTAGCTAACCCTTACCCTAACCCGACAAATTGGGCGCCGTCTTGGCCTCACTGGCTTACCGAAACTTGCCTTGGCAGATCTTCCGACCTTCATCCAATTTTTCCCGACCCGCAATTCCCGCTCGCCCTTGGCTGTGTGCAGGTTTGCGCAATATCCCTCTACAACGAGCACGGAACCAAGCCGGACACCCCGACCACACTCCGTGCGCCTCACTCTCTCCACTCCCCTGCACAGGCAAAGGCTTCACTTCCTCCTCCGACATCACCACATCCTTTCTCCGGCCCCTTCCTCCCCCGCACCGCCAGCGACCCCGACCGCCCGGCCCCCCTTCTACCGAACAATTCGCCAGTCGTCTTCTCCATCCGATCCGCAAACATGTCATTCGCCCTTGTTTCCCGGCGCTCGGCCCTCACCTTCGGCCGCCGCGCGGTCCGCTTCGAGTCTACCTCCTCCCAGAAGGCTACCGAGGCCGCCAAGAAGACTGCTGCTAAGGCCTCCGAGCTCTCGACCAAGGCTTCCGAGGGCCTCTCCCGCGTCAGCTCCGCCGCCGGCCCTGCCCTCGCCAAATACGCCAAGAGCCTCTCCAGCACCCTCGGCCGCGTCGGTGGCCGCACCGGCAAGCTGATTGCCTTCGTCGAGCGTACGGCCCCATCCCGCGTCCCCTCCCGCGTCACCCCGTCCGGGTGACACCGTCCAATGGCACATCAATGGCTGACCTCCCTACCCCCCAACAACAGGCCAGACCCCCTTCGTCATCTACTACAGCAAGGTCGCTGCTGAGCTTGGCCGCATTGTCTTCAGGGGCCAGAGCATGACTCCTCCGTATGTTTTCCCCCGATGCTCCTCGTCTACCTATGCTTGGAAACCTTGAGGTTATTGACATGCCTCTTCATCATAGCTCCGTCTCTACCTTCCAGACCTACTTCCAGAACTTCGTGAAGTCCGTCAAGTCCGGCTCTTTCTTCTCCAAGGCCGGTGCTCCCCTCCAGAACGTCCGCAACATCTCCAGGACACAGGTCGCCGCTGCTGGTGTTCTCCTCGCTGAGTGCCTCGGCTTCTTCACCATTGGCGAGATGATCGGCCGTCTCAAGCTCATCGGCTACCACGGCGAGACCCACGCCGCCGCCCACTAAACGGACTTCCACCTTCCTCGATCATTAACTACCACCGCTTAATGAACGTCAACCAGAGAGACTAGAGTGTTGGGCCGAACCTCAGTCACCAATGGCCCGCGCGCGAGAAATGGGAAAGAGGCCTTACTTGATATCCGACAGCAAAGAGTTGTGTGTGCAGGTGTGTGCGCGTGTGCGAAACGTGTGCGTGTGTACATGTGCGTGTGTGTCAGAAGAGTGGGTGAAAAAAGGGAATCCAGTTTTGGGGGGACGGACGGGACAGAATACCGCGCGAACAGAGAGACGAGAACGGGAAATGATTTCATGGAATAGAATCATAAGGCGTAACGGGGATCACTTGTTTTTTTCTTGCTCGTTTAGATTTTTGGCCCGACTTCTTTCTCTGCCGTTCTATCCCTCTCGCATCCTCCCCCTTTCTTCCTTGGTTCGGCTCTCCCTCTCTCTTTCACCAAACTCACCAAATACGTTTCTAAACTCACGCAAGTAACCGCGCAGCAGCCAAACGTTGGGTGTGAGAGCTGTGGACAGCCGGAAATCGTCTTTGGAAGCCGACCCCGGCAATGCAACAGATCTCCTACTCAAGTAGCGCAGAAGTTGCATGCTTCAGCCTACGGAGTTGGAATTTAGAGAGTTCGTTCGCAAAGGAAGGAAGAGAGGCAGGAGAGCGAGAAGACCATCCCAGAATTCCCAGGAAGATGCGAAGGCATTACAACCTCTCTTCCAATGCGGCTCATCTCGTCTCTTTGTCAGCCCATTTCCCTCCAGCTGGAATCCTTTATCACTTACCAATTCTATTTTCCCCCATTGTATATTTGTCCCAGGAGCTTGGCTTGGTCCCCAGCCGGTTTGTTAACTTCCTTTTTCTTTTTACCTTCTGTCGATTGTATAACATAAGCTTCCTAGACATTTAGCCGCTATTACGCGAAGAGAAGAGAGTAGAGACGGAGAGGTCACAAAAGGAGGTTGAATTGAAAAAGATGAGATGAAACCGAACCCCTTTTGCACACCAGCAACCTACACGTGTGGCCATGTTGTCTCTTTCTTGTGGTTCATTCACTCATTCATCAAAACTCACTTCGTTCGGTTCCAGTTCAGTTCGGTTCAGAAGCTCCGGTCGGTCGACCCGGGTCGGTCGATATGGCCGGCCTTGGGGTTTCCCCATGTTCGAGTCCCCATGGACCATGGTGACCATGGTCTCCGACCCTACTACCCCAGACCGCCTCTTTCGTTGACTCTGTTGGCCTTAATTTTCGACCTCATCACATCACCATCGCGACTCTGCCATGCAAGTGCTTTTCATCACGCCCGCTGCCCAACGCCACGACAGCAACAACTCCCACCTCTCCATGCCCATGTCCATCACCGTACCCAAGGTATCGTTCTCAACTTTCTTGACCCTCCTTGACCAGTTTTCGAAACGAGACTGTCGATGTGGCCAGGTGGCTGCGCGGTGTCTCACATACACCCCTGATCCCCTGATGATTGTATGATTGATGATGATTCGTATTGAAGGCTGGTCGGTCGGTCGGTCGGTCGATTTTGTGCGGCCCGCGGGTGGTGACTGAAACTTTTGTCATTGCTCCATTCCACAGCTTTTTCCCCGGCCCTTCTTTACTGAACCGCTGAAGCCGAACCAGCGTTTTCCAGAAGCAGAATTTGTCCGTCTGTCTGTCTGCCCGTCGACGTGGCTGTGGCTCGTTTCCACCTCGCTTCGTACACGATTGAACTGAACCAGGCCGGCTGCCTCCGGCCGGTTCAGCCGACCTACCGACCTACCGACCGTCCGACCGTCCGACCGTCCCGTTCTGCTGTGAGTGATTGATGCGCTGTCCGGTCCTCTAGCCTTGATCCCCATCATCCCCCCTTGAATCTTCTGTTTCACCGGGGAGGCCAAGTCGGTCATCTATCTATCCCTTCGGTTGATCCGGTTCGGCTCGGTTCGGTCCACAGCTTTCCTTTCGATTTTTCATGATACATCAATCACTCCATTTCCATCCCCTTGGTGTAAACGTGTCACAGGTCCTATGGACGGGTCGCCCAGCTAAGCTGTTTCGAAGAGGTGAAGAGAGGGGTGAGCTGCCTTGCATTTGTATGCGCGAGGAATCACATACATCGACGTGTCATGAAAGCTACTGAGTGAGCGAAAGAAGTGAGAGTAATGTTCATGATCCATGCCGAGATGGTCAGGGGTGGGTGGTTCTCAGTTACCTACCTGTTGAATTAAGTTTGAAGCTCTCAGGTTGAGGCTGGAATTTGGAGGCTCATCACTCACATGAGGCAGGTTGGATGGATGGACGGACGTACAGAGGCAAGTAAAGTGAGTTAGTTATGTACCATTATGATATTTACGTGCTATGTTGGTAATCGTCGTAGAACAAAGTAAGTAACCACAGGAAAGGGAGGCTGGATAAAAGAGTGAACATATGGACTGGATGTGGTGAGAGTTGCCTCTCCTGCTGCTGAGACGACTGCGAGTGAGTGATTGACGAGTAGTGTAAGTTCTATCTGAGTTGGGCATGTGTAGTGAATGGATGGATACGGCCCCCGCGGCGGTGACAAATTCCACGGGCCGACCGATACTCGGCCGGCGGCCGGGGAACAATGTTCGGCGATGTCTCATTCTTTCTTGCCGGCCATGGCACTATTACTTGCTTGGTTACATCCCGAGCTAGGTGAATTAGGTTGGTTGAGGTGGTTGCCCATTACGGTCGTTCTTTCCCTGCCCGGTCCAGCCAAGGGAAATCTGAAACTGCATCTGCAGTAGTCTAAGTAGGTACTTAGCCAGGTGAGTGACGACGGATGTGACCGAGCCCAACTCATACATACAAGTAAAGTAAGATACCGTTACGTTTCATGCCTTCCCATCAACCCCGTACGTACGGTAAGTTCCTTTCAAGTTCTCTGCCCGGCCAGGCAGGTAGTATCAAGACAGTTTATTACACTTCAAACATCAACTGTATCAACAGCAAAGCCAGCGAAGCAAAAGTAAGTTTCGCAACAGCACCATTTGTAAGCATCCACATCGCTGTGTGGGAAGCCGCGGCAGTTAAGCCGTGTGGTTGATCGATCGGTCAAGTGCCTCTTAAGGTAGGTTGGTCGGCGAACATTTTTTTGACAAGGCCGCAAGAACCGCCGCAAGGCCAGAACCTCGACAACGCAACGTACAACACACGTGTTCGGACTTTCTAGTCCGATGCTGCTGCTGTGCTGCTTTTGGTAGTGTACTTTCAGTTAGTATTCCACGTTCGGCAATGCCGACGTCTAAAGAAGGGTAGCCACGCTTCTGGCAAGGTTTCCGCTCCTTGGTCATGGTTTTCTTCCTTGTTCAAGGCTCCGTTAGTTGTTGTTCAGGGTTTCACATGCTAGTGTAAATGCGAATTATTGGCTTGGGACAGGCTCAGCAGGGCAGACATGCTCCTTCCTGTGGCTTCCATTTGATCGTCAACCTCGCCGGCTTGCGGGAGTGGCTCTTGGTTCTAAAAGAGTGAAACTCACTTAACTAGTGCCCGCCGGAGGTAGGGGGGCCTGGTAGGGAGCGTGGCTCGAGCCTGGCTAACTAGTTAGCCTACGCCAATGGAAGGAAGACAACGCCAATAGAAGACTTACAAGTTCATAGTCCGAGATTGATATCCCCTGGTGCCATGATTATGGTCGTAAGTAGTCCGAGGTTAGAAGAGACTAGTGGTGTAGAGTTAAGGTAGCCCTTGCCCATAACCTTGATACTTCTTAGGCTTGGATGGTCGGGTCGTTCCAAAGAAAGTTAGCCTTGCCGTCGGGACACAGGGGAGCCACAATCCGAATCCTGCAGATCTCTCTTGGCCTTGGAGGAAGAGGCTGTGTGTTGATGGAAGCTTGTCTGGTTTAGGGAGTGATAGCGAGTGAAGTAACGGATATGGATGAATGGTCCTAGGTAGAGTGACATGAGAACATAGAAGTACCGGTACAAGCACAAAGGCATTTCTGTTACGGTTAACTTTCGGCTCAGTCCACAGTAGGCATACAACGTACATGCTGGCTAAGTCCCATGATCGTTAGACTCAAGCGCGCAAAAGAGGCGCGGAAAAGGTTGAACTGGGTATGGTGTTGATTTAGTGTATAGACGGAAACCCCGGTCGTTCGGCAGCGCCGGACAAGGGTCCCGGGTCCCGGAAATGGTTGTATTGCGTCGTCGTATTCTGCCCAGGCCGGCTGCGGGTTGGATGATGCCGGGCGGGTGGCCGGGTGGGCGGTCGGACTACTCACCGGGTAAGTATGTGTCCCTTCAGTTCCATAGCCAGTTCCGGAAGGTTATTTCATGCCGGTCTCATTGGGGCTGTCATGGTAAAAGATGAAGCCTGGAGTATCTGGAATTATTGAGCTGGTTGGAATTTGGGTTGACCTTGTTCAGTTGTGATTCCGTGAGTTAACCACTGTCGAGATCGAAGCTCATGGCCGGTATCAGTCTCCAGTAAGTGGAACCTTCCACCCAATGTTCTTTCCCCTTTTGTTTCATTTGCGCACATAACACAGAGAAAGAAGTGGAAGGCAGGGATGTAGTTCATGATCTCCAGTGCGCCTTCCCAAGACACTCTCTTCAAAGGATATCCACTTGTAAAGATCCAACATCCAATAATAGAAGGTGCAACTTAGAATTCGATACTTCTTTCCTTCATGCAACTGAACTCAAAGTGCAAGGCAAACACTCAGAGACAATTGCAGAAAGAGCAAACTGCCTTGCACGAAAAAAATTCCCAGCCGACAGCCCGTTGCGATGTCGTGAAACCCCACACAGGTTACTCATGTGCATCGTTCGGGTATTGCAAGCGTTGCTTGAGTGACCCTTTAATCACTCTGCTGGGTCAGATGAAAAATTCTATCCCTGACTAAAGGCGAACAAGCTGCAACCAAAAAACCGATGGAGAGTGAGGGTTGTTAAACTTTTTGAGTGACTAAAAAAAGCAATAAGTGGGGGTCAACGACAAGGCGGCCGTGGGAGTCAGAGAGAGAGAGACAGTGACAAATATGTTGAAAACACTTGTGTATGATGAGGAAATGAGAACCCGTATATACAATTTTGACTTCAGTTTCGATGGTGTTAGAGGGATATCTGACAAGTGTGTGGGGTGAGGAAAGCATAGTGGCCAGTACCAAGAAAGGAGAAACCCAACAATGACTTCCCTTAACGCCGTCGACACGAACTCCGCTGCTGTTGAAACCATTGTATGTACCATTGCATAAAACGCAAAAAGATGATAGTGTGTTGAACCGAACCCACCAAAGTGGCTTCATGCTGGTCTCCTCGCCGTGAAAATGTGCCTATCAGAGTTAGCCAATTTGAGTAACGGAATTGTGCCTTTTACTAACGGCAGCTTGCAGGCTCGTCGGTACTCACAGTGTGCAATACGCGCGTATTTTCCGCGACCGAATCTCCTCCTTCACGCGGCTGATGAGATCCCTCGCCTCGTCTGGGGTATAACCGAGAATCCGGGTGAAGGGGGCCAAGGTAAGAGCTTCTAGTCCTTGGGTGAGACCAAGGTTGAACCATCGCCCAATCTCGCGGTCATGAGCATCCTCTGGCCATCCATTGATAGGAACCTTGATAATCTGCTCGTGAGGATCCACCAGGCCAGCCTGTGTCATTTGCTGCTGGATGCGATGGCTGTCCAGTCTCATTGGACGCCCAGCTCTATCCATTGCCTCCATCAGCGCTTCGGCCCATCGTGAGAAATAAGAATCCGGTGGCAGACTCCTATCGTCGCTGCGCGGGACCCAATCGATTTCCACCTGCTCAACAAATCCGTAATGGGGCTTCAGGTGTCTGTAAACTGGTCAGAAGAGTAAATCCAGCTGTAAAGATACTTGTAGAACTTACTTGTATATCTGGTCATACACAAAAGGCCAGTCGGAGATGCTACCATTCAATGTACGTAGGTGAATAAGGTCATAAGCACATCCGCTCAGTTCCAGCCACGGCTCTTCAATATCCATAGGTTTGAATACGAGATTGCGCGGGATACTAAATAAGGGAAAAAATTAGCGCCAGTTTTTTTGAGCAAGCAAAGCCCAACGTTGTTACCTACAATTCTGGCTGGATAAGAGCAAGATCCGCACCAGTGACTTGACCAAGCTCTGGATATTTGCTGTGAGACGCTACAAGTTAGAACAGTGCACAGTCAATGTAGTCTCATTGTAGTCATTTACTTACTCTTGCATATCAATTGCCCATATTCCGGTTCCACATCCCAGGTCGAGGATCCGCGGACTTTCCTGATTTGGGAACGGTGCTGAGAAGAGTTGCTGGTTGCGAGCGAGCAAAAAGAAATGATGAAACATGTCGAGTCTGTCTTTCTCCAGCTGCATGTTATTATGTCAGTATTGTGTCAACACCATTCATATTGTCGTTCCAGCTGTTGAACACGTGGAAAACACACCTCATCGATAGGGAGCATGTATTGCCCTTTCTTATAATCCCCATAGAATCGTCCATTTTCCATATACCCAGGGACTAGATTGGGTCCCCTATTGCGAAGCAACAAGGTTAGCTTTTCTGTAGAACAGGTATAGCGGTATTCAGTTGAAAGTAAGAAGAAATGAAGATCTTACCCGGGCCCATGATGACCTTCCATTGCTCTGTCAGACGGATAACTGTCCTGGTTTGGAGATCCGTAGGTATGAGAGGCAGGCATGAATGGCAAGTCGAACTGTACGTTCTCTTGTATGTAGCAGGGCAGGATGACCCGTCAGGAAGTGTTGTTCCTTTGAAGACGAGAGACCGTGAAGAGGTGTGGTGTTTGACTATCTGCTGCTGAGTGGTCAGACAACGAATACAAATAGTTCGACCTTGAGAGGGAACACGGACAGACAGGACAAGACAGGATAGAGCAGAACAAGAAAGGAGCCTCGCAACTAAAACAAGGCCTTGATTGCGACTTATAAGAAGTAACCCGGAAAGTGCAGAGGGTAGCACAACTAGAGGAGCGAGCGGGTCTGATGACAGGGCTGAGAGGGAACCGGGTCTATGTCAAGTTGACCTGTCTGATGGAATCATGAATGGCTGGACAACAGATGGAAGTCGAAAGCTGAGCAGTTAAGTACTGCACCTGCTTTGTACCCTACCGACCAATGGGCGGTATGTGACCGTAGGGTTGACAAGGTATGTCCCGAGTGATGAGGGCAGGCTGGCCACCGAGAATCATGGTCCAAACATACGGATCGTTGGGAACCCTTCAACCATGGGTAGGTAACATAGTCGCAAAAGAGCCACTTGGTCCATCCTCAGGCTAGCGCTGCTGTGTTATGTATGGCAGGGCAAGGCAGGGAAAGGTAGGGTCGGGGATCCCAGGTCCCAGACCCGGGTAGGTGGACAGAGGGGGGATGGCCTGCAGTGGTCTCGGATAAAGACGAGAAAAAATGGGTCAGGGGTTACAAAAACAAAACAATGGAGAGATTGGAAGGGCATGAGGGGACGGACACGTGCGAGGGCCAAGGAGACGACAAAAGTGACTGGATCGGGACCGACAGAACGAGAAAAGCACACTTACTTGTCCTGGGGTGCTAATTAGTGAGATGAGAAGAGAGATGAGGCCGCCTGAAGTGTTGAGAGGGAGAGCAAAAAAGAAGAGAAGGGGGGACGTGCGGTTGGCGGCAGAGCAAAGATGACGGCCGAGGTATGATGAGGTAGTTAAATGATGCAGGATAAGCCAACGGACAGGCTGAGTTTGGATGGCAATTTGAGATTTCCAGTTTTTTGGCTGAGGTGCTTTTGTCGCTTGATGCGCTGCCCTGCGTTCTGCGTTGGGGACAGAATTGGCGGTTGAGGTGTAATGCAATGTATATGTAGAGGTACGTGCAGGGCCAAATTACACAGTACATGCGCGGTACCGTGACAGGCCGTACGCGACCGAACCGTAAGTAACTGTAACGTATGTACACGCTCAGTACATCAAACACGCCGTTAGGGCCCAGGGCGTCTCTTGGGTCTTTGGGGTTCGCCAGGCGTGCCAGGTAAAGTAGGGAGCCAACGGCTCTTGGACCCAAGAAAAAGAAAGGAGCAAAACGCAGACAGGGGAAAAGAGGCGCCTGCTGAGACCGTTGTTGGCCGCGTCGTCGACTTCGATGTCGCAACGATCCTATGCAGGTCTGACAGGGGCCTCTCGTTTTTCTGGCTTTCTAGCGCAAGCCAGCAGCGGCAGCGTAGCGTTGACGGGCGCCAGAATTTGTATCGTGTCGTGGTACGTAGCCACGGTAGGGTGGCTAGAAATCCAAAACCGAGCGGAGCTCCCGCGGAGGCGTGGACCTCTCTGCTTTTTAAAGGGTGGACCTAGAGGTATGGTTCGCAGCGTTGCCGGACCCTATGATGATCACCTCTTCTCCATTGACCATGAACTTCAAAAGTCAAGCTTCACAAAGGCAACCACGCCATGCCAAGGCCTCCCGCCTAGGTCGAACAACCGACAGCAAAACGAAACAGCCAACAGCGCAATGGTTTTCGGGTAGCTTTGCCGGTCGCCTATCTTCTGACCCGGTGCGCCGCGGAGCAAATCTGAGAAGAAAAAGAGTCTTTGTTGCTCAGATGTTATCCAAAGCACTCATTGACCTTGTTGGGCGATGACGAGTGTATATTCGGCACTGGCGTACAGTAGCTGAAGTGGATGGTCGGTTGGGGCCGATGCGCTGGCACGCTCTCGGTCCTCGGAGCTCTCTCCTGTCGACAATACGGACGTCTCATAGGCCAGCGGGCGGGGAGCGAAGGGATCAAGGTCGTTGGGAGACAGCATGGAACATGATCGAGGATCTTGGTCGCCAACCCCAGATGCCTTGTGAAGACGACGACGGCACCGTGCCGACCGCGCGAGCTAAGGGAAAGCCTTCCGAGGAGAAGTGCGGTAGCTCTTGGAGGATGCCGGCTAGCCTCGCAAGCTATCACTTTGGTCGAGTGGTTGGGAATTGGGGGACAGGGCTTGTCCGTCGTTGGTCGGTGGCCGCCCTGGTCGGTGGCCTGGCGCCGGCGGGCTAGGACGGCAATGGCCCAGCGAGTGCGTGCCCGTATTTTCGGGGGGTGATGTGGGCGATGTGGGCGATGTGGGACGGGAGAGATGGGCCTCCGAAATGGGCCACGGTGATGGGGACGCTTGGGACGACGTTTGGGACGCTGCGAGACACCCGGCTTGATGCTTTCCAGGAAGGGAAGAAGAAGAAACGTTACGACGGTGTGGGGTTGTGGATTCCCTTCGTTAAATGTAAAAATCCTCGTCCTAGCACGTACCCGGCCGCACCCTTACCCTTTCTCCCACGAGAGCCAGAATGGGGAGGCACGATACGACGGTAATTGGATATCATAATATCTTTGTTCCTTATTAAAGATGTTAATGCAATTCAGCACGCTGCAGGAGTGTGCAGCAGAGACAGACACTGGTGTGCATCAGAGTGCAGAAGAAAGTCAGCCAAGAAGCACGATACATATTTTCTATTGATTCGGCAGTAACAGTTCCCATCGGACGACAACCAAACATTAAACTCGGGGGGCATGTGCGTGTGAGGTGGCATTCATTGGAGTGTTGGACAGTGCGTTAGGAAATTGGAATGAGTGCAACTTGATGTCGGAGTCTTCGCTCCTCCCTTCTACGGTAGCAAGGTCGTTTCCATTTGCTCGCCGAAAAAGGAACACGACAGAAGCTGACACGGCACCTCACATTGTTTGAATAGGTTGGAGATGGTCCCGGCACTCTGGGCTGGACGCCCTCATTTCCCGTCTGTCATGTACTTGGCTTATTAGCTGTCGTGGTGTGATGCTCGCTGATATATACATACCTTAGGATGTCGTGTACGAGTGATGCACTGTAATGACGGGGTGCCTAGGGGATCTTGTGGCGGCAGGACTCGGGTAAGGTAACGTAGCGTATCAGCGGTACATGTTTTGTTACCCACCCTATTCGTTAGCTCCCGCTCGACTCCTTGCCCCCTGCTCCCGTCCACCCTCTCGCCAGGGCCGGTTCAGGGGGTGCCTGCCCAGTGAGATGCCAGTGCCATTGCCAGATGCAATGTCGTTCCGACTCCGAAGGCAGGAGCGCTCAGGCCAAAACAAATTCAAGCAGCAACGAAATGTTTCCTGATTCCGCCAATGTCCCGTCGCGTCAAAGGCAGTTGCCCAGGGGAAGGAGTCATGGGCTTTTCTGTACAGCCGGGCAGTCACCGACAGGAATCGAGTTTCATCAATCCCGCGGCCGTCGGTTGGAGAAATCGAGCACTCCAACTTGTTCGCTTCTTCACCCCGTCTTCTTTTGACCACGGTGCCGCTAGAGGTGCAGTGCTGGCTACGGTACTATCAATCATTTCATTTTCCTTGGCCATTGGAAATTAATCACGCTTTCATTTCGACCAACCAACGGCGTCCAATTCCAGCAAATATAGCGTCCTGCACGACCAACAAAATCTCGCACCCACAACAAATCCGCGAGCGACTTCAAATCTGACTGGCCTCTTATCCGCGTGTCGCGTGTCGCTGGAGACTATCGGGATCGCCAAGTATCATTAACGCCGTCCTATCCTATCGCGTCTCGCCGCATCCAACAAGTGACCGTTCAGCTGGGTATCGGTAGCCTCCGGTGTCCGCATTTTCCCCTTTACAGCGCTGTAGCATGGAGGCTCTCTGATTTCCGACTCATCGTCCGCATCACTGGTATGGATCCATCCATTGCCTTGCTGACTGTGCCGGATCTCGCAACTCCTTCGAGTACACTTCGAGCCTTTCGAGCCCTTCAAGCCCTTCAAACCGCCAACTTCCAAAGACCTCTGCTTAGTACACAGTTTTTTGCGCTTCCGGTGGCTGGGGAAGTCCGACATCAGTGATCCAACTGCATCCCAATCACCATGGCCAGCAGCTCCATTCTCAAAGACAACACAACATGCTTTGTCTCCCACATCGGCAACCCACCATCACATTTCACCCACCCGGTTTGGCAAGCCAACGGACATTGACCAACGCTAACGAAACGCAAAAAGAAATACGTACTGGACGCCCTTGCGCCCCTAATAACCGCATGGCACTGCACGACGGTGCAGCGAACTTTTGAGCAATATCACCCTGGGTGATGGGTGGTTGTGCTGCTTGCGGTGGCGTTAGGTAACCCTACAGATTCAGCACATGGGCCCTTGCAAGGAGCTAACTCAGGCAAGCCAGTTCCAAACTGTCGGGTCCGAGTATCACACGCGGGCGCGCACACACGCCCCTCAGATTGAGCTGAACCTTTTCAGATAAGCACGGACAAGACGCCATACCATGAAGAGCATACACATCAGCCCCGGCCATTATAAGAACCATTAAGCGGATTTCTTGTCCAAAGAGGAAGGGGAATGCCGCCAACGTGCAGCGTTGCATCCTTCTCGCCTCGTTTTCCTGCCTTTCTTCAAAGGACTTTGAGCCAGCTCACGCACCTGACCCCCGTCCCGGGGACTCTACGACTCGTGGATCCATACTCGATCCCTACAAACCGATTCCTACCAGGCAGGCCGGTGAAGAGCGGTCGTCTGGGCACCGTGTCACCGTCAAGTCCCATGATCAACCAGTGACTCGTCCCCTTGCACAACAGCGAAGCGACAGTCTCAGTATTGCTTCCCTGTCTTCCGCTCTTGGGGTTACGACTAGATGGGAAACACCTCCCTCGCGCGTAGCGGGGTTTCATCACTTTCGCTTCAGTTCGTTTGCCCTCGGTTACTCTAAGCATGTTGAGACCTGCAAAGACATTCACACAGAGGCGGACGACCACAGTCCTGGGATTGACATGTGAATCCTTCGAACCCAAGCGAGCACAAGGGCAAGACAGCGGACTTTGACAAAGGGTACGTCCGAATGCTGGCTGATTCCAGCCCATGATGTTTGACGTGATGGGGTTTGGTAAGACGGCTTGGGGTTCCTGGATCCCCGCATGCGAGGTCTTTCTCAACAGCACACCTCTCTCTCTCCCCATGTCGGACTCTCGTTTCACGTAGACCATGGAAGGTACGGGTACAGATGGGCAGGGGGCATGGAAGCGAGACAGAAAGAAGGACAAGTACCGGCTACTTTGTTGCCTGTTCTCTGTTAGTGCTCGCCCACGGGCTCAAACAGAATACGATTGGCCCAGACTGTCCATCCGGACCCACATGAACCACACGCAAGCGCAGCACCCCCCCCTGAGAGGTCTCAGCTTGTGATTCGCTTCCAGTCTGTCGGGTTCGGGTCGCCCCCACCGGTGACCGGAGTGGTCGTCTCATTGGAACTGGTTCCAAAGTGGAAGTTGGCAGTCGACTGGGGCGACTGGGGCGCACAATGGGCCCCAACAAGGCCAACAAAGAATCAAGACATCCTTGGTGGTTTCAGAAACAGGCATCGCGATCCTTAGGGGTGCCCTTGTCCCGACAAGCTCAAGCCTGGGGAGGCCGTTGTCGTCTCCGTCTGTGCGGAGACCTACGATGATAACCATGAGGAGGTAGGTACTGTAGTAGGTACTTGGGTACTGTCCAGGTGAATGGTTGAAATGGCTCTGTACACTGCGGGCATGTTCCTTCTGCCGGTGAGTTGCAATTTCTCCGCAAATTGTTCGTTTCGCCGACCTGTCTCGGCGAAGTGGAAGCATGGACACCGACCTCATCGGTCACAGATACCACCAGCCTTGCTGATACCTCATCTCAAAGCTTCCTAGTATCGTGGTGAAGGATCTTGGGAACCGACTAGCCCGCAAGCATACGGATACGGGCACAGCCCGCTTAACTATCGCGTCACCAGATTCAGCCTCGCTCACAGAAACGTCTCCACCCCCAGACATCAGTGTTGGGATGGGATCATACAGCAACTAGATCGGCCTACTTGCTGTTGGGTTTGACCGCCCTTTCCCCAGTCCATAGTTACGAGCTCCGGATGCGGGCGACTTGGTGGTTCGGACTTGGTTCCAGAGGCCCCTTTCCGCAGATCCCACCAACCGCTGACTCGCAAAAGACCTTCAAGCCTTCCTTGAGTGCATCGCATTCGGCGCCTCGACATGAGTGTTCCAGAAACATTGGGCTCTTTGCCTTTCCGGGCGTCGGCATGACCTTTCCGGGAATTGATGGATCACTTTACTGCTTTGGTCAATGCCAAGGAGGCGCCGACTGGACAACTCTGGGTGTGTCAGTGAGTCCCTCGCAGCAGCCGAGGTCGGATCCACTTGCTGTCTCTTAACTTCATGATCAACAGTCGTTCGGGAATCAAATAACAGCAATTTAACCCAGCTTGGATCTTGCAGAGATGCCCGATTTGGACGGCTCGCGCTGTCTGGTTGGTCCAAGCTAGCCAGTACACCATCTGAGAGGCTGACAGCGGGTGGGTAGGTATCAGAACCAATGCTAGCTTCACCCATCTGTACTAGCTCGGAGTGAGTGTTGATTTCTGCGTTTCTTTATCTCGGTCAATACCTTTCACGACAATCGGTCACGACATATCTCCCCCATACCACCGAGAAACAGGCAGTGTGCAACCGGTACCGCTGCGTTCATGTGGAAACCGGGCAATGCCCTGGCGACCAACTCAGCGTTGTGGATCGGTCCAGACTAGGGCGGTATATGGCATCACGAAATTCCCGACTGATGAGCTGTATTGAATGCTCAGACGTGGCTCTGTTAAGTTTCTTCTCTACTTCATCATCATAATCACGATCCATGAATGACGATATGGGGTTGATACCGGTCCATGGTTCCCGACTTGGTGGGACAACTGCAGGCTTGGGGCATGTTGTTGTTCAGTCCATGGCGGGTGCCGTTCTGTCGGGACATTGAGCCTTTCAGGAATGGACTGTCGAGTGCAGCAGCCTATCCGGCCGAGTTCACATCCCAAGTGTTTTGTTGGAGACAAGTACCATCATGCGCAGTTCAGTGAGTGGCAAGCGAGACACAGGGGCAAAGGGGATAGGCTACCACACTGTCGGGACGAACAACTCAGGGGTTCCGGCAAGGTGGGCTGCGACAACGAGTAGGTAGAGGTACCTCTGGCTACCTCGGCCCTGTGTGATCCAGATGAGTTGTCTGTAAATTTCAAGACGCCACTTTGGTCGTTTCAGATACTCCACCGCCTACGAACCCCCTTACACTATGAACAAAAAGCAAGGCTTGGATATTACACAGAGAATACTTGTCTTCACAATGGACGTGTTCGTTGACTACCTACGTAATTCAACTTCTGGCCCCTAGGCCACGACGCGGGAATGGCTTTTTCATGGTTAGCGCAAGGTCATAACTGGTGTGAACTAGCCACTCTCATCATTTGTCACTTTTTTGACTTCGCCGTTCAGAGTCCGAGATGCCTTGCATGCATGCTTTAGCATATTTTGACAACACGTGTCGAGTGAGCTTGCTCTTCCAGAAAGAAAACCACGCCATCCAGTTGGAGATATTACATGGTTCCTTTGCTGTTCTGTTGTTGTTCCAGGGGCCGAACGGAATCTGACCTATCACTTACATTTCCTTACCTTACCTCGAAAATTCCGTGACGCACGCAGGTTTACCTGTACCGAAAGAGACGAAAAACAATGTTCTATGCTTACGAAGCCCGTTTCAGAATCGAGATCCGGACATCGAAGCGCGCAACACACCAACAACGCATACTTTAACCTCACAGGAAGAAAACAGGTTTCAGTCCCGAAGCTGCGGATGGAGCAGTCATTGGGGTGTTTCAAATCATCGAGTTGTCACGAATGGTTTGCTGCATGCACGAGAACAAAGGGGGACTTTTTATACCTGACATTGACGACCCGTCGGAACAGCCACACGGCAGAATGAACGAACCTCGGGGGTCCTACTAGTCAAACTCAAAGGGAACGATCTGTCCAATTGGATCTTCCCCGGCCTGGTCTGGCTGGATAACTAACTCAACCGTTAAACACCGCCATCCGTCGTCCACTTTCCGATTCCAAACACTGTTTCCCTTTATGCAAGATACGTTTGCTTTGCTTTCAAATCTCGAAGTCGATATCCCCCTTCCCTGCCTTACCTGCCTTTCTTACCTTCCCTAAAATGTCAATATTCTGATGTCTCCGTTTTGATCGTTCCTTCCTTCCTTCCTTCCTTATTTGAGCTTCTTCCACTCACAGAGAGAAAGACATCAGCTTTCCCAAAAACGGACTACTGGCGGCGCAAGATACGGCGCGATATGTTGTGTAACCCGAGAATTGATTGGAGCCTAGATCTAGAGGTCCGTGCCTGAGTGCTCTTGTCCCTTGGGCTTCGCTGCGAGACAGACCGGTGGCAGTCTAGACCCGACCGACGACACCAAGCGAAAGTCAGAGCCTCGGTTCCGGACTGTCGGTTCCGGACTGCGGTGTCAGGGTTGGGGTCGAGCCGGGGTCGAGCCGGGGTCGATCGACTGTGATAGCGATCGCCGGAGGAGGTTCCAAGTTTTGTCAGCAAGATTAGGTTGGTAGGTGTAGGTACTAAGGTAAGGTAGGTGAGGAGGTACTGAAGGGCCGATGGTTTTCGGTAATATAATGGACATGGTAATTGTGATGGTGCATGATGCCTACACTTCGCTTGGATCAGAGGTTTGTGATCATCTACTAGTCTAGAGTGTAGACAGACAGGCCCAAAACAACGGTAGGACTGGGCAAGTACTACTAATACCGACAGATTCGTAAGGTACCTAGCTAGGCCAAGTAAGGTAGGTACTATAGAATACTATATGATATTCAGGTACCCGACTCGTTTGCGTTGGACAGCATCTACATCCACATCACATCGAAATCCACATTTCACAGATCATTACCTACCTCTAGGCTGGTAATAAGCCAGCCCTTCGGCTGGTCACATAGGCGATCCGGTAGGTTACATATGCTATCATATGTGTATGACAGTTCACATAGGCCACATTGGTCACATAGGTTACTACAGATGGGTGGGTGCTCCCCGGTCTTACCTCTGATCTCAAGGATTCAAGGGTAACTGCGTAGTCTGTTTTGAGTTATGCGAGATTGGGCGCATAGAGGTACTACCGGTGTATGTGCCTATGCGTAGGACGGGAAATTGTTTGCTAGATCTAGAGTAGGGAGTTTGTTGGTGTTTGGAGCACTGGGTTTAGAAGAAGGTTTTGGGATTTGTGAGGTGTTGGGGAGATGTTGTGGGAATGATCGAGATTGATTATGTAGTCATATATGGGAAATGAGGTAGAAGGGGGAGATATGAAGGGCGTGGAAGGGGGAGATGCCCCTGTGAAGTGCACTTGGTATAGCTCTCTTATGGTTTACCTCTACCCGGACGTCAATATGTCTGAGGCCATGATGCATTGAGGCTGGTCCTTCGAATATTACATCATCTAACCAAGCTATTCCTCTCAAACTAACCAGTCCCATTTGTCAATCCCAGAGCCAACGCCAAATGACAGCCCTCAATGACTCTCTCCCACTCTACGGAAGTATCATCTCACCACCCTCCTTCTCCTTCTTTCTCTTCTCCCCCACCCATCCTTTCCATACCTCTCCCTTCACGCCCAACAGGCACCTCAACCCCCTCACTCACTTGCACTTTCTCTCCCGTGGCATTATCACCATGGATATATAGCCCCATAACCTTCGGCCCCGGATAGATTCTCCTAGCATGCACCACCCACCACACCGCCGTGAGCGCCACCACCCCAGCCAAAATCACACTATTATAATTCATCGACTCCGTCGTGGTCGGGTACACATATGGGAAACAAAAGAGGATGTTGAACAGCACGATGAACAGTACTGCTAGGATGTTGATTGGCATTCCAAATTTGCCCAAACTAAATGAGCCGGGGGCGGAGGGGAGATACCGGCGCCGGGTGAGAATGTTGGCGGCAAATGGGATGGCGTACGAGGTGGTGGTTAGGATGAGGAAGGAGCCGGTTAGGTTGATGAAGGCGGTATGGGAGCCGAGGGGGATGGCGCCTAGGGCTGTTGTTATTGTTGCTTTTTTTGGGGGGGGGACTTTGTCAGTCTCTGTTTTCGGTTGAAGAATAGGGGATAAGCGTAGAGGTAGAAGACTTACCGACGAAAAGAGTGGCAGGGACAGGACAGCTAAAACTTTCGTTGACGCGGGAAAAGAGAGGAGATAAAGGGACGGCGTTGTCTCGTGCCAAAGCCCAGTAGATGCGCGAGTTGGTCAGGACCGTGCCGACGCAGCAGAGGAGTGAGGAGAACAAGATGATGAACAAGAGACCGAAGGTGGCGCCGTGGTTCGGGGTCCCGTCGGCGTGGGCGGTCGCTTGAGCGTAGATGTTGGCGAGCGGGTAAGTGTTGAAGCCGCCTTGGAGGGCTTCGAGATCGGTGATGGCGTAGCAGAGGGCGATGGCGAAGCAGAATGCGTCTGACGAAGGAGTTAGTGAAAGCTTAATCAGCGCAAAAGGGGCTTGTGAACGTACAGAGAAATCCCAAGCCGATTTGCAGCCCAATCGCCTTTGGCAAGTCCTTCTTCGGATGTGGCAACTCCTCAGCCATATGCGTGATAGCATCTGGGGTGCCCACAGTATACGCCCCGTTCAAAACTCCCAACAGAAACGCCAAACCGTCCGGCCAGCCCGTGAGGTTATTCTCGGTGAAGGATCCCCATACAAAATGATTGCTGGCGTGACGCTTGGGCATGGCCGATATGACAATGATGGTGACGATACCGCCGACGATGACGAAGAACAAGCCGATGTTCTGGGTGTGCGGAATCACTCGGTTGGCAAAGATCACAACTGCCGTGGAAAGCCAGAGGACAAGCAGGTAGGTGACGTAGACCTGCCATGGCTCGTAGGTGTAAGTGGTCTGGTGGTAGACCGAGTACATGCTGATGCAGATGTTGGCCGTGATCTGCATCAGGGCGGCTAGGCCGAAGATCCATCCGTAGAAGTTGATCCAGCCGGTGAAGAAGCCGAGGATTCGGCCATATTTGGGACCGCCGGCTGGAGGTGATGTTAGTATTGACTTCCTGGCCTCTAAGTAGAGATGTTAAGATGTAAACAAGGGGAAGCTTACCGATGGTTGCCCAGTGGTAAACACCACCAGAAGTTGGAACAGCTGACGCAAGCTACATCGTGAGAAACAATTGTCAGATATCCGTTCTCACATCCCTATTCACGCAGTTCAACACTTGATGTTTCCTTGTACACATACCTCAGCCAGTGCGGCCCCAATGAAGCTGTAATAGAAAGCCGCAACGATAAGACCAAATATAAGACCGGACGGGCCACCATTAACTACACACACATTACGAATATCAGTTCCCATTCATTGATGTGATAGATGAGCTTTAGCAAAAGAGAGACCGCGTGAGTCCGGTACCTACGAATTGACACCGAAATAGACGACCCGAGAGCTATCCAGGCATTGTCAACGGTGAGTGCAGTCCCAGCCAAGCCCAGGAGGCTGTATTGTCGTTCGAGCTGGTCTTGGTAGCCGGAAGCATTGACGACGACTCCATTCTCGACTGCGGCAACGATCTCGTCTCGGTCTTCAGGACTTCCCCCGGTCCGCGTACCCCGTTTTTCGTCGACCGATGGTTGATGTGAACTGTCCATTTTGTTGGGAAGGTGTGAACAGACCGGCCGGTGTTATGCCAGGTGGAAAAGAGAACGGCTACCAGTTTCCGAAATACCGGTAGGGTCTTGCTGCTTTAAGTCCCCAACTCCAAGGGAAGCCACGGAGATATAAATGGCAGTTGAACTCGAAGTGACAAGCGAATGTTTCATCGGTCCTTCCCCCCAAAAGGGTAAAACAGTCCCTTCATTCACTTACACTACAATCACCACTTCCGGCCATTTACCGGCACTAGTACAGCACCAGTGTCTAGACTCATGATGTGGTATGGTATGTATAGCACGACCTTGATATCGAATTCTTCCAATGACGCACAGAGCTTCCTCATCTCTAAATGTTATCTCCCCTCATCGTTCAGAGACGTAACACCAATTGACAAGACCCGATGATGCACAGAATCTGAACAAATATGGTTACTTCCCCGGGGGTTGTTATCTTTATCTGGAGGCTGCTGCTTACCCACGGGTTGAAGATCTATCCCGCTACTGCAGGCGTAAATGCTGATCCGACGAATAAGGTCGGCGAAGCATTGCCCTTGCGCGCTCTCTCCCGTTCAATACCCGTGCATCTGTAGTATCCGGGGAGAAACATGGCTGAAGAGCAAGACAAGGGTTGTTGGGACGAGAAACTGATCTGTGAAAGCTGCATTGAGTGGTGACAGCCGGACTTGATAACGTGGGGGTGGGCGACGATGAAACCTGGATCTCTTTAACTAACGACCTGCCAAGGCCTAGGAGTACCTAGACCTTAACAGCTTGTGGCTCCGTTAGGGATGCTATAGCGTACCTCTAAGATAGTAAGGAAGTGCCTTGAGATAGCTAAAAAATGGGGTTTTTGGTATTTCCCAAACCTCATTGGCTACAAGTCCCTGTCGGTACGAGAAATGGCGCAAAACACAGTTAAAGAGATAGAGGTTGAGGAGTTGGAGTTCCGATTCTCGGCGAGTCGCTGTACGCCTGATTGCGCGTAAGAAGGACTCGGCGTTTTCAGCCCTACGAGAGCGGCTATCTCTTCCGCGCCACGGTGGTTGAAATTTCGAGGTTATATCAAGTCTGTCTCACGATTTTTGACCCGTTGTTGTTCTGTCCATTGCAATGTCTGTGGTTGGAGCGAAGTCTCAAGAGCATTGAAGTCCCCAGGCGGCACTGCATGAATGAAAGATGGAATGGGATGAGGAGAACGCGGGGAGTGCAGCATGCTCCACCTGAAAGGCGTCTGATGTAGCATTGTGGCGATGGCTGATATTGATTGGCATTTGGCGTACAGATAAGGTATGCGGATGCGGCAAGAGTCTCCCACATGGGTAATGCATAGCACAGTCGTTTGAACGGCTGCTTTGCGTCTGGCTTTAGTAGGGATATAAACCGATATTGACCCAGTGAGCCCTATACAGGGTTTCTAATACCCATTGTCATCCTCCCGGATTCGATATGATAACCAACAACCCAGGGTGGACGATACTACCAAAGACTTTTGGGCTACGTTTTCCCGTAAGATGTCTCTCGTCGTCCATCGGAAACAGAACCAGGCTCGCGGGTTTCTTCACGACCTCGCCTTTGGGCTGGGTTGGTTGGGTAGTCAACTGAATATCAGTCAATGATCACCATTAGGGCTCGAATCCAAGACCTTGAGCTTTTACCCAAGGGTAGCCGCATCCAATGGATTGTGTAGTCCGGTAAGAAATTTTCCGTCCCACCGTGAGGAGAAGAAGCAGAAAAACAGTCGCATGCATGGTATAACCTCCCAAAACTCGAAGACCAAAACTGAAGACTCATGCCTTAAGCAGCATCACCCTCATGACCCCATCTTGCCGACTCGTCACCCTCGCTCCAGTCCTTTTCGATGTATCCGAGCTCTCGCTTGACCTTCTCGACCGTCGCCTTATCTCCGGTGTTCTTGCCCGCGTTATCACTAGAAGGCAGATGTTAGCCATATGTCGTGGGAGGAGCTGTGACTCGTATAAACAGTTTCTTACCTGATCTTGACTGCTGGGTTTCCGGCAGCCGAGCTCAGCTTGATGACAATATTCAGGGGCGTGGACTTCTTGCCGGTAGACTTGTGGACAAAGTCATTGGTAAAGAAGGTACCAACACCGAAGGTAGGCTGGAAGCCAGCCTCTTCAGCAACTTGCTTATACTCCAAGCACCTATCGATATCCAACGAGTCGGAGAAGACGATAACCTTCTTGTCCTTGATGCCTTGTTCATCATAGAACTTGCGCATAACTTTGACAAACTCCTTCGGATCTCCCGAATCCTGGCGGACACCAGTGAAAACTTCGGCATAGGTCTTGCCGGGATGGAGATCCTTGATGATCTCCTTTGCTGCGGAGATAAAAGTATCGGCCATGCTCACCTTGCGATGCTTTGGCTGGGGAACTGGCTCGCCAGAGGCCGATATCGGCTTGCTGAACGCTCTAAGGAATTCAGGAGTTCCAAAGGTATCTGTGAGCGCGATACCGAGGACGCCAGGGCCGTAGCATCCAACCCAGCGGGAAAGGGCTTCCTCTGTAGCGGACGTGTAATCGCCAAGGATGGCGGCGTTACCCATGAACCACTCATGCGCAACGGTGCCAACGGGTGGGATGTTGAAGCGCATGGCAAGGTGAACATTGCTAGTACCGGAGAGCTTGCCGGTCAGGCCCCTCTTCTCGGCTTCCTTGGCCGCCTTGGTGAGACCCCTAAACACCAAAGCTTGCGTGTGGTAGTCGCGGCGCCGGCGCGTTCCGAATTCCGAGAACACGCAGCCGGCCTCGAGAAGGCGCATGCCCTTTTCGAAAGCCTTCTCTTCCTGGCCCTCATACTCCCAGTCCGTGTCCATGAACTTGAAGTAGGCTTCAGAAGTAAGTGCTAGGAGCGGAATTTCGTAGAGAATAGTCTCGGCCCATGTGCCCTTGATATCATAGTGGATATCTCCGAGATTTGAGTCATCAGTAGGGCGGAAGCTAACGGCGACCTGCTCTCGCGGTCGAAGCCGGAATTCGGAAAGGTATTCAAGATACTCCTCGGTTAGGTAAGGACAGTGAGTCTTGAGGTACTGGAGCTCTTCGGGGGAAAGACTGATGTTCCCGAGCTTCATGACCTGTTCCTCGAGCCAGACGAAAGCTTCGCGGGACAACTTCTTCTCGGGCGTGCGGTTTGTGAAGGAGTAGGTGACAGGAACGTCTTTGAAGTACTTGAGGACGGCGCATTGCATCGTCAGCTTGTACAGATCGGTGTCGAGGAACGAGATGACCCCCGCAGGGTGAGGCAAAGAGCTGTTGAAGTCCATGGCTGTGATGGTTGGTGTGGTAGAGCTCTGGAAGAGATGAGCGTGTAGGGTCGGAAGGGTCCTGGATGAGCCGTAACCTGTAATTTGTCGGTGATGTATACGATAACCTTACTTATTTTCGGATGATGACTAGAGAAATTAAAGAGGAAAGAAAAAGTTCAAGACACAAGAGGCTCGAGATGGTTCGGTAGTTGAGTTGCTCCAAGAAGGCTGACGAATCGAAGTTCAATAACGCCTTCAATAGTGGGCAGGAGTGGAGACGCCGGCGGTTATCTTTTTGTTAGTGCAGACTTCCCTTTTGCTTGTAAACCTTAGCATTCTCACGCGACGCGCGGTTGGTTCACCCTTCACATGTAAGGAATGCCCGAGTTGTTGGCTGATAAAATATCACTCAAGGGTAATTCCCTTTCTCACTGACAGTAAGCAGTGAGTGAGTGTCCTGTTGGTTGTCTCTCGTCGAAGAATGTGCGGGGCGTCCGTGTAGCGTCTTGAACTCGTTGGAAATCAGATGCGTCCAAAGTCTCCATGCGATCAAGTTGCAGGGGATGAAAACTATTTCAAGATGTCACCACATGAAACCCTGAAGTAAGAACCCTGAGCACTGTCTTGGCTGGGAACCGAAAGATAAGGTATTCAACAATGGCAACCGCATCGATGTAGCTTCCGACAGAGACGCCGTTCCTGCCTGCGATGATGACACAATCAAGGGGAATGGTGGGGCAGTCTCAGCGGGGTGATGTTTGGTGTTTTCGGGCAGCAATGATCCCCCGGGGCCAGGGGGCCACCCGGCGCACAGACCACACCTTAATGGTTCACCGACTTGCTTGGCGCAAAAGTTACAAACCGGCAGAAAAAAAAAGTTCACTTCCAATTCAGATAACAGAAGATCCGAATCGCAGAGCGTGCAGGACCCCGCCGACAACATAGCAAGAGGAAAGAAGAGCCCAAACATCCAGCAGAGACCGGCTTCCTTTCGACGATACTTCGATTGGCCGCTCTGAGGCTCGACGCCCACCCACACCCGACCACCCGCACCCGGGTCCCTCCTTCTCCTTCACCTAATAATACCCGACAACATCAGCCATCATGGATATTCACAGGTGTCGCTTCGTTCCCTATCCCGCTTCCGCCATCAACGCCGTCGCCTTCTCCCACTCCGCCCTCCCACCCGTCCCAGCCGGCAAGAAGAACCTCCAGAAGAACATCCAGGTTCGCCTTGCTGTTGGTCGCGCCAATGGCGACATCGAGATCTGGAACCCCCTCAACGGTTCCTGGCACCAGGAGCTGTTGATCCCCGGCGGCAATGACCGGAGCATCGACGGCCTGGTCTGGGTTACCGATTCCGACGAAGAAATGAATGACGGCAAGATCATCCACGGCAAGTCACGTCTGTTCAGTGTCGGCTACACCAACACCATCACCGAATGGGACCTCGAAAAGGCCCGCGCAAAGAAGCACGCGAGCGGCCAGCACGGCGAGATCTGGTGCCTCGGTGTCCAGCCCCCCTCCTCCGACCTCCACGCCCCCAGAAAGCTCGTCGCCGGTACCGTTGACGGCAACCTCGTCATGTACTCGATCGAAGATGGCGACCTCAAGTTCCAAAAGAGCTTGATCAGGGCCCCTTCAAAGAAGGTCAAGATGGTCAGCATCTGCTTCCAGTCCAGGAATGTTGTCATTGTCGGCTGCTCCAACAGCACCATTTGCGCCTACGACATCCGAAACGGCTCGCTTCTCCAACAAATGACCCTCGGCTCCGACCACTCCTCCGCCTCCAAGAACATCATTGTCTGGTCCGTCAAGTGCCTACCGAACGGCGACATTGTGTCCGGCGACTCGACTGGTCAGGTGTGCATTTGGGACGGCAAGACCTATACCCAAGCCCAGAGGATACAAAGCCATACCCAGGACGTCTTGTGCCTGGCTGTCAGTGCTGATGGCAAGAAGATTGTGTCTGGTGGCATGGACAGGCGGACGGCCCTATACGAGCCGGTTGCTGGACAACCTGGTCGCTGGTCCAAGGCCTTCCACAGGAGATATCATGGCCATGACGTCAAGACCATGGCCTCTTTCGAAGGCAAGGGCATGAGCGTCGTGGTTTCTGGAGGTTAGTCACATTGCTCGCATTGTTCCCCTTCTTGTCTTATGCTAACACTTTTCCTTCTATCACAGGTCCTGACGCCAGTCCCGTTGTTATGCCTCTCCGTGCGGCGGGCAAGGAGTTCCACCGCACTCTCCCCCATCTTCCGCAGACCGTCAATGTCAAGAGCGCATCCAAGGCACGGTTCGTTGTCAGCTGGTGGGACAACGAGGTTCGCATCTGGCATCTCTCCAGCCCATCGCGCGATCTCTTGAACGGTGCCGTCGCCACCACTGACCTGCGCAAGACACGGAAACTCATTGCCCAGATCTACGTCAAGGGCGATCACAACATTACTTCGGCCGCCATCAGCGAGGATGGTACCTTCCTTGTCGCGTCTACTGCTACCGACATCAAGGCCTTCCAGCTCGATATTAACGATTCGCAACAGCTCAAGATCAAGAAGGTCGAGGTTGCGAGCGCTGGCCACGGAGCTATGAAGGTGGAAATCTCTCCAGACAGGCGTTGGTTGTCCTGGGTTGAGAGCGGCAGCAATGTCATGGCGGCGGAAATCACCGTGAACGAGGACGGATACGCCGTTTCTGCTCCCTCCAAGCTGCGCCGCCTCCACCGGCAAATCCCGAAGAACATCCTCCTTGGTGGTCTTGGTACCTACGACCGAAACGTCACACAAATGGCCTTCTCCCCTGACAGCAAGATGCTCAGTGTCGCTGATATTGCCGGATGGATCGATACCTGGGTATTACGCGTCCCGGGAGAGGAGACGAATGGCACGAATGACGAGGCTGACGACGCTTCTTCGAGCGACTCGTCAGATGATGAAGATCAGAAGGATGCTACGAGTGAGCGCTGGGTACGCAATCCCAACGCAGCCCTCATCCCCAAACTGGACTCGGCTCCTGTTGTCCTCTCCTTCTCCAAGACTCCCCGCCAGGAGGGCGAAGACTATACCCTCTTGGCCATCACAACACTAAAACAGGTTCTCGTATTCAACCCTCTCCGCGGCTCCCTAGCAGACTGGTCTCGGCGCAACACTTACGCCAAGCTCCCGGAGCAGCTCCGTGTCACCAGAGATTTGGTCAAGGGTGTCGTATGGCAAGGCCCACGTGTCTGGATCTACGGTATTTCCTTCCTCTTCATGTTGGATCTGTCTCAGGATCTGGATAGCCAGGACGCCTCTGCTCTTTCCAAGCAAAAATCTGGCCTGAAGCGGAAGAGAGATGGTAAGGAGAACGGCGCAGGCGGCAAGATGGACAACCAGAACGCCATTGCCCCCCACAAGATTAGGGCGGCTGTTGCCGGACAGGACGGCGCCACAGAGTGGGTCGACGTCGAGATGGCGGATGCCGATGACCAGAAGGGTGCTGCCAGCAGCGGTGTCGAGGATGAGGACGACGACTTTGACGAGGACATGGATGGCGGCGAGCTCCAGCGCCTACGCGATGGCGAGGCAGGCAGAGAAGAGCAGAAGAAGGATTCAGTGAAGCAGAAGGCCAAGTGGTGGCATACGTATCAGTACCGACCCATTCTAGGCATCGTGCCTCTCGACAGCGAAACGGTGGAGGAATCCAACGGAGTGTCGGAGGGCATTCCGATCCCGCCGCTCGAGGTTGCCCTTGTTGAGAGGCCGAGCTGGGATTGCGAGGTACCCCCAAGGTACTTCTCGAATGGTGAGCGGGAGAGGTGAATTGTAGGAAGCATGTGTATGGCATGAGGTGTCAGATATAATGGGGTCTTTGTCGGCGAATAGGGCCGTAGAGGTTAGCATATACCGCAAAATCGGAGTTACGCGTATGCAAAAGCAATTGAGCAGGTCATTTTGCCTAGGTAGATCGAGGAGTTCTTTTTCGAAGATACCATAACACTGAGGCTTACAAACAACCTGCTACCTTTTGCCGGTGAGCATCAAAAAGACCCCGAGTACTTGGACCGATGATGAAGCACCGCGCGTTATTGGTGCCGACACTCGGAAGTTGACCACGCTTCTACGGTGGCACGGCCATTATCAATTTCACATGAAGCAAGAACAGTGACCATCGAATGCAAAGAACACCAAGATCTTGCCAAAACACCGTAGAAACTCGCGAGATTCGCCATCGTCAATCTCCTCTTTGGGCGCCGGGCAGGGCAGAACGCGGCGCTCCCTAAGCACGCATACGCCAGCAGATGTGTCTGTCCAGTTAGTGAAAACTCGAGGACATTGCCTACCACTCTAACTTGCGTGCGTTTCAATGTATAGGCTCGGGCTTGCCCTGCACAGATCTGTCCCCTGCCCGGCGCCCAAAGAGGAGATTGACGATGGCGAATCTCGCGAGTTTCTACGGTATTCATCCTATCCTGTCTTATGCCATGCTCTAAACCGGTCTCACCACTTGCTATGAGATGCATGCGCGATGAAAGCCACGGGTTATCTGCACGAAAAAATTCCGTCGATTTTTAAACACCATCTATCAGTTTGGCAAACTATTCCGATTACGAACCACTCGCTGCGTACGCTCCTGTCACCTCTAGAAATTACTGTGTACGTTCTTCGCAACTCATCGACCGCACTGTCGTTGAAAGTGGAGTAAGTGGTGAGGAAGACTCGAGACACTGCCGCGGAGAAGGCCCGGGAACCGGGGCGCCGCGTAAGCACCATGGGGGACGCGCCGTGCTCGTGCCTCGGTACCCGTTGGGGATTGGACGCAAGTCGCAACCTGGACTAGCTTTCTGTTGCTCACGTTCAAAAGAGCAAAAAACGAAAGGATGATGGTTCGGACGCATCATCCGAACAAAAAGACCGCTGTACTGGGTTCGGGGTCTGTGACATTTAAGATCAATTCGAAATCTCTGGAGAAAAGGTCACCAGCTGCGGCGAGCAAAGGTAACGTTGTGGGCGGAAAAGGGACGGACTGAGGCGATAAAAGGTGGCAGTGGGGATGCCCCTGGGCTATGAATGGGTGGGTGAGGCTGAGCGTAAGCAGAAAAAGGGACCGTGACTGCCTGGATTGTAGCATCACCGCCCACTTTGACGGTCTCTCTCTTTTTGCCTAATGTCTGAGACTGACTATCTTTGGGATCATTGAACGTGTTTGCACATGACTAGGGACAACGAAAACAAAACCAAGATACTATGGGGAAGATAACGTACGTATCAGATGTACACGTTCCCAACAGAGACAGATATCGTCGGCCGTCGGGTCGTGATCACCAAACTTTGACGGTTAGCGGTGTTGAGCTTCGTCATCCATCCCTGAATGGCTAGCGCGACTCTAGGCCGGCCCAGAGACAATTCGTTGCCCAAGACTCTTTTGTTAGGATGGTACGTCGGCACAATGACGAACAGCCACCTTAAATCAAGGTAACACCATCCTGCGACTATCTTAGAGTACCTGCGGCCTGCCCTACGAGAGCGAGCTCAAGTTTGTCGCCTGCTGGGCGGTCGCGGATGGTTTTCTGGAGGGGCCCCACTTGCGGGAGGGCACCGACCAACAAAGATACGGTTCTGATTGGCCAATACGTTAGTATACGCGCGTTCTGACCTGGCTGCCCCCCGAACCTCTCATTCTTTCTCTCTGGAGTTGTAGTTGCCGTTTCATTGAACGGGCGACGAGTTTGTAGTAGAAAGGCAGAGACACGTAAGACAGCTGAGGAGAGAGTGCAACAATGGAGAAGTAGCGACGACACCAGGGACTTTTCTTACTACCATCCATACTTTATATCCTCTTTTTATTGCTTCACTTCTTCCATCGCGACAAGATTCGGGCGGCATGCACTACTGCTGCTGAGAAGTAGGAAGTATAGCCACAGAGGCCCGAATTGCACGTGTGTGTGTGAAGAGGAAGTGACGAGCCATTCTTTCGCCTCGGTGCAAGTCTGTACAGTCAGTCAGTAATCGTCCGTAGAGGTGAGTAGGCTGAAACCCCCAAACCACTCCTGCACTCCCGGTCCGGTTCATGCCCGACATGCACTCCTTCTTCCTGTCATATGTCCTTTTGTCTGCGACTTCTTCATCTGGCATTTGGTGATCGCTGCATTTCCTCTGCACCTTCCAAGCTGACAGTTGCAGCAACATCAGACGACAGGCAGAAACCCGCAGTACTTACGAGGTGGATGCGCTAAGGTAGACGACGTCCGAAGCTTGTGAGTCCCAACTATATCTTCCCGAATACTCCCCAGCCGATTGCGCCCATTCCTTCTCGACCGATTCTTCCCTTTCGCCTATCGATCAACACCACCACATCGCTTCACCCTCGCTGGCCGAGATGGCGCTAATACGATTCCTCCCTCTCTTAGAAAACGATCTCGCCGTCGCCCGCTTACAACGCCGACCCTCGAATCTTCAAACGCATAGCGACGAGGCGCGGCACCATTCCAAGTCTTCGAATGCGCGAAACCCTTCATTGGGACCTTCAACAACATCGCCTCTACTAGTTCGATCGCCGACATCGCATCAGCGGGTTCCAGCAGGGGATTAACCGTAGCGCAACTATCCGCGCTGGTCTACCGACAGCTGTATGTCAATCCGCCTCATAGTCAACCTGGACGCCAAGACACGACGAAGCGAATGCTGACTATCCCGACAAGCACTTACTTCATAGAGTGTTGAATCGACCTCCAATTGACGTTTACCGCGACGATTCACGACGGGCAGCGAGACAGACGACCGGCGACACTGACCGAATACAACAAATCATACAGGCGACACAGACTATCAAAGCCGCGACTGGATATTATAAGCGACCATGGCAGGAAACAATCCAGGGGGTGGGGGTTACCCAGACGACCATGTGAAGAGCGTGGCGCGCGATCTACAGCTCAGGTTTGCGCAGATGTCAAACCGGGATCAGAAATTCGACCTACAAGTCATACCCGATCTTCTTTCACAACCAGTAGTCCCCGAGCCGCCCGCGCAAGAAGACAAGGAGGCCCAAAACTTCGAAAAATATTTAATAGCAATGTCTCATATACCACTAAATTACGAGAATCCCGGCCTACTCGACGAAGCTTTACAACAAATCCCACTCGACAGGTTATCACAGGAAGCAGAAGAGGAGGTGGAACTTTTCCAAGCGAAAGCCGCAAGCCTGGGGAAAACAAGACCGGAATGGAGTCATCAGGAGTGTATGGTCAGGGCTCTGCTTAGGTGCGTTTCTGTCTCCTGTCTGGCTTAACGTCATGACGGATGTTTTGTCTGTTTCTTGCGCCAGCTAACTCGCGACTACACAGGTGGTTTCGCCGATCATTCTTCACTTTTGTGAATAACCCTCCATGTTCCGAATGTCTATCACCCACGAATAAAATCCGCAACGTTGCGCCTACACCAGAGGAAAGAGCCCATAGTGCGACATGGGTCGAGTTATACTCGTGCGTAACCTGTGGGGCATTTGAACGATTCCCACGCTATACGGAGGCGTGGCAATTACTACGAGTAAAGCGTGGAAGGGCTGGTGACTTTGCCAACGTCTTCACCATGCTTTGCCGAGCTCTTGACATCCGAGCTCGCTGGGTGTGGTGCCAGGAAGACTACCTGTGGACCGAAATCTACTCTGAGCATCAACAACGATGGGTTCATGTCGACAGTTGCGAAGAGGCTTGGGATATGCCCCACATGTACTACAAGAACTGGGGGAAGAAGATGTCCTACGTTATCGCCTTCTCCCGCGAGGGCGCGGTCGACGTTACCAGGCGGTATGTGGGGTCACCAGACGCCCTGCTCCCACGGAAACGCTGCTCGGAAGGCGTCCTGAAGTTCATCATGGAGGAAATCACAAACCTGCACCGGCCAAAGTACGCCCCAGACGGAGAGACTCGCCTACGGCTCTACCGGGAAGACGTAGCCGAGGACGTGCAGCTCCGATCCTTGTGGGCGGCTACCCTGGAACAGAGTCGGAGGTTGAAGGCTGCTGCGGCGGCTGCTACTAGGGGCGGCCGCAGCAGTCCCGACAAGAACGGCGCCAACAGGATGGGCTCGCCAGCGACGGGTGACATCAAACGACCCATCCCTGAGGATGCACCTGTTCCTGATGTCCCTTCACTCTGGCCGACGTATGGACCCTGACGGCATGGCATCCATTGGGCCAGACCTTGAATAGATAGCAGTCATCATTTTCACGTCGTTTAATACCCCCAACCCCCTTTTATCAGAGGAAAGCAAGCATGCAATGTCATCATCCTTTTATTTGTCATATATTATATATATACCCTGTGTCATGTCATGTTCAAGATGTGTGTGGATTTTTTTCGGAGGGAGGTATAAAGACTACTACTGATGGTTTGGAAAAGTTGATGGAGAGCCCTAACTTGCCTTGAGTCTGGGCTGGGCTGGAGTCGGGTCGGGGTTAGGGAGTCCTTGAGATCTTGTGAGAGTTCTTGGGCATCCATGACGAGTGCCTAATTGAATACATTGACTACCTGCCTCTGTCTGTCACGCTGGTGAGGTGCATCTTGTTGTATCGATTTTTCGGATGACTTGTAAAGATCAAAACGGACCATATCTTCTTCCAGTCATTTCTTCTAGAAGACGCCCAACACCTCTATCCCTTTCATTGCGCAGGCTGTGCCGTAAGGTAAGTCACTACGTTCGCCGTGCATGAATTGCGACGCCCGGATCCGGGTCCCAAAAGGAAGGGTTATAACATGTGATCTGAATCAGAGAATTTCAAACAATCAAGACAGTAGCGGGCAGGAATTGTAGGCCCCGAAACAAAGCAGGTATGTACGTACCCAACAGGAGTTAAGCAGATGCGGCATCAGTTTGGTTTGTTTGGTAATTGTGTGTTGGAAGGCAGCGAGACAAAGATAGATGGATGGTGACGACGGAACCCAACTAACGATGCACAAAGGGGACTGACTGACTGCAGGCCTGGACGTGGGGGACATGGGGTTGTGAAGGGATTGTGAAGAACAAAGGGGATCTACCTATGCTCTGCAGTTGGTGATTAGGGTTTTTGGTCGGGATTTCGGTTAGGATTTTTGGTCAGGATTTGAAAGGGTAACTAACGTGTAAGGAGAGAAACTATGTATGGAAGGTTTGGTAGGGGAGTGGTTACAATTTGCTTGGAAAGAAAGGGTTTCGAGTAAAGGATGGTTCGTTTCTGGTAGGATTCTATCAGGTGGATTTATAGAATCCCTTTTTCTAAAAAAAAATTTTTTTTTGAACGTCTGAATCAAATAACGGGATTTCGTTATTCAATAGGTGTAATCGAGGTGTTGTGGTGGTGATTTTTGCGAGTGACCAATGAGTGTTTGCATGGTAATTAATGGTGTGTGTCTCGAAGCTCGGCGGGCGTCACGATCCACAACTTCAACTTCACGAACTTATTAGCACATGTGAAGATAGTTCTCAGGAATTCAAGACAACAGCAAAAAAGTAGGATATATTGATGTGCAGATAAACCCAGAAAGAATACCTAGAGACGAGAAACATTACCAGAACCCAAATCCTATGAACGCCCCATCTCTCCCATCTCGCTTACGCTAACACAAACCAACCCTTATACACCCCAACCAAGTCCCTATCCCATATACCCAAAACCCCGTCCCAAAGAAACACTAAGCACCCTGCTCGACCTCCTCCCTCCTCATCTTCTCCATCTCCTTCAGAATCTCCTTCACATCCACCGACTCCAACGCATACCCCTCCTCCTGCGCAACTTGTCTGATTCGATCCGGATTCCAACTACTAACCACCACGCCCTTGGCGAGGTCATCCAGCTTTGGCCTGACTCTCCTTTCATCCTCTGGCACATCGGCGGCAGGAACATTGCCATCTTTGTCGTTGGAGAAGGGGTTAAGCAGGGTGCCAATGGCTTGGGACCAGGTGCGCTTGCGTCTGTTTTCGGCGGCGGAGGGTGGGCTTAGACCTAGGGCTGCACGAGGGGAGGAAGGAGGTCTGTTAGCATCACATAACATATCTAGAAGGCGGAGGAGAAAACAGGAGAGAGAAAAAAAAAACGAAAAGAAAAGAAAAAAAAAAAAGAAAAAAAACACACATACCCCTATAAGCACTCTCCGTCATACTCTCCTCCACCCTCCACGCCTGCCTAACCGTATCCCCCACCGGATACACGGCCGGCCCGCGCTTCATCTTGACTTTTTCGTCTTCGCCAAACCTTCGGAGTTTAGGCCTCCTGTACTTTTCGGAAATCGGATCTTCGGCCACGGGGTCATACACCATCTTGGGATCCACATCCTTCTTGTCACGAATCTTTCGTTCGGTCTCCTCAGAGGTATACCCAACCCCCAGAGGCCAGCGGTCTAACCGCCAGTATTGAAACGCCCTCTTTTTGGTCCCTTGACCGGAGGTGGTAGAGGAAGAACGAGCAGAAGCAAATTCCCACGACACATCCCGTTTGCGAACAGTCATATGCTTAACCTCCCCCGTCGCCGGATCACGGCCATAGTAAACGACTCTTCTCCCAGGGACAAGCATGGTCAAGTTACAGATGGACTCCTCCAGCAACTTGCGCTTGACGACCGCAAAAGCTTCGGCCTCGGTCATTTCCGCCCCCGTATAATCGCGCGGGGAAAGGCGTTGGATGAGCTGCTGCAGCGAAACCAGACCGCCGTCGTCCTTGCCAAAAGCGTGTTGGATCTCCGTCTTGCACTCCGCTTCGAAAGTCGTCAGGCTTTCGGTCAGATACTCGGCCGGAACAGGCTGGGGCTTGAAGCGGCCCTGCTCGGCCCGCTCTTGGTTGAGCATGTAGATGGTGTATCCCAACCTGAACCCGAGAGCCATGAAGAAATTCCAGACGGGGGAGGACCCCTGGGTGTCGGGAAGAATTTCTTGCGAGCGGTCGATTCCCGGACAAAGGATCTGTTGCCAGGTGGAGATGTAACCGAGCTTGAAACCGGGCTTCTCGCGGTGGGCCGTCGGACCGGGCCAGATCACACGGTTCTCGGGGAAGTATTTGTTCAAGGGACGCATGACGACGCCGTAGCAGGAGGGGTCGAGTTGGAAACGGACGTGCCCCGTGTCGGCGAGGCGGTCGAGCCACGCCATGGCGTCGTACGGATGGAAGACGACTTTATCGACGGGGCAACCCTCGCGGCCCGCGTTGATCTTGGAGAGGAGTTGCTCGACGGTCACTTGGGCGTCCGCGTCGGCAAAGAGCGAGTCCGGGTCCCGGTCGTCGAGGATCTTTTGCACGCGCCGCGCAAAGATGTGGAAGAGCTTGTATTTTTCTTTGGGCTCGTTGGGATAGAAATTGTTGGGCTCCCAGTTGCCGTCGTTGACGGCCTCGGAGGCCAGGAACTTGAGCCAGGGGATGTCTTCCTCTAGGTCGACGTAGCAGGGGGCTTTGCGGGGGTGCGTCGTGCCGACGATCTCGAGCTCGTCGCCGTGCAGGCGCACTTCCGCGGGCACGTCGTGGTTATGGAACTCGCCGGAGACGCCACGGTCGATCATGGCTCTGACTTCATCCAGCAAGAGACGGGGTGCGCGCCTCTGCGCGGCTGAGAGAAGCTGGTAGGTGATGTTGCACTGGTCCAGGATGTCCTGCTTTAGCTGGACGTCTGGGTCGACCATGCGCCAGACGAACGGACCGCCCGTGACGACGTTCTGGGGCAGTGTCACCCAGCGACGATCTTGCCGACGAAGGGCTTCGACACGCTTCAGGGCCCTTTCGCGAATATGCTTGAGGGACTCAAGATACTTGGGAAACTGAACGGTGAACGGCATGGTATCCGCCTGCGCTTGGATCTTCTCATCTGGGATGCGGGCTGGTACAAATTGAACGCCGTCGGTATCTCGAGTGATCTTGTGCAGAACCGCAGCGTCTATAGGAAGCTGAAGCGTGCGTAGAGGGCTGGCCATGTGTTCCTTTACACTGGTCTGATAAGCTCGCAACATCTGCTGCAGACCAGCACGGCGGGCTCCTCGCTCTCTGGCAAAGCTCCTCGGGTCGTTGGGGATGATGATAGTATCGTCAGCCAGAACCTTGGTGTTCGTGGTTGGATCATGTCGAACCCAGCCGGCATACTTGGAACCGGAGAACTTGACGAACGCCTCACTCTCTACCAGGGCCAGGTTGTCGTCCCCTTCGTCATCCTGCCACACTTCTCGCTGGTCATGTTTGAATTCCTCAAACAGTTCATAGTTGTCTGGTTCATCAATGAGCATTGTATTGACAGGCTCAACGGGTCGCGGGTATGTTGGTCGCGGCATCAGATCCCTTTTATCCGGAACAGGATTTGTCGTTGGGATTGGCCAGTTGTGTACGTCACCAAGCCAGTTGAGGCGAGTTGACTTGAGACTCCCCTTTGGCAGAGGGTTGATGATCAGCGGTGTCGGTTGAGCATTGTAATAGTCGAAGAGCTCATGCACCCTGACCTTTTGGAGAGCATTGGCATGCATCTTTTGAGTTTGTTGACTGGCATTCGCGAGCTGTCCCTTGGGGTCCTCATCAGAAAGCCATTGGAGGTATCGAACCGTCTCAGCAAACTTCTGGGCCCAGTTGAGATCACGATACATGTCTTCCTCGCAAAGCAGGTTGTTGATGTGCTCAAGCCGGACGGCCAGCGGAGGCTGTCTAAACCCTTCGTACTCGGAGTCAACCGTCCAGTCTGGGCCAGTGCGGTCCACAACGGGATCGACCAGCTGTCCTCCTTCTACCGCTGCGGTAGTGGGGCCATAAGTAGCGGGGAATTGAAGCTTTTCCAACTCTTTCATCTGCCCGAGGATATCTCCAAACATATCCCCTTGTTCACCGTCGGGACCTAGAACACTGGGCAGTGAGCGAAACGGTCCGGGCGGTACAATACTCATCGTCGCTCCGTTCTTCTGGTCGTCCAGGCGAATTTCGTGAACCCCTGCTGATAACGCGCGCCCCGGATCGTCGATGATATACGCAGCCTTCATCGTCTTCTCCGCCTCCTTGGGCCATGGCTTGTAATTGTCCGGGATAGGATGAAAGGGGAGAACAACCGACCCTTCGGCGCCCTGGAACCAATAATCCCAAATCGTGTAATGAGAAGCCTCCTCCATGAACTCGACCCCGAGACCGTAGTCCAGGATTTCGGGATTGCAGAGGAACAGTTGCAACTGGTCGATCTTGTCGGCCTCCTTGCAGGCGGGGAAAACATGGCGCTCCAGGTACTTTTTGAAAGAAGGGGGACACTCGGCGTAGTAGGTTGCATACTCGCGCAAGAAGCTAAGAAATTTTTCTAGGTGATAGTGTTGTGTCAGCCTGAATCAATCTTGTGATGTTGAATACGGAATCATACCATCCATGTTCTTTTTCATTTCACCAGCACCTCTGAGTTTGGGGCGACCCCCCTCTGTGCTGGGTCCAGACATCTTGACCACTGTAATTCGTTTTTCCCTTCTCTATCTCTTATCCAGCTCTAACAATCCACATGTGCTTGGACGTCGCGCGAAGTATAGTATCCTTGCCTTGCGACTCGCGCAAGGAGCTGAAATTTGTGAATTAGTATGCGGTGAACAGAGAAGGTAAGAAAGTAGCGGTTGAGTTGGGGTAAAAGCGGACACAAAGTTGCGTGTAAGAGGAAGAAAGGTGATTGTCCAGGTGTGAGTGATGTTTTGAGTCTATCGGACGGGAAGGGAGTGCACTCGAAGGGCAGCATTTTTGCTTCAAGGGACCAGTTGGCAACAATTAGGATCAATTGCCGTTCGCATACAAAGCTTCCGGATTGGGGACTGACAATAAAGAACAAAGCGGACTGCTTCTGTTGTCTGCATGAATCAAGCAAAGATGGTTCTGCCCGAGGATTTGTGCGTCTTTGTTCTCATCGTGAGACAAAGGACAATCTCATGAGCAGCAATTGGGCACAACAGCGGAGATGGGAGGTAGCGCGCAGAATCTCAATGGACAAATGGCCAGTCCTCAAAGGAAGGAAAGAAAAGGGGTCAATAACGTTGTTGCTCAAACTCAAGCTTGGGTGATGGTATCTTTTTCAAAAGGGAAACCATCATCTTTGCGAGCTTGTTGCTGATTATCGCGATTGGTGATGACTACCACGTTATCCTCAACCTGGCCGACATTATACAATATGGAATCCCCAGAAGAGAAACGGCGACAAGCCTTCAGAGAAGATGAACGACGCCTGCTTGAAGGGCAACCGATTTACCGGTTGGGGCCAGACGGGGCTGTGAGCGTGCTACGGCGTAGGTATGGGAACCAGTATCTCGACTCTTTCAAGCATCCATCCAGGCTAACTTTGGCAGGCCTGGCAGACGCATACATCGACCTCAACCACCTCCTCCCTCGGCAGACCAGCCTCATAGCCCTGGAGTTCAGACCCGTAGCATGAGCAGGATGCAAACCCAGAATGATGCGGGCTTCCAAGACAACGCTCATCTGGCCCATCCAAACGTTCCTGCGGCATCGGCTTCCCCGTTTGGTGAATGGACGCCCGATATCGCCTACGGAAGTGAACTCTGGGTAGAAGGTGAGGACTTGAGTCGCATTGAGATTGCCGATAGACGGATTGCGCGTGCCCGCTTGCGGGTCGAGCATTATAGAAACGCTCCCAACCCAGCCATTTTCCAGCAACAGCTGGATGAGGAGATCAGGAAGCGGGAGGAGCTCGATGACAATGACGAGGAGAACACCAAACCAATGTGAGTGATGGCATGAGTCCAAGCAATTGTGCGAACTGACATGACTTATTTCCACAGATCCACCCTTGCTTCAACCCATCGAGAAGCCATCAACAGGCGTCTTGAACTTTTGCGTGAGATTCTCGAGCAGACAGAGTCTGAAGCGCAAAGGGTAAATATCGAAGCCGCCATTGCCGGATATGAATCCGGGGCCATTCCGTATTCAAGGTCGTATACGCTTATTTGGGCCGGCCGTATCGTCGACACTTGTCCCGGTTACGGCTCGTTCACAACGGACCGTGATACTCGGCTTGATATGTATCTTGACGAGCATGGGCCTGGATGGCTTTGGCATGAGCCACCCCTCGCAGCGCAAGGAAAACTACGTGCCAAAAAAGGCACGAGTCTTGAGAACCCGCTCATGGGACGGCTGGACACATATGGACAAGGCCATTACAACATCAAGATGTATTTTCGCGCTCGCAAGGAGAAGGTCATGCGAGGGGGTGCCAAGCGCGCGAAGAAGTCGAAGGGGAAGATGCCCGAGTTCAACGCCCAACCTGACGACGAAGCTCAAGTGGTTGAGTTGAATCTGCTCCTCGACTCGGGCGCCACATTGCCCTGTATCAAGCCCCAAGACCTTGCCCTTCTCGGCATTGACCCGAAAACATACGCAGCGCAGACGGCCTCGGAACTCCAGCTCGGTGAGGGGACGGTGAAGAGGGCCATATATGAGCTGGATGTTGGGTTCAGGTTCGGCGAGGAAGACTGGGGGTTCCATACGGTGCCAGTCATCGTTTTGGAGGGCGAAAGTCGACTGAGCGGGATGCTCGCCTTCAACGTATGCTACATGTCGAGCGCGCCAGGCACATATAGAATGTGGCTTGGTCAGAAACGACGTGACGTGTTGGGAGCGGGTCGGCTACCGGGGCGTATGAAGGCCGGGGGAGTGCACGACGGCGAGGGCCGCAATCCGTTTTACGGAGCTGTTGGAACGCCGGCAAACAGCTTCTGGGCCACAGGAGGTATCGACTTGAGAGACCGAGACTTTTCTTCGAGGTTTCTCAAGGACCGCACGGACGAGTATGATGCGGTGCTGGAGGAACCGCCCAAGTTGTTCAGGTTCGAGCATGACCTGGGGAATGGTGAAAGTTGGGTGGATATCGGGTCCTCGTCTGGTGAGGAAGAAGAGGAGGCTGTCAAGGCAGCGCCTGTGAGGAAGGGGAAACGGCCAACTGGGTCAAAGTCTCAGGAGCCTCCAAATTGGCCCACTGAGGCCGATCTCCAGGCAAGCATAGAGCGCATTCAACGGTTGAGGAGGGAAATTTTGAGTGCTACTGGTCAGCCTGTGCCGGCGACGGGAAAGAGAAAGAAGAGGAACTCTGTATTGTTAAGCCTATGAGATGAATGTTGAGTATAATTGAGTGTAAACATATTGGATAGATGGAATTGAACAAGATGAGATGATGATGATGATGATGATGATGATGCTGATGCTGATGCTGATGACATGTATCGTGATCCAAGTTTTGGTGTTTGGCAGTTGGAGACTTGGAGTTCCAATTGGTGAAATGGTTGGGCTCCACTCAACTCATTGAGGTGCTCCCCCACTTTCCCCGTTCAGGTCCCGCGCCGGCTGGGCGGCGTCAGGGTCGTCTCCACCCTCAGCTCACTCCACTGTTTCTCCACTCTGGTAGGTCACTTTGGGGCACCTCACTTTGGGTGGTGCTCTCCAACTTTCTTTCTTGCAGACGGAAATTGCCATTGGAGCCTTGGGTCCTCTTTTCCCAATCTGCCCAGCGGGAGATCCCAAGTTCCCTTGAGGTTATCTTGTGAGGTTATCTGACGTTATCTGAGGTTATCCTGACTTCAATCGACGAAAAGGCTTTGAGAATTCGAGACAACAAACACGAAATGTGAGATGCCCCGAGGCATGCAAAGAGACTCTTTTGTCCACTTTGACGCAGGTAACGCAGATCTTGTGTTTCCCACGCTTCCACTTTCCTTTTGACTTGTCCAGTACCACCCTCCCAGCAGGCCATTGAGCCAACCAAGGCCCGGAGCCAATTGCCCATGAGCCCATGTGCCGCCCCCAGGGCCCAGGATCACCAGGCTAACTCAACACACTGGACCACCATGACTACCGGATGACTACTGCAGCAGTGTGCAGCGCGCTACAGGGGTCTCGTTTGGACCCGTTTCTCTGGCTCTGCTGACATTTCCATCTCTTCCATCCTCTCTCTCACTTCGTATTGAAACCTTTCCCTCCATTTGTTTGTCTTGATTCCTCCTTACCATCCAATCGCTCATTACGACAAACATTTGTTCTACGCTATCACATACGAACTTGCAAAGTGGAAGAAGAAGGGACAGGAGCTTGGACCGCGTCGCTCTCTCTCCTCTCCTCTCCTCTCCTCTCCTCTCTAGAGCCAGATAGTACCCCAATTGGACGTCATTTCCGAATTCATTCGGGGGCAGCTACATTTACTTACGCTCCTTCTCCCCCATCTACTCTGTCGACATTGCTGCGTCACTTGTTGTTGTGTTTCTCTCAAAACACCCCTTCCTCTCTTGACATCTACCTTGCATCCGCATTGTCCATTACCACGTCGATACCTACATCAAGCATCTGTCCGACACCATCGCCAAACCGTCTGACTATCCTCACCATGTCGTCCAAACCAGACCCGAGCGGAACATCCAAACGCTTCCAGCTGCCCGCCCTTGACTTCAGCTTTGCGCCTTTGACCGAAGGCACCGATATCCCCCCTCCCGAACCGTCGCCCAAGATAAGGGACGAGGCGCTCAGTACACCAAACGGGGAGGACCTCAAGGAAAAAAACACAAATGGAAGTGGAAATGGGTCACTGGCCCCGCCCAATGGAAAATCCAGCAGACCACACATATCCTTGCCGACGTCGCCTACCTCGTCCACGTCCGGGACCACCAAGTTGTCAGGTGAAGACCACCTCACATCACCCACGACGTCGTCGAGTCACAACGGAAGCATCCGCCGTATGCTCAGTCGCCACAAGCTGAAGGGGCCCTTCGTCAACGGCGAGAAGACAATTGCCGAAAATGGAGGAACAGTGTCGTCGGCCCATCAGCAGCAGCAACAGCAGCAGCAGCAGACGACGAGTCACCGGCCGCCGTCTAGCAACCGACCGCCGAGTAGCAACAACAATTTTGAAGTCAAGAAGTCGAAACGGGTCAGTGGGTGGTTTGGCAAGCTTTTGGGGGGAGGCGACAAGAGCTCGACTACCAGGAATAGGCGTGCCAGTATGATGGCTCCCCTTACCTCGCTATCTACCCCTGAACCGGCACCGGTACGACCGCTTACGGAGAATAAGCCCAAGGGCGGGCCGCCGCCTCCCAAGATTCCTGAGCTTAGCGAGCTTAAGTCTAGGCTGGATGCGAAAGACGGCGGGGGTCTTCTTGGGGATGATTTGTTCAAGAACATAAAATGAGCAGTCAACAACTGCGAAAAGGGGCGAGGTGGAGGTGAAACGCGGCACTTTTGCAACGAGCGGGAGAAATACATTCGTGGGGCTGGAAGCAATTGCCAGACTACACTTCCTTTGGAGAGAAAGACGAGCGAGAAATCATAGACGCACTGTTGAGGGGATGAACGTGGTGGTAGCGCGAGGAGGAGAGAGTGATCACCAAGATGGATTGAGACGGCGGATGTGGCGGAGGATCCAGAGATACCCAACCCTTTATTTTCTTCTTTTTTCACTTCTTTCAACCGGCTCATTGTTCGGGGGTTTCCAATCTTCACACGCATGATGAAACATTTTCTTCTCTTTGTTTTCAAAATCTGTTTCTTGAGTACAGGGCAGGGGGGCTGTCCCGATTTGTGCAAGTCATATGTTGGAGGGCTAGAAAGAGGTCTTCCTTTTACATGTGCAAGCAGTTGTTACTTTGAAGAAACAACAGTTCGAGACGTCTATGGGGTGCATGAGAGAGTACCATCGAGGAGTCACATATAGCAAGATACTCAAATGGTATTACAGAGTGTGATCGAACCGTCAATGCTTTGCATACCATCGTTACCTTTGCTGAATGTGCCATGTTATATCTTTTACCGCTAATAACAACCGTCAATGCTTTGCATATAATAACTTGAAGTTGTAGTCTCCCTCGGCTGGTTCGGAGCACGGCTGTGCGAGGTAGTATCACATTCACGCTTTGACCCCTTACATAATGGTGTATATGTACCTAGGTACAGCACAACATCATGCCACCGATGTAACGATGCTCCCACTTAGCTCCCAGTCCTTGAACTCGGTTGATTCGGATCATCTCCTCCATTACTTGGATATGCCGAGTGATCCAACTCTCACCAGCTCCGAGTTCTTCTGCTCAGCTTGAACCAGTTAGGTATTCAGGTTCGGGTTCCGGGTACATGAGCAGTAGAAGCTGAAGTAAACCACCATCTTCAACGCCAATACACACCCTCAGACATCCCAAAGCCCAAACTAGATCCCGTATCCCATTCCGGAAGGTGTCCCATCCAATACGATGTAAACTACCGCCCGAAATCACAAAACAGTCTCCTTGCAGCAGAAAAGGCGTTCTTCGGGGCTTGATCAGCACTTGTAGGGTTAGGGATACCCTTGCGACTTTCGAGATTCGCTCGGTCCTAGCCAAGCTCGCCAAGCTCGCCAAGAAAGAGTAAGATGGGTGGTGGTCAAAACTCCTTACCTAAGGGTAATGCCAAGGCTAGACGTCATCGCCAATTCCACAGTCCCGGTTCCATCAGACCGAGTGGGAACTTTGTAATCGATAAGAGCTCCGCGATGGAGCTTGATATCAGTGACTGCCGAAGCGACGAGAAGACGGGATGGGAGGGGATTGGGATGGATGTCGATGAGAGATTGTGAATGACTGATAACAATTACTTGTAAGAAAGCATACAATTTGGCTTCGTGATTAGAAAGAGAGATAGCATCTGTGACGCAATTGTTCATTTCATCTCGAAGCTAGCTGTCTGCCCTTGCCGGGCTCCATAGAGTGGTTGTGAACTTGAAGCTGTGGACGTGGTCTCCATTTTCTCCATCATTGCGGCCGTCGATCATCTCATCATTCCGTCCCCGCACCTTTTTCTCAATTTCCACGTTGCGTCGTCCCCCTCCCTCTCCGTCTCTCGCTCTCGGTTCTCTTACAACAAACTGAACATCCCACGCTCTCTTCATTGACTAGACTGGGTGCCAGCTTTGAAGCTAGGTAAGCGATTGCCAATTCCCCGGCCAAATCCCAAATCCCAACTTCAGTTCCCAAACCGCCACAAAAAAACGAAACTCAAAGCTAAAAAGCCAAACAACTAATTTCGCCAAAATCTCGAAACAGACGCGAGAGACTACCAACCCAACCTAGCTCCAGGAACAGATAACAAAAAAACCGAGAAAAAAAAAGCAAAAAGCGAAATGAAGACCACCCTCACCCCTGTCGCCCGCGCGACCGCCGCCGCCGCCCGACTCGGTGGCAGCTACAGCTACAGCTACAGCGCCCGCACCACCCTCCTCCTCCGCGCCGCCGCGGCCCCTACCGCCCTTCGCGCCTCCTCCCCCGCCGCTTCCGGCCTCGGCCTCACCTTCCGCCGCCACAAATCCGGTCCCTACGGGTACACGCAAGCCAAAGCGCTCGTCTTCTCGCGCTTCGGCGAGCCGGCCGACGTCCTGTCGGTCCACCAACACTCCATCTCCCCGACTCTGCCCGACGGCTCCGTGCTCATCCGCGCTTTGGCGGTTCCGGTCAACCCCGCGGACGTGAACACCATCCAGGGGACTTACGGCGTGAAACCCAAATTCAGTCCGCTGCTGGGGACCGCGGAGCCGAGTGTGATTCCCGGCAACGAAGGGTGTTTTGAAGTAGTGAGTGTGGGGAACGGGGTGAAAGGGTTGAAGCCGGGGGATTGGGTGATCCCGGCTACCACTGGGTTCGGGACCTTGCGGACGCATGCGCTGGTGGAGGATGCGGAGAAGAAGTTGATGAAGGTTGGAGGGGAAAGGGGGAAGGAAGGGCTGACGCCGCTGCAGGTGGCGACTGTTAGCGTCAATCCGTGCTCGGCGTATCGGATGTTGAGGGATTATGTGGACTTGATCAAGTTGAGTGTGGACGGGTTCGCGAAGGGTACCGCGTCGGGCGGGGCGTGGTTTTTGCAGAATGGAGCGAATAGTGGTGTGGGACGGGCGGCGATTCAACTTGGTAAGCTTTGGGGGTTGAGGAGTATTAATGTTGTGAGAGAACGAAACACGCCGGAGGAGACGGAGGCGTTGAAGAAAGAGTTGAAGGAGTTGGGTGCTACGGTGGTGGTTACCGAGACGGAGTTTTTGGACAGGAGTTTCACGCAGAGGCTGAAGGACGAGTGGACGAATGGTGGAAAGGATCCGTTGATGTTGGGCTTGAATTGTGTGGGCGGGAAGAATGCGGCGCAGATTGTCAGGAGTCTGAGTCCCAAGGGTGTGATGGTTACGTATGGTGGGATGAGCAGGCAGAGCTTCCCGTTCCCTACGGGACCGCAGATCTTTAAAAGGTTGAGGTTTGAGGGGTTCTGGTTGAGTGCGTGGGGTGAGGAGAACCCGGAGGAGAAGAAGAGGATGATTAATGAGATTTTGGAGATGATGCGCGAGGGCAAGTTCAAGGCTGCGCCGGCGCAGGAGGTTGTTTGGAACTGGGATACGGAGGAGAAGGTGTTGAAGGATGCGGTGCAGGGTACTCTTGAGGGATTCAGGAGTGGTAAGGGTGTCTTTGTCTTTGGTGAGACATAGAGGATGACGACGGGTGGTGTGTATGATCACGGTATATAGAGATAGATCTACGGGTGGACATATGAATACTTCATGTTACTTCATTATGCTGACTCAAGTCTATGACTATGCAAAACAAAACACATCGCTAACCAATCCTCCGACTAGTCTACGTCCGGAAAGCCTGCATCACCCCATGCAACCGATCAATCATAACCGGCACCAGCGCATTCAAACTATCCTCCATAATCTTCTCCAAGTTCCTAATCGCCTCCTCCTCGCTGAGCTCCAAGTGGAACCTGTCCCTAACCTTGAACACGGCCTTATCCGGCTCCAGCTTGATATCCGGGATATTCGCATCCACCATCAGACTAAACAGATTCAAGATCAAGTTGCTATTTTTCCTCAGCGCGCTGTACGCCAAGAAGCAGTACTGCTTGAACTGGCGATAGTGCTCCGAGTTAACCCCGCCCATGCAGTCCACCATCTCTTTCGACAACTTCATCACGGGCGCAAACGGCTTCGGGTCGCGGCCGAGTATGTACCCAAAGTCGGCGTGGAAGAAGTGCCCGTCAGGAGACAAAAGCAGGTTGTCCAGATGCCTGTCGCCGACGCCCAGGATGTACGTGATGACGCAGTAGCCGGCGCACGACTTGACGAAGGTGTCGAGCGTCTCCTTGCGCAGGCCGAGCGGGCCGTTGCTGTCGGGGTTGTTTTGCTTGAGGTAGGCGAGCGCGGCGTTGTTGCCGTATTTGTTGAGGATGCCCTGGAAGGACATGGAGGGGACGAACTGCGAGAGGCCGGCGCTGGTGCTGGTGGCGAGGATCTTGTAGGGCGAGAGCTTGAGGTCGAGATTCTCCTTTTGCAGGAGGTTGTCCATGAGCATTATGATTTGGATGACGAGCTGGTCTTGCCGGAGGTCGTCGCCTGTTTTGAAGATGAGCGGGTATTTGGTCCCGGAGGTGGTTTTGAAGGCCACCTTGATGGGATGGAGGGAGGATTTGAAGACGATGGTCTCCTCCGGGATCACGCCCGTGATCATGAATGAAGGATCTAGCGGGAGCGGGAGCGGCGGATCGATGGTGACCAGCTCGTTCTTGGGATCGGCCAAGAAGTGCTTGACCCGGTCGGTTCTTCTTGCGATAGACTCGTTGGCTTCCTTGACTTCTCCCGATACTTGCGAAAGGATACGGATCCACTCGGCCTGTCGTTTATATGTCTTTCTCTTCTCCTGGCCGCCCGGCTGCTTGTCAAGCTCGGCCATGAAATCGTAGGCAACCTTGGTGTAGATTTCCCTTGTGTCTTGCCCTTGTTCGGAGCTCCTGTCGTCGATTTCAACCATCACATACCAGTAGAAATAATTGCCGAGAGTCAGGCTTGACACGGCTCGCGTTATCAAGAATCTGGCCAGGGAACTATCCTGGGATACGTCTTGAAGGGACTGTGGCGATATGTGCTCGTACTTGAGCGCCTGAACCAGCTGCAACAAATACAACAGTAGCTCGTTGTCGTCTGCTTTGCGTAGACGCTTCACTGCAAAGGCTCTCACTGCCGAGTTGCTGAACGTTGGGCCCAGCAACTCCAGTGCATCGTCCACATCAATATCCGTCCACTTTTCGAGAACCACCACAGCCGACCTTGCTTCTGACAAGTCGAGCCAGTTGACCGACTTGACAAATTTGGTGAGAGCCTTTTTGTTTCTGGTTAACCAGTATCGGAACTTCCAGATAAGGTCCTTTTCCTCGGGGGACAGACTGTGGGTCGGCGGGTAGGACATGATCTGGTTGAGTTCATCCCTCACCTTGGCGTTCGGCTTGAGATCTTTATCCAGGATACCGTTTCGGTGCTGGCTGCGGACAAGTCTTCGGTGCTTGCTCTCGGCTGGGTTGTCCCTAGCGCTTACTTCCGGATCGTAAACTCGGATCAAGCGGCCTGTGGAGGTTTCATCGTCGGCATCTATGCGGCTAATTCCTGGTCCAAGCTGGATGTCTGGTGTAGGCTTCACCATGAGACCCGACTGTGAGGACGATAGATGCTGGAGCGAGGAGATGGGTGGAGGTGGATACTCGTGATCTGCAAAGACAACGGGGAAGTCAAATCTGGGCAACTCGACAGTCAAGAGAAAGTCGGACGGCACTGGGATCGACTTGGGGGCATCGGTATTGGCACTGGCGAGAGCTTCCTGTTGACGTTGGATAGCCTTGAGCCTAAGGGATGATTTGGCCGAACCATATCCGCGCTTTTCGATGACCCTGAAGGCCAGCTGGTCCAGCCAGTCGACACGGGGTATCTCTCCCATCTCGTGTTTCTTGAGTAGGTCCATCAAACGGTCGTACTCTTCGGCATCGTTATCCACCACAGAAGAGGGAGTGCCCTTCTTGCTAGCGCCTACACCGGACCTCCTGGGTATGAAAGCAGGAGTTTCGGTATCATCGTTGCCATCTGCTTGTTTGTTTCGGTACACGAAACACTGTTGGCGACCTTTGGATAGCTGGTTGTCCTTATCGAACAATGGCAGAGTGGTGCCGCCAAAGGGAATGGCATGGCCATGAGCGCCCTCACCTCCGGTTGGGGAGAGGTCCCAGAGGGTGATGGCCAGACGGGCATTTTCGGGGAGAGTAGAGTAGTCGATGGGCAGAGTGAGCCACTCGGACCATTTGCGCTCGTTCCGGAACCACTTGTAGGGTGTTTGGACTGGGACAGTCAAAGGCTTGGATCCGGCCCAGACCTGGACGGTGACATAGAGGTCCGAGTGAGGACTATGAGAGTTTTCATTCAGTAGCCATCTTCTCGGGTAACAAGGAACAGATGGGTGTACCTTTGGTTAGAGCCAATGTGTCGCAGGTCAGGCCTTTCGAGTAGAGTGCTGAATGGAATGGGGGTCTCCTCCCCCTCGAGACTCATGATGCGAATCGAGACGGGATAGTTGAGCTGGTCGGAGCTCGCAAACGAAAAGGGCTCCATGATGGGCATGGTTCCAAGTATTCCGGGGAGTGACTGTCCCCGAAACTGAACATGAAGCACGTTATGGGATGTCTAGAAAGGTGTAAAGAATGAAAGTCAGGCTGAAGTCCCTTGAGATGATGAATCCAGATGTGATAAGAGATGTTGTATGATGGATTCCATCCACTACGACCCCGCCGCCTATAGGGCTGGCAGGTACCTCTGTCAGTGTAACAACCCCACTACGTAACCGCAGTTACAGCGGCCAACAAGGTTCCCCAGCAGCTCCACCCCGCGAATTGGAGAGGCGGGAGGGGATCCACCCTTTTCTTTCGGCGGGGTCCACTCTGCTCTCCTCTCCTCTCACTGTAAATCGCGTCTTCTCTTTTGCAAGACGCGTATCCTGCTCTTCCTTCGTTTCCACTTCCACTCTCCATTCTCCAGGCTTCATTCGTCTTTCACCCACTGCTCGTGTTTCCCTTCAAGCAGGGAACAGTCATATTCGTGTACCCCATCAACTACAACCACAGTCAATATACGGTCAAATCTCTGCGGATCCAACAGCGACTGACTTGGATCGCATTCACCACCCTCTTCTCCCCCCCGACGACGGCCACTCCCTCACACGACCGGGATCAGTTGATATTCAGTTTGATATCTGGTAGCTCCAAGAACTTCTCGACCTGATTGGTGCTTCGTCGGCTTATCTCTACGTTCTGTACCTACCAAAACACATCGGTCACCCCGTATCACGCAAACACACCATGTCCGACGAGGATATCTACGATGCCTCCCCTCCACGAGCCAGAAATCTGGAGGTGAGGAACAAGGGCAAACGGACCTCAGACAGCCATGAAGGCCCCTCGGCAACAAGACGGCGTATCAGGGACCCATCGCCGCCCAACCCTGATGCAAACGGCGACCTCGACGAGTACGATCCTGCCCAGTCAATGCAGGAGCGGCGGCAGATCCAGAGGAAGCTACGAGATATGCAGAGGGAAATGAGAGAGAACCCCGACCAGTTCATGCAGGACAAGTCCTCGGAGGCCTTTATCAACTATCTGGACCAGTCAGACAATCTCATGCGCAGTGTTAAGCAGACCAACGAGGCCACCATTGAGTCTCGCGGTCTAGTCTTTATCGCCGACTTGTCTGCTCGTAAGGTCCAACGGGTAACATCGGGCAACATTGGCACCGGCATTGATGTCGATGAATTTGTCTCCAAATGCATCACCTACATGCGTCATGGCCGCGGCTTTGAGGACGACGACGCCCCCGAACTTACGAGCACACAACGCCACAGGAGACGGCCTGGCCGTGCCGCTGCTGACACCGAAGATGAGGATGACATGGGAGATGAAGGCGATATGTTAAACTGGCCACACCTGGGCCGTTATGCTGCCGTTCCCAGCGTACGCAGGCCAGCTCTGCCTGGCTTCCTCTCGGGCCCTCTGTCCATCGAAAAGAAAGTCCGAAGAATGACGCAGCGCAACGCTCCCTTCAAGATCAACAGCCTTATCGAGGTGAGACCGCAGGAGTTGAGGGCCGAGGATTTGAAAAAGTCCGATAAGAACGATCTTCCGTCTATCTGCAGGAATATTCTTGCGCAACTGAAACAAAAGCAGATTGATGCGCAAGATGCCGTGGAAGCCCTCCTCAATGATGGTGATATTAACCATCCCGAGCAAGAGTTCCTCATCATGGAAAAGTACGCGCTGCATCAACCAGGAGGCATTGACCTTCTACGCTTCGTGGTGAATCCCCACTCCTTCGGCCAGACTGTCGAAAACATGTTCTACGTGAGCTTCTTGCTACGAGAAGGGGGCATCAAGCTGGAATTTGATTCATATGGTCGTCCATCTCTCTGTATGTTCTTCTTCTTGGATTGTTTCCTGCGCAACATCCACTGACACACAAGCCTGGATACCAGCCGCCCAGTTCCACGCAGACGAGCAAGAAAAGGCCCAAGGAAGACATGGCACGACTAGACATCAGGCTATCATGTCGATCGATATGGATATCTGGAAAGACATCAAGGACGCTTACAACATCAAAGAACCCATGATTGAGCATCGAGAGGAGGAAAGCCAGCAAGGTCCAGGGGCACAAGGATGGTATAGCTAAAAGAGACTATTGGCTACGTTGGACTCGTGGAGGTGGGAAAGAAGTGTCCCAAAACCTTCTGCTGTATGTTGCTCGCCCAAGCCATTGTCCCTAAGCCGTGTCTTTGTCTACCTGTACCCAATAATAGTGATGGGTCGAGATGTCTAGGAGGACTGTAAGTAAGCGATGGAGTGTACCGCACCATGCGGATATCAGCCATGTGTGGCAACCTTATCAAAGTAGGGCAGAACCAGAAGCAGCGGCGAGTTGCACAATATGTCTGGTGTTTAGGCGAAGAAGCTTCAGGTCCACGGACAAAGGCCTGGGATCAAAACAGTAACGGCACACTTCGAGAATCTAGCATCATGTGAAGGCCTCGAGGCTTGAATGGATTCATCTAGGCTTTGACAACAAAAATCATTGAGCCCCAAATGGCCGCCTAACTCGACGAGGTGGGTTCCGTTTCTTTGTCGGTGCCCTCGCCTGTGTTCGATTCTACACAGCCGACAAAGCGGCAACTGACCCGTCGAGTCTTTGTCAATGCCGGCTTTTTCGAGTGTGATTGATATGCTTAACTCACCCGCTTCCGGCCAGTTTGAATGGCTTCCTTTGAGCATGCGCATGCCACCATAGCTGACTGTCAGGGACGGGTGGCAGCAAGACTTCTTTATGCCAGCAGTCTCTTGGGCCGAGGAAAACTCCCAGTCGATGTCGGTGCCTTCGATATTTCTCATCTCAACATTGCAACACCAAACATCGAGCAAAATAACACCACCAAAATACGCAAGGTTTGTACTGCAAGACGTCCGCTAACAGTCAGGAGTGAGTTTGCAAGATGTCCAACCCTTCGGAGGGGAATGGCCCCGGACGTGGGTCATTCAACACCCCGGGCCAGTTTACCAACGACCCGGCCCGTGCTTCAACGCCGAAGCTCCGGAAGAGCAAAGCACGACAGTCCCTACGTATGGATATGAGCGAACCGGAAAGCCCTATGGCATCTCCAGTATCTGGCCCGGCTGCGACCCGGTTTTCGGCTCCGACTCCGGCTCCGGCTCCGGCTCCAGCTCCAGCTGCTGGTCGGCATGCAGTTCCACCTTCGGCCTCAACTGCCGTTCCCACTGCGGTTCCATATACGGCTCCAGCCTCAGCTCCGACTGCGGTCCCGACTTCAAAGCCGCCTGCAGCTTCAGCTGATAGTTCAGCGCCGAAAGAGAGAGAAATGACAGTGGAAGAGAGGAAGCATGTTTTCAAGAAGATGAAGGCGGCCAGGGAAGCTGCCCGCATCGCAGCCCAGGGCAAATCCAAATATAACCCCCCTGCACAAAGATCTTACTTCCAGTCGGGCTCTGGTTGGGATGATGTCGTGGAAGATGAGAGCAATGGGGGTGATACGGGTATGAGAGTGAAAGCCGTAGACAGTGGAGATATTAAGGCTGGCGAGGACGTGACATCGCTGGACGATGACTACGTGAGTGACTGGGACAATGAGCAAGGCAACAACAACCCGGAAAACGAGAAGCCCAAGTTGTTGCACGAACGGTATGTCGGTGACGGTACCGGCGCCAGGAGAGTCATTAGGGAGGTAAAAAAGGCATACGAGTCAGATGAGGAAAAAGAAGATGTCGCAAACACTTCGGACATCGATGAGTTTGGCCAGCCTGTTCGTATTAAAAACAAACATGAAGTGGGGCGCTACCGAGATATGAACAACGCTTTTATGTTCAGCCCCTTCACAAGCCAGGACGGACATAGGGCGGAGAATCAAGCCTTTCTTGAGGAGTACGACCGGTTACGAGACGAAAGAGAAGACAGGAAAGCGGACCCCAACCACCCACTCCAATACAACCCATACGATGAGGGAACGCTGCGTGATACACGGTTCATGATCATCCAGTTAATGGCACACAAGGACCACGCTCTAGCAATGCTGGATCAGAAGGTCGATAGGCACAGTACGTTGAGGAAGTACATCGAAGAAGCAAAGGACCCTGCGATCGGAAAGGCTTTCAAGGCCCTGCTGGAATATTACGACCATGCAAGCAAAACAAAGATGCGGCTACTCCAGGAATTCCGTGCCCTGCAGATCAAGGTGGATGATGACAAGCAGGCCAAGGAAACCTTGGAAACATACCTCGCCAAGGCGGAAGACAAGCTGGCGGATAATCAGAAGTCAGAGTTTGACACGTACGGACAACTGATGAAGGAGAAGGAGATGAGAAAGGCCGAGGAACTTGAGCTTCAGAAACTCCGAGACTTCAAGCAGGACGCGGACAGGCAACGCCTTGCAGCGGTGGCCTTGGTCAAAAACACGTCCGATGTCAAGATTAAAGGACTGGAAGAGAGAGTCACCGAACTTCAATACCTAGAGCAAAACAGGGCCGCCGAGAAAGAATCATTGGCGCGAGTGCAAGCCGATCTCCAAGAGACGAAGAACGTTGTATCTCGCTTGCAGGCAGAAGCTACCTCCAACGAGGCTAAAGTCCAGCAGGCCGAGAAAACGGCGGAATCCTTCTCATCCTTAAACCGAACGGTGAACGAGATCACGGCAACCGTGAAAGCGCTGGGCGCTCCCATCAAAGGCGGCGTCAACCCCGGTGACATAGGCGCAACAATCCAGGAAGCTTTCGATGGCATGGTGAAACTGCACAAAGATCTTGCACAACAACTGGATCGTACCGTGAAGGCCAACGACGAGGCACAAGCGGCGGCCATTGAATCCGCCACACAAGCCAGCGACGACAAGGTTATCCGAGACGCTGAAATCAAAACCCAGAAGCTCATGTCTGAAAACAACAAGCTCAAACAACAGAAAGCTGAGGCAGAAGAAAAGGCCAACTTGTATCTCAAGAGACTCAAAAAGAAGGGTCGGCTTGAGCCGACCGAGGATCCATCGGTGTCCCTTGCCCTCGACCAGAAGTCATTGAAAGATCAGCAAGACCGCTGGGAGGCTGAAAAGAGTGCCCTGAACCAGCAAATCACGGATCTCAACAAGTCCGTCGAAGCCGCCAACGTAGCGCTCAAGGACAAGAAGCTTCTGGAGGTGGAGAGGGATTCTCTGGACGATGAACGACAACAACTGGCAGGGAAGAACAAGAGCTTGAACCAACAGGTCCTGGACCTCAAGCAAAAATTGGCGGGTCTGAAGGAGATCGAGTCCTTGCGACTGGACAAGGAGTCTCTGGAAGACCAGCTAGGACATGTGCAAGCCGAAAAAGAGGCCTTGCAGCAGCAGCTTTCTCAGACGAAGAAAAGGCTGGAAAAGGTGGAGGCGGACCTCAAGAACATGGAGTCTCAACGTTCTGAGCCGATCCTTCCGCAACATCAGCAGGAAGCTCTGCAAGCTGAAATTGACGCCTTAAATACCAAGCTCGAAAAAGTGAAGAAGGACCTGGCAGAGTCTCAGGAAGAGGAGAACCGTTTGCGCACATCGAGGGATAATCTGAGGACCATGAAGGATACTCTGAGGAGCACAGAGCAGACGCTTCGAAAGGAGATTGCTACGCTGCGCCAACAGCTTGCCGATGCTAAAGCAGCGAACACTTCTGACGCAGAGATTCATTCGCTGCGAGTACAGCTATCCGAAGCCAAAGCAGCCCAGCGAAAAACCGAGGCGGATCTGCGTCATGAAAAACGCCGTGGGGCCACATCACGTACCGAAAAGACGGGAGAGTACGTGGCCCAAACGATGGAGATGGAGAATCAGAGGAATGAGTGGCACAAGACGAAGAGAGCCCTGGAGGAAGAGATCAGTAGGCTCAAGAAGGAGCTTGACTTGGCCAAGAAGAATTCCGCTGCGCCAACAATTGTCAAAGTCAAACCGGAACCCAACATTGCCGAAAGCATCACCCGCGTCGAAGCACTCGTGAAGGAGCAAAAACCCCAACTGCCGCTGACTGCACGCGACTTCGTCCAAGGACTGGTTGCCAAGTTGAAGCAGGCGCAGGGACACAAAGACTTGGATGCCTTTGACGATGTCGTTCGTGAATGCATTGGCCTTCTCAATGGCGTCTTGAAGGAGCCTGTCTTTGATGAGAAAGACAAGAAGATGCTTCAGACTCTGCAGAATGAGTTGAATGAAGCTCTGAGAAAGGGCAATGAGGACCGCGAACAAAACGCGCGGTTGCAGAGCATCATCGACAAATACGAAGGCGAAAAGGAAAGTCTCGAAAAGGAGGTCAAGGTTCAGAAAGACGAGATCAAGAGGTTAGAGCAAGATATCAAAGAGAAGAAAGCCTCGTTGACGAACAAGCAGCGAGAGAGAGATGTGCTCAAGGAAAGCTACGAGGAGCAAATCAAGAATCTCAATGCTGACCACAAAAAGGCTGCTGAAGAGTTGAAATCGAGACACCAAAACGAGCTGGCGGACCTCAGAAAGACTGGCGACTTGCAGGAGACCAACCTCCTTCAGAAGTTAGACACACTCAGGCAGCAGAATCTGAGTGAGAGGAACAGGCTTGAAGCCGATTACACCGCTGAGAAGGCGAAGCTCACAAAGGATATTGCAGCTCAGAAAGCGTTGGTGGCGCAGAAGGAGAAGGACCTCGCGGAACTCAAAACTAAGAAAGAGAAGGAGATCAAAGATCTCACACAAAAGAAAGACGTTGAGCTCGCTACCCTGAAGTCAATCAAGCAAGTCGAGATTGATCAGCTTAAGAACCGCCACCTCCAAGAGACTGAGAGCCTTAACAAGCAGCACAAATCCCGAGTGGGAGAGCTGGAAGGTGAAATCGCAACGATCAAAGCGCAATACAAGAAGGACCTGGATGAACTCTCAAGCAATAGCACCAGCCAGGACGCTGTTAAGCTAAAGCAGCACGAAAATGATCTCGCGAATCTCAAAGCGAAGTACAAAAAGGAAAAGAACCAGCTCGCGGCCCAACACAAAACCGAGATGGACAGCCTTACGAACCGGTACAACGAAAAGGAGAAGCTTGCGGCCCAATACCAGGAACGTGTTCAGGCCTTATCGGCCGAACTTGCAGACAAGAAGGAGGAGCTAGCAGAATGCAAAGATCAACTGTCAACAAGTACAGCTCAGCTTACAAAGCTCACAGCGGATCACGGGGTCAAGGTTGATGAGTTGCAAGCGAAACTCAAATCGGAAGTCGCCAAAGTCACAGCTGATTATGAAGGCAAGATTTCGGAGCTCAAGACCAAACATCAAGGCGAAGTCAACGACCTCAAGGTTCACCATCAAGGCGAAATCAAGAAGATGACGGCGGAACACAACGAGAAGATCAAGAACCTCGAACACCGTATCAACGACTTGAAGGCTGAACTCAAGCAAGATAGAGCGGAATTCGACAAGAAGAAAGCTCTCCTCGAGGGCGAGGTTGCAACTCTCCAGGGGAAGGTCGATGACAAGTCTTCCAAGTTGAGCGCGAAGGAGGCCGAATTCAATGAGCTTAAAAAGCTGAACGAAGCCCAGATTGCCGAATTGAAGAAAGATGTCGCCGATAAGTCCAACTCTTTGCAGGACAAGCTTGAAGAACTCAGTGACCTTAAAGGACAGCACAAAACCAGGACCGAAGACTTCAACGTTCAGATCAACGAAAAGATGGCCCAGTTGTTGAAAGCCCAGAATGAGCTCAAGGCGTCACAGGCAAGCCTCAATACTACCACTGCAGAGTACGACGCCAAGATCGCCCAGCTAGAGAAAAGCCTCAAGGAAAAGAAGGACGAACTGAAGAGAAAAGCGGGCGCCGCAACAAGCTCCACGGAGCAGAACACACGCCAGCTCAACAAGCTCAATGACGATGTCAGGGATAAGCAAAAGAAGTTGGATGAGCAACAGGCTGAACTAAACAGTCTCAAGACAAAGCATCAGGCTGAAACTACGGATCTCAACCAGACTATCAAAGACACAGAGGCCAAACTGAAACAGAAGGAGACCGAGCTCACTGACCTCAAAAAGAAGCACAAGGAACAGCTTGATGCGCTGGAAAAGAGCATCGCCGAGAAGAAGACCACGTTGGCTCAAAAGGAAATCGAACTGGAAAATCTGAAGGCTCAGAACCGAACGAACATGATGAATACCAACCGGGAAATTGGCGATAAGACCACCGAACTTTTGAAGAAAGAAGGCGAGCTCAGGGACCTCAGACAGAAGTACGACGAAGCCCAAAAGTCGACCGATGGAAGTAAGGAGAAGGACCTTGCAATCGCACAATATAAACAGATCATTGCGACTAAGACGAGTGAACTGGAGAAGGCGAAGAAGGACGTCACAGCTCTTACCAAGGACGTCAACGATCAGAAAGCCCGAATCAAGGACCTTGAGAGCAGTGTTTCCAGCAAGAGAGCCGACTTGAAGAAGAAGGAAACGGAAATTGCCGATCTCAAACGACAGCACGAAGACGATATCAAAAAGCTCAACAATGACCTCAGCAATCAGAAGGTCAAGTTGGCGGCCAAAGAAACCGAGATCGCTGCTCTGAAATCCGGAAACGCATCCAGGCTCAATAGAGACATCCAAGAGAAGTCAGGTGAGCTGGCGCAGAAGAATCAACTGGTTGCGAACCTGAAAGTGCAGCTTGATGATCTCCAGAAAAAGCAAAACGACCTGGTCCAGAAAGGAAGCGATGCCGCCAAGCTTCAAGCCGACATTGACTCGCTCAACAAGAAGATCAGCGAGAAGAGACAGAAGGTCACGGAACTCGAGGGCAGGGTCAACAAGCTTGATAACGAACTCGCGGAAGAGAAGGCGAGAGTGTCCAGGTGCGACAGGGAGATTACCGACCTTAAGAAGGATGTATCCGACGAGAAGGCCAGAACCACCAAGCGCGACAACGAGATCGCTGGGCTTCAGGGCAAGCTGGATGTTAAGCAAGCCTCGAAGGAGACGCTTGAGAAAGATATCAAGGATCTCAAGGAGAAGCAGGAGAAGGAGATCGCCAGTCTGACCAGTCAGATTGTTGCCAAGAATAAGGAGATTGTGGCGTACGAGCGCGATCTCAGTTCCCTCAAAGCGGACTACCAGAAGGAAACTACCAAGCTCAAGAATGAGATCACTCAGAAGGAGAAAGAGTTCGCGGCAATCAAGGAAACCAACAAGAAGCTTTATGCCGATATCAAGGAGAGCCAGGCCACGCTGACGACCTCCCAGACGAAAGTCAAGGATCTCACCCAGGAGGTCCAACAGAAGAAAGATCTGATCAAGGATCTCGAGACTCAAAACGCTAAGCTCCAGACTGACATCGAGAACAAGAAAGCCGAGATCGAAAAGATCAAGGAGGAACGGAGGGCGCTTAACAGCGAGGCAGACAAGAGCATCACCAGGATTGAAGGCCTTGAACGCAAGATCAAAGAGCTCACCGGCAACTCCGCAGAGAAGGAAGCCCAAATGAAACAATACCAGGCCGACCTCGCCAAGAAGGCCGAGACCGAAGCCCGCATCAAGCAGCTTGAGCGTGATCTCGCAACCAAGTCGGATTCGCTGGCGGAGTACGAAAAGAAGTACAAGCGGGCCAGCATGGATGCCAACAACTACCGCAGCTCGTTGGCGCACACCCAAGGCGAGGTTGCCAAGCTGGAAGATGAGATCAAAAAGCTCAATAGCGATATTCAGCATTGGGAGGATGAGACGTTCAAGAATCAAGGGGAGGCTGAGAAGGTCCAGGACCAGGTCAACAAGTTACAAGCGGAGGTCAAGGACAAGAACAAGATCCTGGCGGACCACGAGAAGGAAATCCAGACTCTTAAGGACACCGCCAAGCGGCTTTCTCAGGATCTCATGGACAAGAAGTCCGAGTTGGAGGATACCAACTCTGAACTCAAGCGTGCCAAGGACCAAGTCAGTCAACTGACGCAAGACAACAAGGACCAGTGGGTTGTGGTCGACAAGAAAGATGGCGAAATCAAGAAGCTACAGGAGGAGGTTGACGATCTGAACACCCAGATGATGGGCAAAGGAGACGAGCTGATGAAGAAGGGCGAAGACATCAAGAAGCTTCGGGAGGAAATCAAGAACTTCAAGAAGGACATCAGCGACCACGAGACTACTCTAGCAGAAACGATGGCTGAAATCGACAAGCTGTCGGCCGACAACAAGCAGCTCACCGATGAAATCAGCAGCTGCAAAGACAAGTTGAAGCAATCTCAAGCCGAGGCTGATGGCCTTAACAACGACATCAAGGATATGAAATCCACCAAAGAGAGGCTTAACAAGGATGCCAAAGCCAGGGACGCCCTGGTGGCGGAGAAGACGAAGGAGATCCAAGCCCTCAAGGACAACATCGCTAGGTTGAACCAGGATATCAGCACCAAAAACGCTACCCTGGGCGACAAGGGGGAGGTAATTGACCAGCTCAAGGACGATATCAAGAAGCTCAACGGCGATATCAAGACAGCCAACAGCACCATCGACACACTGAAGAAGGAGGTCAAGGATAAGGATGCCAGCCTGGCTCAAAAGACGAAGGACGTCGGCGCTAAAGATGCCGAGCTTGCCAAACTGAAGGCAGAAATCGCTTCCAAAGACACTGCCCTCGCCAAACAGACGGATGAAGCCAAGGCCCTTGAGAAGAACGTCCAGACACTTACCGACCAGGCCAAGGGGTTGAACCAGGACGTCGCCTCCAAAAATGCCCAGCTCGCACAAGACAAGGCCACAATCTCGAAACTCAACAAGGACATCTTCGATCTCAAGAGCGACGTGACCAAGTTGAAACAAGAGCTCAATACCAAGGACTCCAGTCTAACACAGAAGGCGGGTGAAATTGGTTCTAAAGAAGCTGGCCTTGCCAAATTGCGGGAAGAGCTCCGTGCCAAAGAGGCTGCCCTGACCAAGAAAACCGAGGAAGCCAACAGTCTTGAGAAGAACGTCAAGAAGCTGACCGACGAAGCCACGGGGCTGAAGAAAGATGTCACCAGCAAAGATACGCAACTCGCCCAGGACAAGGACGCAATCTCCAAGCTTGAGAAGGACATTGCGAAGTTGAAACAAGAGCTTAATACCAAGGACGCTAGTCTGACGCAAAAGACGGGTGAAATTGGCTCCAAGGACACTGAGCTCGCCAAACTGAGGGAGGAGCTCCGTGTTAAAGAGGCTGCCCTGGCGAAGAAGACTGCGAACATCAAGGGGTTGAATGAGAATGTTGCCGCTGAAGATACCCAGCTCGCGCAAGACAAAGCCAACATCGACAAGTTGGAGAAGGAGGTCAAGGGTCTCACAGCCGACATCGCGAAGTTGAGAGAAGATGTGGCTGCTAAGGACAAGAGCTTGGCTCAAAAGGCCGAGGCAGTCGATCACCTCAAGGCAGACATTAGCGAGCTCAACAGTGAAGTCGCGAAGCTGAAGAAGGAAGGTGCTGACAAGGACGCCGACATACTGGGCAAAGAAAAAGAACTCGTCAGCCTTCGCAAGGAAGTTCGAGAGCTTAACAACCAGGCCAAGCAGTCTGCCACAGATCTTGGCAGCAGAGATGCTCTTTTGAAAGAAAAGGAAAATAAGATCTTTGAGCTTAAACAGGAAATCCAGAAGCTCAAGGACACCGCCGAGGAGCTGGACCAGACTACCAAAACTCGGGACACTACGCTGTCGCAGAAGAACGAGGAGATGCGTAAGCTTAGGGAGCAGATCAAGCAACTGGAGGATGAAGCCAGCGGCCTGAAGAAGGAGAAGGAGACGCTTGGTCAGACGATCAATGCCAAGGACGGTTCTTTGAGCAAGAAAGAGCAGGAGATTTCTGACCTTGAGAAAGAAATCAATCGTCTCAAGAACAACGTCGATGTGCTCACAAAGGATAAGGTCGACTTGGGACAGACCATTGGCGCCAGAGATGCTTCCCTGCTGCAAGCGAACAAGAATATCGATGGCCTCAAGGGTAGCATCAAGCAACTTGAAGAGAAAGCCGCCGAGCTCACAAAGCTGGATGCTGGATTGGATCAAACCATCAGCGAGAAGGATGCTTCCCTACAGAAAGCCAACAAGGATATCACTGACCTCAAGGGAAGCGTTCAGAAACTGGAAAGCCAAGCCGCCACACTGGCAGAAGAAAAGGTTCGAATGGGCCAGACCATTGGCGCCCACGAGACCTCCTTGCTCAAAAAGAACGAGGAAATCAAGACTCTGACGGCCAATATCCAGCGATTCACGACCGAAGCCAAGAAGCTCAACGCCAGTATCGAAAAGCTTACCGAGGACATCAGCAGCCAGAACAAGACCCTTGCGCAAAAGGAGCAGACGATCCAGACCCTCGAGAAGAACATCCAAGACCTCAACGCCGAACGCACCAGACTCGAGACCAACGCCGCAGAGATGAACCAAACCACCAACGCCAAAGACGCCACCTTAACCCAAAAGAACGATGAAATCAAGAAGCTCAGCGATCAAATCAAGCAACTTACAGCCGAAGCCACCAAGCTCAAGAGCGACGCCGCCGTTCTCAACCAAAACATTCTGTCCAAGGACGCTGATCTGGCCAAAAAAATGGAAGAGATCAACGGCCTTCGAGCCGAAATGGCGGCGCTCAACAAAGCTCTTGACACCCGGGACACCACCCTCTTGCAAAACACCGACGAGATCAACAAGCTCAAGGGAGACGTCCGACGACTTACCGACGAGACCACCGCGCTCAAGAAGGACACCCAGAAGCTGAACGAGGATAGCAAGAGCTGGGAGGAGACGGTGAAGCAGCGGCAGACGGAAATCAACAAGTTGAATGATAGTATCAAGAATCTGCAGGAGGAGATTAAGCGCAAGGAGGCGCTATTGGCGACAAGGCAGGGTGAAATCAATGCGCTGAAGACCGATATCGTCGGTCTCAAGAAGGATATTGCCGAGAAGGACGCCCAGTTGAAGGAGCGCGATGGGGAACTTGGGAAGCTTAAGCGTAGCATTGCTGCCAAGGAAACTTCGTTGGAGAAACTCGAGAAGGAGAAGACTGCTCTTACGGAGAAGGTTGAGCAGCTTCAGGGAGAAGTCGGTCGCCGAAGGAAATCATTAGACCTCCGCGAGGATAAGATCCTGGAGCTTACGAAGTCCGAGATCGCAGCGCAAATCGAGTTGGATAAGCAGAAAGCTAGAAACAAAAGCCTCGAGGAGACAAACACCGGATTGCGAAATCGTGCCGCTAAGGAAGGCGATTCGCTTGACCGGTTGGGTGACGAGGTCACGGAGCTGAACAGTCAATTGTTCAAGAACAAAAATGAGCTGGCCAGCTTGCGAGAAGAGCGGGACGGTCTCCAAGCCGACATCCAAAGCCTTTCCCAAGCCCTAACCAAGGAAGGCGCCAACGTCTCCCAACGCGACGAACAAATCGCCCTCCTCACGCAAGAACTCACCACCAAACAAACCGCCCTCGACGCAAAACAAGCAGCCATCGACCACCTCGAGTCCGAACTCACCTCCTACAAATCCCAACTCGCCGAGCGCCAACAAGCCTACGACCTGCTCGCCTCCTCCAGCACCACCTCCCAAGAAGAACTCGCCCGCTCCGCCGCCGCCACGCACGCCCGCCTCTTGGCCTGCGAAGCCGAGATCGCGTCTCTCCAATCTGAGATCGGTAATCTCAACGAGGACATCTCGGCCAAGAAAACCCAGATCGCAGATAACGAAGAGCGCATCGACACGCTCCTCCGCGAGGCGGGGACTAACGAGGCGCAGCTGGCGAGAATGAAGAGGACTATTGCTGAGTTGCAAGAGGAGCAGGAGAGCCAGAAGAGGGTGTTGGATGAGTATAGGAGTCGCCTTGCACAAGCGGCGGCGTCTTCGTCGGCGTCTTCGTCTGCGTCTGATAGTGCCTCGGATACGTCGTATGACGACTGTGGTGAGCCGTTGGTTAAAAAGTTGTCGGCTGATGGGAGCCAGAAGCTGGTGAAGGTGATTGATGATTTCATGGAGATGATTCCTATGCCTGTTGGGAGCGCGAGCGCGTTGAGTCAGGAGCAGCTGGATAGGTTGTTGGCGGAGGCGAGGAGGGCGTTGCAGGAGGGAGAAGGGGGAGGAGATGGGACGACGGATGCGGAGAGGGTGGTGGTGAGGAATACGATGAAACAGCAGCTGGCTGAGCAGATGGGGAAGCAGGATAAGCTGGAACGGATGATTGATGGGTTGGAGAAGGAGTTTAATGGGAGGGTTGCTTCCTCTGAAGGATCGGCTGATGATGCGGTTGCTGCGAGGAGGACTCATAAGGAGTTGATGGACAGGTTCAGGGAGTGGTTGGCTTGGAGCCGGGGCCGGACGAGGTTGCTTGAGAGGGAACTGGATCTCGATGAGACGCGCCAGAGGCAGGTGGTGGAGAAGCAGGTGACCAAGACGCTGGTGAACTTGGAGGTTGGAAGGTTACCGGAGCGAAGAGGCGAGAAGTTGTGTTTCTGCGCTTTGTTGAAGTTCTTTGCGCCGAGTGTCGTGAGGAGGGTTACGAATCAGGGACCGACGTGTCTGGATTGCCAGAGGCCGAAGAAGGCGCAACAACTCACAACAACCTCTCAGCCTGTACTATCGTCGTTGTACCACGGCCACAACCACCAACACTTCCCCGAAGTCCAAACAGCGCTTTGCTACATCATGACGGCGCTGCTCTGGTTCGCCATGCTGGTCAGCATCCAGCCCTACCACTTCGTTACGGTGGGCGTCTCGGGCATCCTCGCCATCCTGCGGTTGCCGCAGTTCCTGCTCAGCTGGGGCAAGTACTACGGTCAAGTTGCCGTCAGACGATACCGTCACTGGGAGGAGTCCAGAACCAAGAAGAAGACAGCAGCCCCGACAACGGATATCTACACAGGCTTAAAGAGGCCAGAGCTAGGCATCCCGTCCTGGCTCACGGCCTCATCGCTCGTCGGCTTCACCGTCACCCTCCTCTTCGTAGGCATGACGCTGACATACTACGCCGTCTTGCAGGAAAGGCGGGTGTGGATGAATGCGAACAACTGGCGTAGGCCGTACTTGCGCAGCTTGATCGGGAGGGAACCGTACCCGGGATGGTCGCCTATGAAGGTTGATCATAGGTTCTGGTTTGAGCCGCCGCTGGAGTTCCTGTTGGGATTGATGAATGACTATGTGGTACACCCTCTTCTGTTTGGGAGTGATTATGGTGGTAGTACATGGAGGAATGGGACGGGGGTGTATGATGCCGATGGGACGCCGTTGATGATTAGGAGAACACAATGAGGGGGATGTTGGGGGAATATCGGGTACAACAGTTAAGGTTTGGGGGATAGAAGATGTTTTGTTTCTCTGTTCTTAAGGGGTATCTTGTGTGTTATCTGGTTATTTTTCTCATCTTTCGTCATTCTTGTTTTGTCATGTTTTGAGTACCTTACCTAGGAGTTAATGGAGTTGATGGATGCTTTGAAATACCGGCCTCACACATGAACTCCTGAAGATTGACAAAGGAGTAATCGTAGAAACTGAGACATTCTCACAAGGGTAAGATTTCGGAAGGTCCCTTGAAATGCAACCTTGCGGAACGGAGATTGAGAGTCAAGACTTCCGCCGATGAGGTTCCATGATGATGTCTCAGAAGTTGCCCGTGGAAACGACCGGAGCACCGACCGGAGCAAATTCCGCCCGCTGCAAGTGCTCAACTGCCTGCTAATTCAGGGGTTCGCGAGGCCTGGAACGACCGAAAAGTCCCCGAACCCCCCCCCCCCCCCCCCCGTTATGGCTCCATCGTCAACGGCCCCGCATACCCAAACCAGCGCTAAAGTGGACTGCAGGTCCCCATGCGGCCGAGGTCCCGTAGCCATGCGTAGCCATGATGTCACTGGCCTCCTCCAATCACATGGATTATCTCCTTTCGACGACACTACGACACCCTCACCACGGAATCCCTTCTTTTGCCCAAGAGTTGATAAGATTCCGTACAAGTAATCACGATGCCGAGGCTGCCCGGACGCGTCTGCGATCCGTTGCTGTTTTCCAAATGCTACACAGCCTCCTTGAGAATGGGTGTAAGTGACCATGATCCAATCATATGATAAGAAACCACCCTCCCATTTGAGGTTGTAATAAATCATTCCAAATTCTCGTGTCACTGCCACGAATTTCCCATCACGTTCACACCTCTTGTTTTACTCAGCTTACACATCTTGTCTTCATCTTCGGTCTGACTCTTATCATCGACTCCCTCGATATAAACCAAACACAACATCACCAATTAACACCATCCATCCAACCAGTATCCCATCGCCAGCAGCAGCAGCCTCTTATTTAGCACCACCAAACCCTCCAAATACCCCCCTTTCTCTCCCCGCGGCACCTTCAAAACCCCTCCACCTTCAAATACCAACAAAACGGCTTCGACAAAGCCCATCATCGCAACCGTCATCTTCACCCTCGCCGCCGCCTCCGTAGGAGCCGTAGTCTACTTCCGCCCGGGAATCGGACGAAAAGACATAGAAGCCGCCAACATGTCCAACAAACTGGTCCCAGCGAACCCGGACGAGGTGATGGTGATTCGGGACGTCACTCCCAACGTCGTCACTTTTTCTGTTCCGTTCCTGCGCTTTGGAAAGATCCCGATTGGTGGGAGGGGGACTTTGGGTAAGACATTATTTTCCGTCCTAACTGCCAAAACTGAAACCTACCTACCCTATCAACTTATTACCTTTCCACTTCATCCCACTACAATGTACATATGCGTAACAACCTCCCGGAACCTGTACCTAACTGACTGACACTGACACTGACATCAACCCTCTCCCAAAGTCAAACTCTCCAACAACACCCTAGCAATCTTCTCCCCCGTCTCGCTCACGCCCTCCGCCCTCTCCCGCGTCTCCTCCCTCGGCTCCGGCCAGGTGAGCTACATCATCGCCCCCGACATCGAGCACCACATCTTCGTATCCGAATGGGCGCGGGCCTTTCCCTCCGCGAAAATCATCGGACCGGAGGGTCTTCCCGAGAAACGGAGCAAAATAACCGACGACGAACGTATCGGTCACGAACCCTTTTCCGTCGTCTTCACCAAGGAAAATAAACAGACCATAAAAATCGACGAGGACTTTGATAAAGACTTTGACTACGAATACGTCCACTCGCACCCCAACAAGGAACTGGTCTTTTTCTACAAGCCGGATAAGGTTTTGATCGAGGCCGATCTCATGTTTAACCTGCCTGCGATTGAGCAATACTCTAAAGTGCCAGAGGCGGAAAAACCGCACGGGAGTTTGTTGGGCAGGATTTTCCAGGGGATGAATAACACCGAGGGAGAGGCCAAGGGGATCAAGAGGTTTTTGTGGTATGCGATTAGTCGGGGGGATCGGGCGGGGTTTAATGAGAGTGTACGGAGGATTCATGAGTGGGGGTTTGAGACGATTGTGCCGTGTCATGGGGAGACGATTGTCGGGAACGGGAAGGAGGTTTTTGAGAAGGTTTTTGAGTGGCACTTGGTTGGGCATAAATGAGTAGACGAACGGGAGGATGGATGGATACCCAGGTAGGTTGGTGATGGGAGTTGGTAAGGGGGTGTTTCTTTTTGTGTTTATCAATGTCTCGGTCTATGGACGGTATGGTCAGGGTTTGTCTCTATGCCTTATGGGAGGTTAATGATATGGATGTAATACTGGATGTTCAGGGGTATCATCACTATGTAAACAAACCTAAATACCCTAACACCGATCATGGTGCTTCTAGTTATACAAACGTCGAGAGTTAAAGACGCCATTTTGTCTATAGCTCCTCCCCGACAACACCAGCTACCGCCTCCGCAACAGCCAACAGCCTAGCATCATCCCAATACTGCCCAATGAGCTGCAATCCAGCCATGCCCGTTCCCTCCTGATCCTCAACCCTCATCGGCACACTGATAGCCGGCAACCCCGCCAAGCTCGCCGGCACAGTAAATACATCATTCATATAAGCGCTGACCGGATCCTTCTCCTCCTCGCTCAGCACCTCCTCCAACCTGGGTGCCGTCGTCGGCGCCGTAGGACACAGCAAAAAGTCCACCTCGGTAGGACCCCACTTATCCTCCAGCCCGACCGTCTCCGGCAGCTCACTGAGCTCAAAACTTTCCGGCTTATCCAGAAGAGGGTTAGGCAGCGCAAAAACGCGATTGAAATCCCGCCTTACCAGCCGCCGCACCTTCTGCGCTTTGAGGAAGTAATTATCCATGGCGGCGGACGAAAGGGTGTACGCGCCCAGGAGGATACGGCGCTTGACTTCGTCGCCGAAGCCAGCGGCGCGGGCGCGGGCGTAGAGGATTCCTTCTTCTTGTCCTTTTAATCCTTCCGAGGTGGCAGCATCGCTCTCGGTCGGAGAGGTAAACCGCGTGCCGTACCGGATGCCGTCGTACTTGGCCAGGTTGGACGAGGCCTCGGCGGGCGCGATGACGTAGTACGCCGACAGGGCGTGGCGGGTCGAGGGCAGGGAGACGGGGACGAGGCGCGCGCCGAGGGATTGCAGTTTGGCGGCGGCGGCGGACCAGGCGTGTCGGATCGAGGGCGAGAGCTCCGTGATGTTGTACTCGAGCGGGAGGCCGAACTTGAGGTTCTTGAGCGGGTATGGGTCCCGGGAGGAAAGAGGACCGCCGTGGTAGCAGTCCCGTTGGCTGGCGCATCGTCTGCGCGCTGCCGGGGAGAGGCTCGTGGGATCGAGTGGGTCGTGCTCGGCCCAGAGGCCTTTTGCCTCTCCCGATCCGAGAATAAGCTCGGCAATGGGCCGCACTTCCTTCGCCAGCAACCCTACCGTGTCGAGCGAGTTGGCGTAGGGAACCAGGCCGTAGCGCGAGAGCATCCCGTACGAGGGCTTGAATCCCACCACGCCCGTGTACGCGGCCGGCAACCGCACTGAGCCGCCCGTGTCGGTACCGAGGGCAATGTCCGCTTCGTCGGTGGCTACCGCTACGGCACTTCCGCCCGAGCTGCCACCTGCCGAGTGCTTGACTGCTTGTTGTTCCTGCTCCCACTCCTGCGCGACTGCTCCAAAGGCCGTGTGTACCGAGTGGCTACCCATGCCGAACTCATCCAAATTGGTCTTGCCAACCAAGTGCGCGCCACGCGATCGCATCTGGGTGACGATGGTAGCCTCAAAGGGGCTGCGGTAGTTGGCGAGGAAGTTGGAGCCGCATGTCGTCGTTAGAGGTGTTTCCTCTTCGGGGTTGGGAGAGACCGTGGCGATGTTGTCCTTGACGGCGAGACGGAAGTGCTGCTGTTCGAGCGCGGGTTGGTCACCTTGTTGTACTACGAACCAGAAAGGCTCTTGTTAGCGAATATATACCTCTATGCAAATAAAAGTCCACAGATATCCGGTACGGTACCTCTAGATATAAACTGATTCAGGAAGCGTCGCTGGATGGGCGACGTTTGCCTTGTCGAGCTCACATGGCGCAGACACAGGCCCCGCAGCCGCCCAGTTCTAGCTGACATGTGGTTTCTTGGTCACGACCCAGCTCGATTTGGCGCTCAATTGGGTCGGTTGCGGTGTCGGATCACCATGTTTCTGTCTTTCGCCGTGGTCGGGAATCGCGAGAGTTTCGGACGGAGCTTGGAGAGCTCAAGAGGGGAATTCCCGGGCAATATGTTGCTGGGGTAAAGCTGATAAGGGTTAGGGTTGGCTGTGGCTGTCTCTTGAAGTCGGGGGATGTGAGCTAGACATACTGGGTTTACATGAACTTAAGGTAAATGCTCGTAGGGATGGCTACCTGTTTTTCGTGAAGATGACAGAGAATGGGGAGAAATTTCTTAGCAGTCAAGAGCTAGAGCTATAAGTATTGGTGGTCCTTCTTGAGTGGTTTGTTCTCACATGGACTTTCACGTTGTCGGGAACCTCAAACGTGCCAGGAGACTTGTAAGTCAAGGAATGAAGTCTGGGTTTGTCATTACAACTATCTAGGCTTTTGTAACGGACCAAATGGTCGTGTGGGAGTAAGAACTGTTAAGAATCTAGGTTTGAATCCACCTTGAAACCTAGAAACAGGAATGTCGTGTTGGTAAGAATGTCTACCACAGTAGATAGCGAAGTTGCTGCATGATGTTGTTGAAGCGTTGCTACCCTTTGATTTTAACTCCAGAATAAATCGATGATCTTAAAGCAGTGACAGGAAACAGAATGAAAAACACCAGTGATGATTCGATCAATGACAAAAGGACTGCAACACCAGCCAGTAGTGTTTCGTGAGTTCCCTAGGTAGCAGACCAGAAGGCCACCTTCAGGTTTCTTGACCTTGTTATGGTCCCCCAATCGGTGGCCCCCCAACATATGACCACCACCACCAGGCGACATCTCCCCATCCCACTCCGCTAAACCAAGCAGAAACAGTGTTGCGGACCCATAGGACTTCGTGGGGGTATAAACCGGACATGAAGCATAGGAGATGGGTGACGGGGGTTCTCTCTGTCACAATCTCGTGACGGTTCTCCCTGACTGGTTGTTGATCCGAAGAGAGACCATCGTTATTACGCTGCGTCTGCCGCACGGGAGTGGGACCTGTTCTCCAGACCTGTAATGCCGCGAATATCGTGACGGCCAAGCAAGCGGCTGCCCACCATTTCCTCACTCGCGGATGATTCTAAAGGAAAATGTCATTAGCCAACGTGCCAATCTCAAGGAGTCACTCGTAGTCGGAGACTTACCTTGTACCATGCTGAGCATCTCTGCATGTGATATACAATTTTTCTTGTAAAAGTTAGCAAATGGATTCCATTCGTACAAGAGAGAGATAACGTACGCGGAGGTCCTGTTTATCTTGTCGAGTCGTTTGGTGATATCACCGAAAGTGGTGTAGACGGCTTGAAACTCGGCCATTGTCTCGCAGAAAGGCCTAGGAGGATGGAGAAACAAATGAAAAGAGAAGGAAGAATAGGCCAAATGAGATGGATGGGATCACTTCCTTTGAGGAGGTCTTTCGCGCTGCTCATGGGTTATTTTAGCGGAGCGGCAGAGGGAATCCGCCAGGATGTGGTCGTGGGTATTGGACTCTTATTTTGATGAGAACCAAAAATAAGCGAAGAATCAAAAGATGGTCTTTGATGGTGACGGTGAATTTGGTTTTGGAGATGGAAAGGGAATTCATCGGAGAAATTGCACGGGCAATGGCTTGTCTTATAGTTGTAAGTTCTAAAGGCTGAGTCTTGACATTACCACATCTTTTCCATAAATTGGTGGTGCATGATGCCGGACTGTGAATATCTGTACACTTCGGGCTGGAACCAACATGCATCATAATTATGCCCGTTGCTTCCGCCGTGGATGAGGCGGTCATGTTGGTGACGACCGGAGTTCAGGGGAACGCATTCGCTGGTCCGTGAGTTCAAAGCAGCCATACTGATGCACCTAGGTGGGACGGGCGGAAGGTCGCCTTTAAGACCCTGATCGATGACTCTACCATGTAGCGGAACTCTAAAGCCGTCAGTGAGTATGGGATACCGACCCTGCTGGAGTCCCGAATGGTAACGTTGACGCATGGAATGGCGGGTTATAGCCACAACTGTCGGCACCGCTCACATCTGACCTTGAACGCACATGGTGTCTAAAATGCTCCTCAAGATCCCTGCTTGAAAAGGGGTCTGCACCTTTGTTCCAAGTCTCGCATATCAAGCAGGATATCAGACCCTCGCCCGGGAAACGTACGAGTGTCGGGCATTACATCCCTACCTCCACGTGAAGAGCTTCGCTCGCGAGTCCGTTGGTGTTATTCTGGTCCGTCGATATCCATCTTCTCCTTGTCATTGCGGTCTTCCGGTGTCCTTGATCTCGATCTCGATCTCGTCCGTGAGCTTCTCCTCCTGACCGGTGATCGGGACCGGGAATAAGATCTCGACCTCGACCTGGACCTAGGCGTGCGCGATCTTGATCTTGATCTCGATCTGGACCTTGAACGTGTCCTTGACCTGACCTCTCCCTCGCTTTCGCTGCCGTTATTATTCTGCTCCTCCTCTGCTTTGCGCATTTCCTCATCCTCCTCTTCTAAGAGATCTTCGATGTTGCCCAACGGACTGACGCGCGGTTCGAGTATGTCCAGATCTTCCAGGATGTCCCTCTTCCGCATCTTCCACAGACTCGTTGCGCAAACGCGATCTTTCGTCAACAGGTCGTCGACAAAAACATCCACATACGTCAGACTGGTCCCGTTTCTCCCCTTCCTCCTCAGTTTCCGCCTGTCTTCCAGAAACGGCTCCAGCGTCTTGTACACGTCCTGGTCCTTCCTCGTCAGACGGATATAAAACAGTGCCAGCGCGCGCAGGTACTTGAACTTTTCACCGCCAAATTGTAGATACTCGTTTAGGATGTCGTCGGAGGGCGCGAGCTGCAGCAACTTGAAGGCGAGGCAGAGGAAGGGCGAGGGTTTCTGGACGGTGCCGTAGACGCCGCCGATGAAGTCGACGTGCTCGACAACGCGGTCCACAATGTCGGCTTCGTTGACACCGAAACACTGCTCCTTGTAAAAGTAACTGTCGATGATGCGTTCGCGAACCGCCTTTTCCATTATAGTGGCAGGGTTGAGGCCGTTGGGCGCGAGCGGGCCCGAGGAGCCACGCTCGTCGAGGAAGCGCCGCTCATCGGCACGGTGAAATTCGGATTTGCTCATTTTCTTGTCGTATGCAGGTATGTAGTGTGCGCAGTATGTGAAGTATTCGGTGATTGTGGCTTTGTGCTTGTGGTGTTGCGCACAGTTCGGAATTGTTTCCTACGGACAGGAAGAAAACCAAAAGTTGTTGACAGTGGAATTCGAGGTCGAGGTTCGAATGATTGGCAACGCCAAGTCTCACAAGCAACCACGGCGAGCGTTGGCGGCAGGCAATTCAACGCGCCAAGCCGCCAATCGTCATACCTTACCTTCCGAGTCCACTTCAGGTTGCCCTATTACCGGTTATCGATAAGCGATAAGCGCCCAAGGTCTGGGTGCCCCTCGTACTGTGACTGGCAGCTGAGATCTTCCAATGAAGCGACAAGCGACAGCCTCAAACGCGGAGTGCGGCGCGTGAAAGGAGGGGTTGGGAGAGACGGGGGGAGGATACGAGGATGGAGACGGGAATGTGAAAATAGTTCTTCATGCACAGGACTCAAGGTAACTTGCATGTGTACCTCTCGCTCATTCGGTGTTTTGTTGGTGATAAATCCACGTTTGTTTACATTCGGACTTTGGCTTCAAAGATTGCATCTCATAGCCTCACTGTGTGCACACTACTCGCAGCCACCAAACAGTAAATACATAAACCATGCTACTCACTTCGGCACAAGTATCAATCGCCTTCTCATCGGGCATCGGTATGCTTCTCCCACCAACGGACCTCCTCGTCCAAGTACATTCTTCCGACTGACGTGGTCACTTTGTTCGAAAACAGTATTTATCTTCACAGCAGCCCTCTTTTTAAGCGGATATGCAATCCAGCAACGAACACTGCGGGACCTCCGCGCCGCCATCAAGCCAACTCCAAGGCCGTCTCCAAAAACATATTTACCCGATCAATTCAAAAAGATGACCACCGAGTTACCTGATGGCACCATTATCCCGGTACACGACGATGGGGTTGTCATAGAGATCAAACCCACTCCGCCCAAAGAAATCCACGAAGCTTCAGCAACAAAAGAGGAGAATCAACAGAAGCCAATACCGGCACTGGAACCAGCACCAGAGTCGACGCCAGAGAAAACGAAAAATAAAAAGACATCATCAGCCAGAGCCCAAAAGTACAGAGAACAGCAGCAACTGAAGAAGCAGCAAGAGAAGCAGCAACAGGGCTTGTTGGTTCAGCAGGGACAGCAACAACAAGAGGATTACAGCACAACACCAAACCACGCGGAACAAGAAGGGACAAGCGAAAGCACCTCGATCGAAATCCCAGAGGGAATGCTCGAACACCCCGATCCAGACAAGCGCACCGAGAAAGCAGTCAGTCCGGCAGAGAGGCGAAGGTTAATCAAAGAAGAGATCAAGAGGCTGGCACAGCCTGGAGAGAGGGGATATTATCAACGGCGACTGTGGTGAGACAATAATGGTGACAAAACACCATCATGATATGATCCATGCCTAACCTCTGGCTGGCCTTGAGGATGAAATATCACGGACATGAATGGGACGTTTCTGGTATGTGTATATCCAGTCAATGATTGTTTTCTTCTCTTGACATCTTGTCGCCATTAAATCCTTGCGGATGAAACAGCCATATGTTCCTTAGCTTCCTAGTGGATATCTAAACAAAGGACAAAAAAGGAGAGCGATTACTTTTTTCCATCAAAACATCCCCCTAATGCCAAACGCCTTCCCCAGCTGCTCAACTTGGGAGAACGGAGAGATCGTTGAGCCTTGCATCGGGGAAGGATTCCCTTTCGCTGCCCGACCTTCCTGCAGTCAAGTTCAAGATTGTTGTTATACCCAGTCCCAACTCCTTGTCAATGCACCCGCTGCCATCTCCACATATTTCTTTCCATGTGGTATTCCCAATTATTCGGACATCGGAAACCTGTTCCTCGGCCGTCTGTTCGTTCCTCCCTGTTTCTTAACGACTCGTCCCGCAAACGTCGCTATGTTTCTTCGATCGTACCAAGCACTCCACCCAGTCACTGCCTTCTGTCTAACAAAGACTGCTGCGACGACCTCGCAGAGCTTTGAGAACTACTCTTAGAACTAGCCCGGTGCTTGTCCATCTGCGTCGAAGAGGATCCTATCCAGAGGTTCATATGCTCGGGTAGGAGGCCACGGCTGAGTGAAGCACCGCTCTTTTGCAACTGCGAGGAGGAAGGGATCAGGTTAGCTTGACTATCCTTTGTCTGCCCAAGTTTCCTTGTCCCACGGAGCTACCTACCATGCACATCTTGCACCGGTCACCGAACCTCATCACCACATTGTTGCAACGGATCGAACCCTGCAAGAAGTCAGGTCAACATCTGGACGCCGTGGTTGAGTTGGGGGTGGACTAACGTAATAGTTTGCGCAGTAGCATCCGTCCATCTCGTGTGTTGGCAGACGTTCAAACGTTGTATGATTCTATCAGGTGGAAAAGCAATCGAGTGATTTGAAGGGATCGCCGTTTATGATGCAAAGCCAATAACTAATAACAGAGACAGATGACCGAGTAGGGAAGACGAGGCTGTCTGATGGCGTAAACTGAAATGTCTATGATGTGGTTGAGGAAGAGCAGTACAGGGAAAAGCAGCAATAAAGATGTCTATAAGCGGAAGCTTGATCAGATCAAGAAGCAAAAAGTTCGGAGCTGGGAAGGGGACCGAGCAGACTATTATACACACTTCAGGAAGGCGAGGAGGAGGAGGAGGTGAATTGGCAAGGTCATGGTCATGGCAACGCCAACAGGGTAAGAGCCAACAACTGGTAGCAGCGCTTCCCGTCGTTTCCATACAGGATTTACTAACCCACTGTTAGGTAATTGTGTGGTAATACCATACTCAGCAGTATGTACAATGTCGACTTGCATGTACAGTAATGCACCTAGTTTCCAAGTCGAAGGGAGCTCTTTCTTCAAGGTTACGTACCGCGCAGCACGACATCGCCTCACAAACGTACATCTGCTTGATAACAAGCATCGGAGATACCACTAGCAAATGGCGTTTCATCCTTCGAAAATCGAGCCACCCTCCAGGAGATCTAGAACCCCCCACTGGCGCCCAATATGCCAGCCCACGCATCATAAACAACCACCCGAGAGACAAAGGAAAGCACGGATGAGGAAAGAATGCACCTAGAAAACAAAGGGAGGGGTAAGGGCGGGACAACCAGGATGGATAAAGTAGCAACAGCTGCTCTTTCCGTAGAGCATATGTCAAAAGTCGATAAAGAAACGGAAAGCAGGCCTCGGAAGTCTCCTGGGCAGATGCCATGTCCCATCAGCATTTTGATTCGAAACTTTGCTTCATGTTTTCCCTTCATCTCCTTCTTGGTTCTTTCCTTTTCCTAAGCCGTCATCCTTGACGCAACCGCATCATCGCCACATTCTCCATCCTCCGAGTCCTTCTCCAATTTACACCGACGGTTACCGATAGAGGGACACTTTTCGTCTCATCGTTGTCGTCGACGCCGGCGACGACGAAGGGGCCCGGAGTCAGCGGCAATGCTGCCCGAAACAATCGCTCAACCCAAAACAACAACACAACCAACGATGCGCACCATTTGTTTCCCATAAAGACCGACTCGGAGTCAGCCATAGGGCAGTGCCGCATGCGATCCGTCTTACGATAAAAAGCCCAAACTGCTCTCTCCCGATCAACCGCACAACAACTCCCGTCCAGTCCATCGTCAATGTTCGCATCATCAACACTCGTCAACGTCTCAAACCCATCCGATCAAGCAAAAGCCCTCTCGTGCTCCCCTAACTCAGCTTCATCCATCTCCTATTCCACGACGAGCTCGACCATCGCCACCCACATCGCCATCCGAAACAATCAAGAAGTTTCCACATACCGTTTCACACATGCACATGCCAAATTCCCAGAACACCAGTCGTCCATTGTTGTTAAAGTATCACAGCATCAGTCTCCGTCTTCCAGTCCTCCAGTCCTTCATCTCCTCCAGTACCCCATTATTCACGATCCCCCACATAATCCGTCATCTATCATCCTCCCCACAACGGGATTGGACTTTCACCCACCCAACTTCTGCGCTGCTACCGTTACACTTGCATATGGTAATAGCCATGGCGCCCCAAAGCTACCTTACCCGTATGCATGTCATGTTGAATGCTGTGATATATGATAGGATAACCCAATCTTAGGAGCTTGCCCATCTCGCCCTAGCTCTTTCTCTGATCTGGCTGTTTGTTGAATGGTTATACCTCCATTCCCCGGACTAGATGGCCCGAACGGGAGTTGGTGGTTAGTACTGCCGATAAGTATGTAGACAGCAGTTTGATTTTCACAAAAAGCAATGGTTGATGAGGATAGTGACACTACCATGATTTGTGGCTGTTTGGTTGAAGATTACCTACCATACCTAGACACTAGAGTCTAGACACCCGAAACATATTAGTATCCATGGCTACCCACCCACTGCCGTTACCCAGTCCAGACACTCTTATCAATTTCAAAAGAAGCTGAATCTGTAACATCCCGTACTTGCCTTGAGAAGCTCCAATTCATCTGCCACTATCTACCTAGTAGTATCTTCACCTCCATTTAACTATCTATCACCATCTTATCAACTGCCCATCAACCTCTTAAGACTACCATTGTAAATACAGAGTGTGGCAATGGAAGCAACAGAAGCAAGCAACCACAACAACGACGATATCCCATTTAGTTCCGTCATCGGTTCGGCAGAATCCGTGGCAGGTAGGTATGTCTAGATTCGGTATGTAAGTGAGGGCAAACTGAATGGAGCGGAAACTGAAACTGGGACTGGAACTGCATCTGCAACTGGGACTGCAACTGCAACTGGAGGCCAAAATTAAACGTTCGATTAGCATGTGTCAAGTATTTGGACAATGCTGTCTGAATCGTGACGACCAGCCAGAGGTGGCGGGACCAAAACGGGGCAAGCCCGGGCCCCCCGGACTCTCGACTCTCACCGGCCCGGAGATAACGGGAAATGGGAACAGGAACTACGGGGTGGGGCCGGGAGTTACGGTAACTTGCATATCGATCTTTGGTCGTGGTCGGGAACGGTCCAGAACTTTTGGTCGACTGACTACCTCTGTGTTATCCGGATCGTATCACTTTTTTACCTCCTCTATTTCATTTCGAGGCGAAACTGGGGTTGCACTACAAGTACAAACAAGCGAGAGGAGGCATTTGAGGCATGCGCGGTAGCAGACGGGTGGGGGGTTCAAGTTATTTTGCCTCCCACCAAACGAACAACACCATGACGACTCGCTTTGTTTTTGTTATGATGATGAAGAAGAGAGGGTATTAAAAATTTCTGGAGAGTGGGAGGAAAATAGAGGAAGGAGGAAAGCAAGATAGATCTGATAAGAACATGATATGTGGTTTCGGATGTGTGGTGTTGGATGTAAGTGTGTGTGTGTGTGTGTGTGCCGTCCTCCGTCCTCCGTTCTCCCCTTTCTTTCCTCCCTTTTTGCTGCTCAAAAACAAAAACAAGAAAATGTGTAAATGGCTTCTGTATCGGGACCAAAAACAGGAGAGAAGAATAAACGAGAAATAGTAAAAAAGATGATGATGACGAAAACAATTGCGATATCGATCCCGCCCTTTCTTCTTCGTCTTCTTCTTCGCCGCTTCTTCCATATCCATAATGTTGTTGTTTGTCCTGTGTTCGGGTCCCACCATGTCCGCCACCGCTTGCGCGAGATACATATTAAAGCTGCCAGCCCACCTACACCTAAATAGTTAACCAGGAATGATGGTAGAGGAGAACTACTACATATCCGCCGGCTTCTTCTGACTCTTCCAGAAATCGATGGCCTCAATGATATCCTCGCCACGCTCATCTTCATATGCGAACAAAATCTGGTAGTTGTGTTAGCGTTGCGTTTTCCACAGTGTTCCAAATCCAGATTAAGACTCACCTCATGTGTACTGCTGTGTAGCATCCTGATGTTCTTGTGCGGCACAATATGTACTGCCAGGTTATCAATGTTCCTGAGCTCAATAAAGTTGGGCTCAAACGCCAATATCCAAGGATAGCTGAGCGCAAAGGCCTGTGGTGTTCCCTCCCAATCCAGACGCCATTCGGGACGGGCCCTCCATCCGTTGCGGTTGACGAAGAACGAGAACTCGCTGTAGTTGAGGAGGAACTCTCCGTTGAGACGCTCGATATGGATGGGCTTGACAGCTTCCTTCCTCTGGACAAAGTCGAGCGATGTGTCGGCCTGGTCGAGAAGGGATTGCGTCTCGAGGGTCTCGAGACTGACAACCTCGAAGCCGCGGGCGCATGCAACGCAAAGCTTGGATTTGAGGAAGTGTACCGATGACGATTCTGTCGGGATGTAGAACTCCTTGAATGGCCGGAGTTCGTCCTGACCGGCGTTGAACATCTTGCTGAGACCCCTTTGCTTCTTGGAGCCGGACATGGCATCGTTCGGCTCGTACACCTTGATCGTAGTTGACAGCGCAGAGCTCTTGACGGCGCACACGAGATGGCGGCCGAGGCAGATACCGGTCTTGAAGAAGTTGCAGTGACTTTGGATCTTCTTGCCACGCTTGGATGAGATCGGCTCGTTGGGGTTGAGCGCATCCAGTTGGTACGAGTAAAGCGACCTGTTGGAAAGTACCAAGAGCAGCGAGTACTCTTCCAGAACATCGACCTGGGTGACGTTCTGTATGTCAATAACACGCTTCGGTGGTATTTCCTTGGTCTTACGATCAGAGACAAAGATACCCTGGTCCGTGCCATAGATGATCTTCCGTCCACCATCTGTATTATTGTCAGCACACAAGATCTCTTACTTGACATGGCCGTCCTTAAATACTTACCGAACGGCGTGGCGCAGTTGACCTTGTTGGGGCCGGCGAAGTAACCATACGATATTATCGTAGTGTTCAAGAAATCCGCACGGGCCCTGAGCTGCTGCTGGGCGGTATCGATGAACTCGAGCCATTTCTGTCGTCCTGCCTGATTCGATGCGTACACCGTTAGTTCGTAGCCGTTCTTTCCAAGATGTCGGAACGTGATCGGCCACCCATCACCCTTCTTGGCGTCGGTGGTAGTGCGTAGAGCAGGCAGCAAGCTTGACGAAGACCTTTTGACAGCTCCTGAAGGAATGATTTCCTCCATTTCCTTGATAGAAAGTAGCTCCAAGGGTATAGGTCTGCGGTATGCCTTGATTTCTTCTGTCTTGCCAACCTGTTTGATCTTCACAAGGAGAACTGCGTGATCAAACAGGAAGGCCGTAAGATCAGCATTTTCTGTGGGCGACTTCTTGAATTGAGCCTTGTATACAAGCTCACGACCCTCGTCCGTAAGCTTAAGGTCCATCTTGTCGTTGGGGCGGAACTTGAGCTGCTCGTGCAGACGGCGCAGGTTGAAGCGGTTTTCAGCCTTGCCCGACTCCGCGTTAACCCTGCTCAAGAGATCTCTGATCATAGTCAGGACCTTGGGAAGATCCTCCTTATCCGAACTACCCTCTTCCGTATACTTGAGAACACCTTCTAGGAGTAGAGGATATCTCGCCAAACGCGTGGTTGGCTTGGTGAGGTAACCGTTCAACTCCAGCTTTCTTGACTCTCTGCGGCGTTCAACCTCGTCCACGAATCTTGCAAAGTCCTTGTTGATGGTCCGTTCGTTCTCGAATTCGAATTTGCCTTCCAACTGCTTCGCACCGTAAAGGATGAATGGTTCGAACTGAGGGACAAACTCCAGGAAGATATCTCCAATGTTTTGAACGACTGGAGTCTTCTGTTGCCTTTCAGTAAGACTCTTGGCGAACTTGGAACTGACGCCGTGAATGCTTGGAGGATCGATAATGTTGGTAAAGATTGTCCGTACAACGCGCTCCCGCCGTTGTAGAGGAATTGGAGAGTGACCGTTGATCTTGCCCTTGAGAGGGTAGATCCAGAAATCTCGCAAATACTCGAGATCCTTGACGAAGTCTCTCTCTGTGTAGCAGATCTCACTGATAACCTCCTGCCTCTTCTTCTCCTTGTCGCTGATACTGTCCGCAATTTCCTTCGGTACGCTGTTAATCCACAACTTCTGCTCGTCGGTCTGGTCGACATCGTCATCGTTAACCGCAGCTTTTCCTTCTTGCCTGAGGCCAATTCCGCCCTTAAGGTTCAACTTGGACATTTGCTCGAGACGGCGAGGGCATGCGATAGAGTAGCAGAGCTGGTCGGGTGTGCATGTTGGAGAGTAACATTCGGAAAGCAGGACGAAAACACCATTGACCGCTGGCTTCTCGTCATCGGTCAGTGTTTCCCTGAATTGATACATTTCGTAGGTTGAGTCTCTCAACCGGTGTTCGTATGTAACATCATGGAAGAACTTTTGGGCGTCCAAAGCTCTACCCAGCAACAGGGCCAAGTTTCGATCGGTGGTCCTGATAATGTATGACAGCACATCGACGGCTTCGGCACCGCTGAAAGCGTTCTTGTAGGTCAGTTCGTTCTTGGTCCTATCTCCTACAACGATCTTGCGCCGGAACGTTTCGGCCACGCGGGACAGAAGAGCCGGGTATACCAGAGGCATCCTGATCTTGACGGTAACGGGCCGGTCACCCGTCATGGACATTGCGCCGCCCGAGTGCCGATGTACCAAGGTCCCATCTTCGTTCCGTTCTGTCGGCGCTATCGAAGGGGCGATGGTAGACGCCATGGACATAGTCCGCCCATTCACGTCGACGGTTGTCGTCGACGTGATGCTGACAGTTCTTCCCGACTGACTTCCGGAAGCTGGGTACCCGCCATTAGTAGGGCCATGGTCTGGGCTGGATCCTGGTGCCCTCCTGTTGGGTATAACTCTTCCACTAGGAGTTTGGTGGGCATCGCGGTCGTATGAGGGGTAGCCGGTCATGGACATGGCACGGTCGGCTTCCATATGCCTCTCGGGCACTATGCGCCCCTGTGCGGTTGTCCGAGCCGAGCTCCCGCTATACTGAGCCTGGCGGAAAGCGTTGGCTGGCGACTGTTGCGAGGTCGAACCCTGATACATCTGTGGTCGGGGAACGCTCGCGAGCGACTGGGATCGGTAGGGGTCGGAGTTCAAGGCGGGCGCCGGCCTGCCCCCAGGCTGGTTATAATAAGCCTGGGCGGGAGATCTCGAGGCATTGTTGTAGAAACCTTGGGGCGCAGGACCCCTGAGAGAATCGGCCCTCGGAGCACTTTGAGGGGGATAGGCGCCAGGAGGGGGCCGTCGCGCTGCTTGTTGCTGTTGTAGGTACTGAGCAGAGGGAACTTGTTGTCCAGCCGAGACGGAGCGCTGGCTCTGCTGGCTATATCCATTCGTATCGAGGCGCGCCCGGGGGTCACCATAGCCTCCTCTTTCCCCTGATCCACTGCCTCCTCCTCCTCCGGGTCCGCCGGGCGGTGGGGGGCGCTGTGGCGGCGGTCTCTGCATGGAGGCTCCCGACGTGGACGACATGGTATGGGTTCGGCCTTCGTTGTGGTGCATCAAATTAGGGGGTGGGACGGAGGAGGTCATGGTGTGCGATCGGCCGGGGGGCGGGGCGGCGCCGAAGATGTTGGAGAAGGCGGCATCTCGTTGTCCGTAGCCGTCACCGGCACCGCGACTGCTGGGGGGGTGGCCGTACTGCGGGTGATTGGATCGGGACCGAGGGTCTTGATGATAGTCGGCCATGACGGCGGCGGGCGGGCGGACGGCCGGCGTTGGAGGCGGGTCGGGTAGTGCTGCTGGTGCGATGCAGGTAGAGGTTGATGCGAGGTGCTCGCTCGCTCCTGTCGTCTTGCGATTGTTCGTCGGCGGTGCTGCTTGGGGCTACAGTACTGTACAGGCAAGGTAGGTCTAGTGGGCAGGTCGGTTCGGTACTCTAGAGGTACGACTGTGCAGGCAATCTGCAATCTACTCGCCAAGTGTAGCCGACCACCTGCGCAGCAAGAAGCACGACCTTGGTCTACCTCTTCTCGTCGATTGGAATACGGTAGACGGGGACGGGGACGGAGACGGAGACGGGGGGGAGAAGGGTTAGCAAAGGTCGCCAATGTACGGGTACGGGGCTGGAATGTCGAACTACTACGGCCAGGGCAGTGGTGTCGGTGGATGATGGCTGATGGATGGCTGATGGGACCCGACCGAATGACCGACCACTGAGGGAGTGCAGGGCTTCTGGCTGCTGAGGACCCGGAGCCACAGGGGGCCATTTGCAATCAGAAGTGGAGCATCAGGAACCGGCGTGGGCTTGATCTGGTCTTGGTTGCATCGGGACCGACCACTTTGAACACAGCCAACTTATAACTTGAAGATGTATAGAAGCTCTATGAAGGATATAGATATGGGAGAATTGGAAAGGGTTTCTTTCGGAAATAAGAAACGTCACATTACAGCAAAGATGGAGATCGAATGCCGAGACGGGGCTAGCTTGTCGTCGTGTCCAGAGAAGGAGGGAGGGAAGTATACGGGATACGGCAGACTGCGTAGAGGCTGACCTCCATGGTAACTGTCCAGGGCTGTCCTATCACATCCCGTTGTTGATAGCTGTCCTGTCCGTGTTGATTTTGTGCCGCCAGATGGCCGGTCAGTCGGATTGTTTAGAGGGTGCATCCGGGCGGTTGTGATACGGGATGGGGGCTGATAGCTGTAGATGCGTAGAGGTGTGTTTATACCCCGGTCAAAATTTCAAGTTCTAGTTCAAGAGACTCTGAGAATAAGTTTAGGGCAGAGAGCTGTGTTGATGTACAGTTTTGCATGGGAAGATCGAATTCAACGAGCTCTTCTAGTCTCCTGATCGTATACAAGAACACCGTGTAAGAACGTTGTTGTTCCTGAATTGCGGGGAGGCGATTCCCCGTCGACTAGGGGTTCGAAAGGGGTTCAACTTATTACAACTGCGAGTCCATCCTTGACTTGTCTTTCATGGTCCAGTATAGAGAATGCCCCATTCAAGTGGGACGGCATTGAATAGAGATGTCATTGAGATTTCATGGGCGAGGCTGAGGAAGTCATGATTCCATTGTTGGTTGGAGGCAGCCCTATCTCCGATTAAGTCCATCCCGCTGTCATCAAAGCTGGGGTTCGTACAACCAGTTGGTAACCTGAAAAGTCAGAACACCACGCAATATCTTTATATTAACTGGTTCAAATACGGTTGAGCTTACACAACAAAGTAGAAAGATGAGGACGTCACCGTCACCATACGGGACACATTTTGCGCCTCCCGGATCTCATGTTTCCGTCTCAGCTTGTGTTTAAGACGCATCTGACGGGACCTCTGTCTTCAAGTGTTCCCGTCGAATGTACACCTCGAATGATGCCATGTCGATGTGTTAAATCGCAGACTCTAAGCCAGCCACCTCGCTAACCGTCAACATTTCACTTAAAGCCCGTGACCAAGTACCAATTCGATCAGGCCGATGGGTGGATGCTAAAAGATGTTAATACGGCTTTTGGAAGTTGAGGTTGATGCAAGTCGAAAGCCAAGCCTGCATGCACTGAAGGTGTTCCTGAGCTTGCACGTGACCCTGAGCGCTAACGCCCTTGACGCCAAGCCAATCTGGGGCAGGCGGCAGTGGTCCAAGCTTCCCGCTGCATCGCTGGAGTATGTCGTTGCGACCAAGCAGCGTCTCGAGTCCCGTCTCCAACTGACGAACATCCCGCTCGACATCACAGCGCCTGGCCCCAACTTTCGCCAGTTTCCTTGCGCTTTTCAAGCTACTATCGTCGCCAACATACTGAATCAGTCTTGTCTATAAGCCGTCACCATGGCCGAAATCATGGCCGATTCGGAACTTGCCCCCAAGTTCGCGCCATTCATTGGCATGGTACGTTAACAGCAGTCGCGAAACGACCCTTCCCCGGGTGTGGCCAACAAGGTGTAGCTGGGTTGGGATGGGACACAACCACGCAACAACATCACTCGACAACAACATCAAGGTCCACTAACAATGTTCTCTCTTACCAGGCCGGCATCGCAGCCGCCATGATCTTTGGCAGTACGGCTCTCCCGATTTCCAGCTCGACATCTTAATCAAGATCACAAACGCTGACCATGTCGTTTCCAACTTCACAGGCGCGGGCGCCGCATATGGCACAGCCAAGTCTGGCATCGGTATCGCCGGCGTGGGTACCTTCCGGCCGGACCTCATCATGAAGGTTAGTTTCTCCCCAGCAGTACGACTACAGTACTTGTCTGCAGAGACTAACATGCTCTCCTATGACCGATAGTGCCTGATCCCCGTCGTCATGTCCGGTATTATTGCCGTTTACGCCCTCGTCGTAGCTGTCCTGATCGCACAGGATCTCGGGCCGCCAGGATCCGGTCAACATTATAGCTTGTTCAAGTACGTCTCGGCACCTACGACGTCTCTCCCTTCACAAACACGGGCTCTGGAGATCATACATCTTGGGGAAACGGTTCAGCTAACATCGACTCTCACCACAGTGGCTTCATGCATCTTGCATGTGGTCTATCAGTCGGTCTCACCGGTCTCGCCGCGGGCTACTGCATTGGTATTGTAGGCGACAAGGGTGTCCGATCGTTCATGCTACAGTCGAGGATCTTTGTCGGCATGGTCTTGATCCTCATTTTCGGCGAAGTCCTTGGTCTTTATGGGTAAGAAGCCAGCCAGCCAGCCAACCTGCTGCCGTTGAAGCGGCACTTGAATTTTTCGAACAATATGCTAACCGAGATCTTTACTTAGCCTCATCGTCGCCCTTATCCTCAACACCAAGAGCAAGGGCTAAATATCTTGCCTCCGAATCAAACATGCTGCGAGTGTTGATCCACAGACAGAAAAAGAGGGAATGAAAACAGATGGATTACTATTCGGTGTACACAAACTCCGTATGAACACGGACTGAACAGGATATCATACGCTCCAACAACGAAAGAACGAGCTTTGTTCAAGGAAAGGGAAGGAAGGGACGGATGACAGCTGAATGAATGGGTACATTGGGGGCGCAAACCTGAAAGTGTATAGCATTTTGGCCTGGCGTTTAAACGGAATTGCTGCTGCTACTGGTTTGTTTGTTTTTGGGTTATAGTCTTATTGGGGCCCAAGTAGAGAAATAGAGAGGCAGAAGTCAACATCACCGATGTGATGGCACGGCATGCCAGCACCTGTCCAGATGCTCGGGTTACCATCTGCTCTTCTCTTTGGTCTTTCATCCCATCTGGGTTCCTGTCATCGCATATAAGAAACTCTTTCCCACCCACCCAAAGCTTACCTTGCTCTTTCTTCTTCGACTTTGATATCTTGCTACTTTGGTCAGTTCTTTCGGTTTTGTCAGCCCTCAAACTACGTGTGTGACAACCCATAGGCTATGAGAGAATCAAGACGCAATGAAATGCTATGGGGCTGGATGAAACCAAAAAAACGCAATAGGTCCTAAACTAATAGAGGCATGACTACTATGAAATTCAAACACACAAAACTTACCTTACCACTTATATCTTATGTATTGATATACGTAGAAGATGACTCGTAACACTGCCACACGTGATCGCCATCAAGTCCTCAATCTCTTCCAGCATTGAAAAAACGACTCGACAAATTTTTGGAGAACTGATCAACTTACACTGCCTCAACGGCCACACATGGACTAACTCATTTGAGGATGTTTACACGAAGATCGGTGCATGATCACAACATTGAACAGCAGATACTTTTTCAATAAAACCCTACGTGCTTGCTTGTTTCTTAACGTCATGCTTATACTACATGCTGAACATCGATAATGATAACCTAACTAAGTACTTGGGCCTTCTTTATCCTCCTCCTCCCAAACTTTCCTCCATTTCTTTCTCGAAAAAACCATCGACATTGCTCATATCAGTCAGCAATCTCAAAAAAAAACTCGTTGACACCTTTCTCCAAAATCTTTTCAACAACCTTCATCTCAGGCGCAAGTTCAAATCATCGTCAAAAATCAACACAACAACAAAAGCGAAACGCCATCATGCAAAAAAAAAAGTGGGACAATGCCACGCAGCAACTGATACCAGCATTGGTGTCCGCTGACCGTTCGAGCGACCAAGAAGAGGTCAGAAAAAACCGTTTCCCCATGCAAAAATGAGAAAAGGAAAGGAGAGATGAAGAAAATTGAAAAAAAAAAAAAAAAGAAAAAAAAAGGGAAGAATGACACTGCAATCAATCCATCACGGCAACCCAGGCAGGCTTGTTTGTGGGCTCCCTCGCCATACCATCCCATACCCCATTTTGATTCAACAGACAGAAAGAAAAGGAATGAAAAAGGGAAAGAGACAAAAAGGGAAGGAAATGAAAGGAAAGGAAAGGAAGAAAGGCCAAAAGCATAAACCCAATGCCAAAAAAACGCCTTTGAATGATGTGTCTCCAAGTGAAGAAGACGACATGGGAACGAGAAGCAAAAAAACAGGAAGGAACAAGACTCATCTCATCATGAGGGCTGATCACTCAATCGCTCTTTCAGCCTTGCTGCTGCTGCTGCCTCTCGCCGCGACAAAAGCGGCATACAGCCCGACGCTATCGCGCCCGCATGCCGAGCCGGAAAGGCAGCTTGCTGGTGCGCGTCTCCACGTTCTTGCGGAACCGGCGCCAGCCCGGTTTGCGCTCTTCCTGTTCTCTCATGAGGTCTATCGTCAAAAAAGAGCATTAGAATCAAAATCTGCTGACTGGAAAATCATTTGAGAAGAAGAAAAGACAAACGTACTCAGAAACTCATCCCACCGATGGTTCTCCTGAACCAAGATATCGCCATTCTCCCTCGCCAGCCTTTCCCGCCGCGCCTTGGCCGCCGCCACCTCGCCTACCAGATACGGATCCTCGAGCGGTCGCGCGACGTTGTTGGAGGGGTTGTTGTTGTTCCGCTCCTCTTCGATGCGATCCAGAGCCCGTCGGAGGCCGTCAAGGTTGGTGGTGGAGGCGTTGGCTGCTGCGCGCCTTTGCGCGACGTTTTGGTATTGGCGGAGGTTGGGGTTGGAGGACATGGATGAGAGGGACGGGATGCGGAAATCGCCAAGCACCGGGAAGTCGGTTCGCGGCGGCGGGCCGGAGGGGACCGGGGGGAGACCGACTCGGGGAGGAGGGGAGCTGGAGTTGGTAGATCGGGAGGGAGTGTCTGTGCTGGTCTGGGCCCGGGTCCGGGTCCCGGCGACGGGACGGGAACCGGCGTTGGTGGTGGTGGTGGGGAGGGAGGTGGAGCTGGCGGCCGCGCTAGTCCTCGTGTTGGTGGTGCTCCGGTTGTTGCTCCGGCTGTTGCTGTTATTTCCGAGCCTGGCAATGGTGCTGGAGCTGTCATTGGCGGCCGAATTAGTACCAAGGCGGTTTCGGTTTCGCGTGATGGTGGTGGTTGCGGTAGTGGTGTCGGAAGTAGCTCTACCGCTAGTTCTACTGGCGGTTCTCGAAGTACCCCGGGAAGTGCTTCCGGACGAAGTTTCGCGGGGGGTGGCAGCCGCGGCACGGGTACGGGTGCGGCTGCGTTCACGGCGGGTCTCTTCCGGCGGATCGGGAAGTGTTGCGGGAACTAGAGAGGAGAGGACACCGAGCCGGCCGGCCATGTCCCATCCTGCTGCTGGCGGTGAATAAGGCGGTGCAGGCTCCGCCGGAAGGTTGTATGGATCGGCATATGAATAACGATCCGAGTGGTAGGAAGGCACCTCAGAGACTAAATCATATTCGACTATCAGTGCATTTGTCTATTTGAATAATGAATTGTTTAGGTGAACTTACTGTAAGAAGGTGCCACGGAGCGAATCGAAGCGGTCTCGGCCATCTCGATCATGGAAGGGAAACGGTGAGACGGTGCTTGAGAGGCCATCTCGATCATAGATGGGAAGCGGCGAGACGGCGCCTGAGTAGTAGTGGTAACCATGATTGCTATTTCCTACGATCCTCTTGTCGACCCCAAGCTACAAGTAACTAAGACAGAGAGGGAGGAAATGCAGAAAGGAAAGAAGGTTGGGAAGCTACTGCCAGCGATGGGGGAGAGAGGCGTGGCAGTAAGGTAAGGCCAGCTGAGCGCGGTGACGGTGATGCAGTGTAGGTGAACGGCAACCAGCACAGACTTGTTACTCCAACGTGCTAGACGACACAATTACCTGATCTCCTGTAGCAATTCCAACGTTGTTCAAAGCGGGGAAACGAAGCCTTTGACGCAGAGAACGGGGGGAGAGGAAACAATGAAACATTCAGATGAAAGACTAGAAGAGGCAGAAGAGCAACAGATAACCTTTTTAAGGTTCCGCGAGACCAAGACGCGGGGAGGTCTTGGAGGTACTCGTTCGCTCGGGTCGGTCGACAGCACCAACTCCAAGCTGCAACCCTGGTAGACCTGTGCAGCTTGCTGGAGCTACCTACCCCAGCCCAGCAAAGGCCCAGTCTTCCCATCGACCCCCTTCGCGGCTGCGAGGCAGTGTTGTAGCAGCTCCGTACAGTGGCCCAATGTCCAATAATACCCGTCCCAAAGGAACCAGAACGGGGTTTATTCAAGGGCCAAGAAGTTAATTGTAGCAACACGTAAGAAACGTTGTGGGAGAACCCAATCAGAGGAAGAGGCAGCGCGGCCAACGAGGCTCACCGTCGGGGCTAGGTTCGGACTCTAGTTCGGACCATGTTCTAGAAACGGGAAGAGAAAAAAGATAGTATCTGACCAGGGGAGGGGCACGCAGGGCACACGCTGCACAACCTGACTTTGGTCCGCCAAAAGAGCAGAAAGACTGCGTTGAACGAGGGGAAATGCACAGCATCAAGGTACCGGGCCACGTACCTAACGGCTGGGCTGCAGACACAACCGCAAACACATGATGCGTGGTCGACACCAACTTGATTTCATATCCGTGTCCCTTTGTGTGTTTGTCTGGGAATGCATGTCTTGGGCCCGAGTTCGAGTTCGGGAATTTGGAAGTTGTTTTGAAACATCGAGGTAAGAAGCGGATATTGATAGCCATCCTGCCATTGCATAAGTTGCACAATGGCATTAGCAACCCCGACGGCGCCGGCCGACAACTGAATAACCCCGGAACCCCGTCATCCACGAGGTCGGATACGGATAGCATCCACCTTGGAATGCCACCGAGGTGCCGAAGCTCCTCAACTTCATCATTGTATGGAGTCGCCGTCGTCAAAGTTGGAGCCGGGGCTGAGTGCGTCATAGACCACGGCCGGGGAGGAGCCGTCGTTACAGCCGTCTTGTCCGAGAGCCTTGAAATTGGCATAGTTTATAATGGTACGATTCTTGTTGCAAACTGGAAAAAGGTCGCCTTCGGCACATGGCCGGGTTTTCGGGCCATTCAAGTCTTGTACCTGCAGTTGATCGTCCATGATAGCCAAGAAAGACCCTCTTCGACCCTGTGGCGTGCGTGTGCGTAGTGTACAAGACGCGGGAGTTACCTGTCATGACAACCGGGTAGACAATCCGGATGGAAAACACCCTCACGGCTGGCATCGTGATGATTGCCCCTCATCTGAATTTCGTACTGTGTAAAGTATGGTCCACACAGAATCCAAAACATTTCAGCGGTAAGAATCAAGGCTCGGTCAAGCGGAGTTGGAGAGGTTGACTGAGGTTGGGTACATACACAGTAGCTCGGAGTATATGAAACTCGCCAGGTCCACAGAAACCACCAGTATGGAGTTTTGTTCGCTACAGAATTCGGAGTTGCTTATTCCGCTTACAACCAACTCTGGGCAAAGCGAACAGTCGGTATGCGCAAATGAGACTATTCTTCACTTCCTCGCCATGGGAATAATCGAAAACGGTAGTCAGCGCAGGCAGATTTGGTAGTCAGCGCAGGCAAACAGAAGGCCAAGTCTCCAACTCAGAATTAAGATGTTTCAACCAAAACAACCGTCAGAGTTTCGCTTTCTTTTTGATATTCACCTTCAAAGCTTCCTTTAAAGTCTTTTGCCCTTTTTTTCAGGAGCGCGATTGAACGAAGCAGGTGCAAAGTGTTCGCGCAAATGCTTGCTTGGCGTGCCTGGGCAGCGAAAAGTGGGGCAATTTGGAGTTGGACAATTTAATGGGCTGAAGTCGCTATCAGATGGGCCAAAAAAGCACCTAGGCCAAGTACTTTAGTATCATTTTCTCGATATCCTCTTTCGCCATTGCAGGTGGCTTTTTCTCTTCGTCAACTTTGGGATCGGAGTTTTCCTTATCGCTCGAGTCGGATATTCTTCTCAGTTCGGTTCGCGTGCGCGCGCATACTTTGAGGTTGGTGGTGCAAGTGATGGTGCACGTTAGTTGGGCATTTTTTGTAGTTGCCTGCGCTGACTACCAAATCTGCCTGCGCTGACTACCGTTTTCGGGGAATAATAAGCACGATGCTGAAGTAACGCTGGTATCTAGTAGGTCAGCAGACACCCCGAGCCACTGCACCATCATGAGCCTCTCGTGAACATTGCCTTTATCTCTTCTTATCTGATTGCACCATCATGGTGTTCACTTGGTCGGTGTTATTCAGACCATGTGCCCACCTGCCAAATCGGTCAGGGTGGTTGGGAAGCTTCACGTGGCTGTGCGTAAGCTTGCTCCCAGTCACGTATCCAAAGCCACACTGACCGAACTGGAGTCTGGGAATTGGCGGCAGGCACTTTGATAAGCATTGCCTGCCGGGGCCGGCGGATAGTGGGTACCCTGACGGCCAACACCGGCGCCGCTATGATAACCAGACAGACGACACCGACATTGCGGCTGCATAGTACATTACATTTGAAACCATATACATCAAGCAGACACGCATAGGTACACATCAGGAACCCTCCGTGATGGCTGTCAAAGCCTCAATCCTCGTCGCCAGTGCCATTGCGACACTGGCACGGGCAATGCAGCCCGGAGCTGCATCTCCCATCGCCGCGCCCATGCGAGACCTCGTCTGGGGCAAGCTCAACTTCCTTCACACGACAGATACCCACGGCTGGCACGGCGGACATCTGCAAGAAGCACAGTATTCGGCTGATTGGGGCGACTACATATCCTTCGCCGAACATCTTCGAAAGCAAGCGGACGAGCAGGGCGTTGATCTTCTCCTCGTCGACACAGGCGATCGCGTCGAAGGCAACGGACTATACGATGCCTCGAATCCTAAGGGGAAATACTACTATGACATATACCGCGAGCAGGACGTCGACCTAATATGCACGGGGAACCACGAGCTGTACCATGCCTCGACTGCCGATGGAGAACACCTGCGGACCGTCCCCAACTTCCAGGGGAGGTACATTGCGTCCAATCTGGACTACATCGACCCTAAGACGGGACTACAGATCCCCATGGCACAGCGGTACCGCAAGTTCCAGACCAAGAACCAGAAGCTGACCATTGTCGCCATGGGTTTCCTTTTCGACTTTACCGGGAATGCAAATAACACGGTGGTGCAGCCCGTGAGGGAGACCATCAAGGAACAATGGTTCCAGGACGCCATCAAGGAGAATCCCGATGTGTTTGTGGTGTTCGGTCACGTCGGCGTGAAGATGCCCGAGTTCAAGGAGATCTTCACAGCCATTCGTAAGCAGAATTGGTTCACGCCCATCCTGTTCTTCGGCGGCCATGTGCACGTGCGTGACGCGACTGCGTACGACTCCAAATCGTTTGCTATCGCCAGCGGTCGTTACTTTGAGACGATCGGCTGGATGTCGGTGGACGGTGATCTGAAGAGGACAACAAAGGACGTCGTCGCTGCTGCTGCTGCTGTCAACGACGACGCGCCTTCGACTGAGGTCGCGGGACTCTCGTTCCACCGCAGATACATCGACAACAACCTACTGGGTCTCTATTATCACACCGGGTTGAACGAGTCCACATTCCCTACCGACCACGGACGAAACGTGTCGCAAATGATCGCCCAGGTCCGCAAGGATCTCGATCTGGATTACACATTCGGCTGTGCGCCGAAGGACCTGTGGATGACGAGGGCACCCTATCCCTCCGAGGACAGCATCTACACGTGGCTCGAGAAGGAGGTTCTTCCAGAGGTCGCCATCAATGAAGACCGGAAAGATGTCCCTCATCTGGTCATCATGAACACCGGCGCCATCCGGTTCGACATCTTCAAGGGCAAGTTCACCAGAGATACAACGTATATCATCTCGCCCTTCCTCAGCGTGCTCAACTACATCCCCGACGTCCCCTACGAGGTTGCCAGTAAGGTTATTGGCTTGCTCAACAAGGCCGGCCGGATCTTGGAGGAGCATGCTCCTATGGATGCCAGGTTTATGGCTATCCCGGAGCAGTTCGCCATCCAGCAGGACATTATTCACGAGAACCCAATGCCGTCTTTCGCGGGTGACAGTATTGTAGACGGGCAAAAGCCCTTGTCAGGTGCTAAGAAGGAGCCCGTTCTGATTGAAGGATATACGACAAGGGATGATATTGGTGATGATGGCGATGATGCCATCCACTCTGCCATCAACTTCCATGTTGTGCCCAACGCTATTCAGGCCGAGGTTGGGTTCTCACCCAAAGAGAAGGATGAGACGCCTGGAAAGGTTGATCTCGTGTTCTTTGACTTTATCCAGCCTTGGGTCTTGGGAGCGTTGAAGATTTCTGGTGGGAACTACACTAATGATGATGTCAAGAGTTATGTCGATGGAACTTTTACGGAGTTGATGGCGGGCTGGATCAAGGAGAACTGGCCTGCTGATTGTTAGGCACAACAGCGGTGTTGTTCATAAGCTTGCTTATCAAGGGGAACTTTGGGTGCAGCGATCTGGTACTGGGCTCGGTATAACGGCACGGGATATGTCACTTTGGCGTCTATTTGTCAATGATGAGACTGGATTAGGGGATTTTACATGAATTATGAACGGGGCATTAATGTTCGAATGCACATAGCATAGCGAGTATTGTAAATATCAACACAGCACTTGAGCTGAACCTAGTTATTGAACTCGCCAAAGCATCATGTGTCCCATCTTACGCCTAAAACGCCGAGCCGTATCCGTGTAAATGCTGCAAAACGAACCATCAGGATATCCGTGCAACAGACGTACACTCCCTTCTCCTTTTCTCAAGCACCCAACTCCAAGCCGTCTTCAGTCTTAGCCAGGCTATAACTGATCCAACAGCCTCCTCCTCCTCCTATCAATGAGCTCCTGCTGCACCTCCTCCATCGTAGGAAGCTCCCACGCCTGTCCATCACCTGTATCGCCCGGCAAAGATTCCCACCCCGGAGGCGGCTCCAACCCAGCCGCCGCCTTCGCCAGGTTCTCGTACGCCTGCCTCTCCCTCGCCGCCTCATACGCCAACAGCTTCTCGTCCTCCTCGCCCGGCGCATACCCATAATACGCCGCATCCACCTGTTTCCTCAAATCGTCTCTCGTCTCCAACGGCTTCTCATCATCCTGCTTCGCCCTCGCCGCCGCCTCAAACAGCTCCTTAACACCGGGTAACTCCCTCGCCCTGCCAAAGTACTTGTACCCCCTCCCTCCACCGGGGATCTCCCTTCCAGCCTCATCATAGACCTTCCCCCCGCTGCGCATGTAGTTCGGCCCGCCCAGGTTGCGGATCTGCACCTCCCACATGTGTTTTTCTCTCATGAGCTTGTTGATTTCATCGTTGAGGTCGCGGATCTGGTAGTCGGAGAGAGCGGGGTCCTGGATGCGGGAGACTTTGCGGGAGATCTCTTTCAGGACTTGGCCTCGCCACTTCTCGCAGGCCGGGATGCTGTCTTGCTCGGTGATGGAGCGCGGGCGGCGCGTGCGCCCGGCGTCGATGATGCCTAGGTCGGCGGCTTGCGCTTCGCGGAAGCGGAAGAGCATCGACTGGGCTTTTTCGGAGTTGCGCGCCTGGGGAGGGGCATTGTTAGTACGGGGATCTTTGTGGTTTGGTGTGATTGAAGGAGCGGAAGGTTGGGCCAAGACGTACCATTTTGGATGGTGATTATATGGGTTGCGCTGGGAGATTGGGTGTTGAAGGGTGTTGTAATTGATAACCTGGACTTGCTCTTGGGACGAGGCAAGTAGGGTCGGCTGGTGATTGAAGGCGCAGTGGGAGGTCTGATTGTGGCCAGCCGTGAACTTTGAAATGTTGTCGGAAATTGAAAGATGATGTACTGGTACAAGAAGGCTGCAAGGCTACGAACGATGCCTCGTTTGCTTGGTGGTGTGGCGTTCTGCGATTGTGGCCCGAGCTCCACTGCAGATGATCATCAATGGGCGCCGCAAGTCGAACGCGTCCTGAATTTCAACCTCCTCCATCCAACAACCGCAGTCGTTCAGTATTTCGCCTTGATCACCTCCCGTCCGAACCAACGACGAATTGAAAGAAGCCTCCGCATGTCGCCTTCACCTTCGTCACCGCAGTATTTACGCGGCTTTGGGCGTCTCGACGAGGCTTTGGTCTGACTCTCACTCAGCTGGGCAGCTCCTTCCACGTCTGGCGATGCGGCGATGCCCGAGGACGCACCTCGCTCTTGCTCTGACTGAGCATGCGAATCGGACGGATATTGCGAAACGTGTCAACATTTTTTCACCATACCTACTTTTCTACTCCTTCGTCTATTTTTTAACCTTTTATTTCCGCAACACCCATCTACCAGCGCCTGGCAACCCTCTTCGAACTCGCAACCACCCCTCCTCAAGTCGCATTTTCAATTCTCGCAAACTCACCCACCACTTCTTCATTACCCTTACCACATCTCTTCTACTCCCGGGGTCCTGCAGTGAAGAAGACCATCACAATCCAGGGTGTCTTGATTCCACCGATAGGGGCATCTTCCCTCTTGAAGGAGTCGACGAACCATCTGGCAGAAGATGAAAGCCCAACAAGAACGGATATCTGAGCAGACCTCTACAGCACCTCTTACCTCATCGCCTCCTCTTTCCCACTTCCCTCATACTTCTACATTCCCCCCCCTCCTCATCATTTCACAATCACACCCATCTGGACAAGTGTACACCTGGTCCTGTGCCCTAGGCCCGGTCCGACTGTCGCTTCAACAGTCTACCCAGCATGAACGTCTCACAGCCAACCTTATAAATCGCCGACTCCTACCTATGGGGTGGTTCTTATCGAAAAGTTAAGAACCCCTTACTCCATGGAAGGACCGGGGCTTGGTTGCCGCAAGGCTGGATGTCCCATCTTGTTTTACAATAATGGGCATCATGTGGGATCCGATCTGCTAGCTGTTGAGGTAAGCAGTCGGCCTAGGCCCAGAGCGGCGAGTCAGTTGGACGGTCCTCTTCACAGTCTTGGAGTAGCTGGACGCGCCGCGCACCGAGCCCTGCTATTGCCGACACGATGCCTGGCTGGGACAGTTACTCCCACCGGAACTCTCGACTTATCCAGCAAGGGTTCGTGTCCGATTGTCAGGGTGAAGCAGAAGGGGTCTGATGTGCTTGCTGCACGGATGTTCTCCTTCGCGCAAGGTACGTTTTCACAGCTACACCATGGTCGTGGGCGGACTGTGTCCTCCTGGCTTTTGTTACCCTCCCCCCCTTCACCTTCACCTTTCCCTCTCTCTGTTTTCATCCCCCGGGTTTCTGTCCGCAGCCCGCAATGACGATAAAACCAAAACCAGAGGTGCGCCGATGCAGGAGGGTACTTTGCTTCTCTCGCTTTCTGTTTCGCGACGGAAAGCTTGTAGGGAGGCAGTGCGCCTCTTTTGTGTCTAGAGCAGCACCGATGACGGGTAAAATTGTAGTTTTCAATCGGAGGGGGTTTGCAGGCAGAGTTTCACTCCTCTGTCTTGGGCCTTGGATTTGAGATGGGGAGAGCCATACACCTTTCCTTTTCTTTTCCCAAACAATGAACACGGAGCTCGGTGATGACCGAATTCCAAAAAGCCAAATTTGCAGGCAGCAGAGCTATAGGTCTACAACAACCTTTCTATCACTGAAAGGGAGATTTGGCTCGTGTTGTCAGTGAGAACTTAAGAGAGCTAATCTGAGGGCCCCCCGTGTCATTGTCATCTGTCATTTTTTTGCTCATTCGTCGTTATTCATTTCCCTGTTTTCTTTTGGTCGCTGTCTCGGACGACAAGGTGTAGCTCTCGCTGACCGTCCCTGAACAACCCATACATGTATACATACGTGCTACGCTAGGGAAATATTTGATTGAGGATAGAGTGTATCATAGTCTTGATGGAACAATGAGAAAAGAAATGATGGAATTGGATTCTAGGCCCTCGCTCCGATGTAGTTTGTGGTGTATTGTCATGTTGGACGTGAGCGACTCGGCCACTGTCCTGTTGAGGATGTTTTAAGGAACTGAAAAGGTTACAACAGGGATGGTTACGATAACAATAGAATTCGTCGCTATTTATGTGGTCTCATCCCTCACTTTGGGAAACCTAGCACATCTAGCCGTTGTTTCTTCCACTGGTATATAGCTGATATATAAGCCACACACAACACAGGTGTATGCTCAGATAGACCCATTGATTTCCATCTTTTCTTTTCGACTCTCTATAACCTATTCCCCAATCTTTTCAAATGCTAACTCACATAAGCAATCCCTCACTCCAAACCTCTATCTACTGCGTCTTCTTAACAGTCACCTTCTTCCCCGCACCAACAGGGGCACTATACATCCAAAGCGCCACAAAGCCCAAAAAGCCCGAGACCGTCGCGCCGATGCCGGCAATCCACGGCCACGCGCCGCTGATGGCGTAGCTGCGCGGCCACTCGTCGTGGGCCATGTGGCGGACGGGGACAGTGTTCTTCTCCTCGATGTTGGACAGGAAGGGGCGCTTGTAGTTGACCATGAAGTTGAAGATGCCGTGCTGGTCCGGGATGGTGAAGACGGTGTGGTAGTGCACGGCGGCCAGGCGGTGCGATTCCTCCTTCAGGTTGAGGCGGTGGAAGGGCGAGAGCATGGAGAACTCGAGCTGGACCTCGTCGGCTTCGGGAACGTTGAAGCCGATCCAGTGGTCCCAGGCGAATTCGGCGAGGGAGATTGTGTAGGACTGTGTGTTCACGGGGAAGGGGTTAGTTTCCTGTCTGTATTTGAGAAGGGCAAAGGGGAAGAGAGAGAGAGAGAGGGAGAGAGGAGATGGAAGTACATACCACATTGTTCTTCACCCGGTACATCGCAGGGTTAGAATCATTCGGCGCCCCTTCCTCCTCCAAGTGGTGCTCCACCCAGTTGACCTTCAGCACGCCAATCTCCTGGAACGTCCAGCCGCTAACGCGCTTGGCGAACTCCCTGTTGAACGTCTGAACGACAGGCTTGCCGCCCAGCTTGGTCACGCTGGCGTCGAACCATTTGTCCTGCAACATCTCGGCCGAGCCGACCACCGTCACGCGCGCGTTGTTGCGCGCCTGGAAGGTCGACACCAGCGAAAGCTGCTGGCCGGCCGCGAAGAGGTCATCCCCGTTAACCGCCTCGGCCTGCTCCTTGGGGTTGTAGCTGTAGGCAGTGCGCGGGGCGCGCAGGATGGGGTTGAGAAGCTGGCCGTTGCCGAGGACGGCGCCGACGCCGCGCGGGAAGGCGATCAGCTTCGTGCCCGCGTCCTCGCTGAAGAAGTCCTTGATGCCGGTGCGGACGGGCTTGGGGGCCGGCAGGAGCAAGACATCGTGCCTGTCGGCGGCGCTGGTGATGTCGTAGTTGAAGTGGTCAACGACGAGGCTGTTGCGGTCGGTGGGCAGGGTGATGTCGAGCTCGGAGAGGAGGGAGACGAGCGAGGTGGGCGTGGTGGTGTTGGCGCTGAGGGCGAGCAGGATGTTGCCCTGGGCGTTGACGAAGTCGTGGAGGGTCTTGGGCGTCAGGTTGGGGCCGAGACCCTTGGTGTGGACGGGCAGGAAGAGGACGTGGTCGTAGGTGCGCTCGCCTAGGTTGAAGAGGTTCAGGGAGTCGCTCTTTGGTGTTTCGTAGGTGATCTTGAATTCTCGTTCTAGAATGGACAGCTTGATTAGCACAGCCGTCCCGATCTATCCGTTTGGCCGTCTAACACAGCATTGGGGTTGCTTTACTGACCTTCTAGGTCAGCGAAGAACTTGGAGTAGGTGGCCTTGTCTGCGACATCGTCCAGGACAACCAGCAACCTGTTGCCAGATGTGCTGATGGCAGCCACTACGCTCGCTAGCGCAAGCAACAGGAAGGATAATAGCGTCCTCATGATTCGTCCCTTGTTGTAGTTGGATCCGGGAAGAAAATGAAGGACTCCAGGAACTCAGCACATGGGAATTGGTAAGGTATTTGGGTTGAAGTTTGTAATTCTTTCCCCCGGTTCAATGCTGTCGTTCACGCAAGGAAAGTAGCTTCCAGCATACGTAGCCGTTTGCCAAGACCTTCCCGATTGACCCTGGACGAGTCCACCGGCGCTGAGAAGCTGAGGGAGAGCAACCCCCCTGTTTGGTACCTCTATACCTTGGATTGTGGCTCGAGCTTCCTTCGAGCTTCGTGGGCGGGCGAACGAAGCGCCAAGCCAGACAAGCGTGGGACAACCCCGGTCAGCAAAGTGGGACCGTCGTGGATTGCGCCGCAATTGAACTTCATGGAACCTCCCGGCGGGCGACGGCACACGCACGGCCTTCCATCTCGAGTCTCGAAATCGCGGGACAGCAGCTGCCGAAGCTCTCAAACGACGCCCAACGCCGACGCCGACGCCGAAGATAGCGAACGAGATCGTGTTTACCCTCATTTGACAGGTCACAGTCAGAGTTAGAGGTATGTCGACCTACGCTCCAGCATTAACTTCCGCACCGCAATCGCAGTTCCAATCTCCATCGTCAACCAGTGTCCTTGCTCGTAACTCACACCCACTACGTCCACTCTCCACGAACTCCACCAACCCCTTCGAGTCCACGAGTCAGTTTCACTAACACCCTCCCCCGTTGCGCCCGTCACCATAGAAACGAAACGACAACAAAACAAACACCGATAAACAACAATGTCCGGCACACTCCCTCACTTCTGGGCCCAGCCCTTCCGCTACCTACGCTGGTCGGCCCGCGAGAAGCCGGCCTACTTCTACTCGTGCGTGATCGCCGGGCTCGGCCCGGTCTTCCTGACGGTGGTGCCGCCTGTGCGCAAGTACTTTGGGGATGTCAACCCGGCGTTGATTCCTGTTACTTATCCTAGTACGTTTTCTACGTCTACCTTTCTTTTACTTCTTACATTGCATTTTGGGTTCGGCAAGGTTCGATAATATGGAGGAGAAGAAGAAGAAGAAGAAGAACGAGAGACCGGGAAGGCTAATTAATGTGTACTTGGAAATAGTTCCCACCGGCCCTAGGAAGCAACTTACGGGTTTTGATGATGATACCGAGGAGGCATAGATAGAGAAGGACGGAGGTGGCCGATGGATAGGTAATGGTTCGGTTTTGTGCTGAAAGCCTGGATGAGAGAGAGAAAAAGACAACTAAGCGGATAGACAGGACGCTCTTGCTGTGAACATAAAGGACTACAGAAACTTTTTAGACGACGCAGACGGCGGGGAGTCTGGAGGAATATCAGAATACAGGATGATATATACCAGATGAGACAAGATCGACTGACTGGCTTTCCTTTGCCTTTGCTCTCCACAAGAGGTTGCCGCTGGGAGATGGGATGAGCGGGACGGGATTATACACATTGTGTGCTATAAGACTTCATAAGGTCAAGATATTTGACTATGGATACCTCTAGGCAGGTAACAACGAGAAAGGCTTTTGAGGTCTATACAATAGGTACTCTCCCGGCAGATGAAATGATCCAAGAGCGTACGCTATCAATACTCGCAATCAACAACTTTTCCAACTATTTCCGTGGCATGTCAATTCTATATACCCTCCCTACTTGCTTACTTGCTTGCTTTTCCCAATGCCGAAAAAGCCACCACCAGACAAATGCAAACCGCTTTTCCCATAGAGGTATCTATGCTTTTCCATTCATCAGAACTACTCCACCTCCTCCTCTATCACCCAGATATCTTCTAACAGCTTACCGCCTTCGCCTTCGCCTCTTCTTTTCCAAACCCTGATATATACAACATCATCACACTATCGTTCTCGCTGAATCAAGTTCCACTCATACTATAACAACCTCTCGTTAGCATCATGTCCTCATTCAATCAAGCGACTCAATCAAAGAAAAGCAAAAACTCACCACCCGCCCATCATCATCCCCCGTATAAACACAACTCGGCATCGGTGTAATACACGTAATCGCCGCCTCCACATTTGCGCCCGTCTCGCTCTTGGTATTGACATGATCCAGTCTCCTGACCAGCTCCAACACCCACATACTGCTGCTGCCTCCCGAGCCGCCTCCCGAGGAGGAGGCCTTCTTATTAGAATCCACCGTCTTCCTCCACACATTCACCCTCCCTCGCTTGTGGCCGGTAAACACCAGGTTCTCCTCCACCCACTCGTTCCCGCCGCCGCCGACGGTGCTGGTGCTGGTGCCTTCGTAGAAGGCGCACGAGTGGATGTAGTCGTTCGTGTCACCCTCGGAACACACGTTTTGGTCGAGGATGAGCTCGCCGTTGAGCGTGTAGAGCAGCACGTTCGGTCCGCTGCAGAGCATGATCTCGCCCGTGACGTCGTGGATGCGCGCGCACTCGACTGGTCTAGCGAGCGGGAGTTTGCGGATGAACTCGAGGCGGTTGAGGTCCCAGAGTAAGGAGATGCCGTCTTGGGAGACGGTGACGAAGGTGCTGAAGGCCTTGGACACGGCGATGGTGGTCACGGGCGTTTTGTGTCCGAATAGCGACGAGCGCGGCACCAGCTCGACGGGTTTGCCGGGGCTGGACTGGACTGTGTACACGGACACGACGCAGTCTTCACCCGCGGTGATGAGGGTCTTGGAGTCGGCGAAGGTCAGGGTGGAGATCTGCCCGATGTGCAGGTTCTCGAAGAGGCCGGCGGGCTTGCGGTCGTTGGTGAAGAAGAACCGCACGCTGCCGTCGGCGTAGCCCCATTCGAGGAACTTGTCGTATTGCGGGGGCAGGTTCAGACGGAACGGCGAGGCGCAGAGCAGGCGGTCGAGCTTGGGTGCGTAGATCAGGGACGATACGCGCTCGTGGCTGTCAAGAAGGGGGTGTGGCTGCTTGGTCAGAGCGTGGACAGAGGTGTCCAGCCTCTTTATGGGACACCTGGCGTGCTCGCGAGCGGGATGGGGTTTGGTGAACGCCTGGTGCGGCGTCTGGCCAAAGTTGTGGATAATATTCGTCGCAATCAGGCGCTCCTGGGGATCGGAGATGTTATCCAGGTCTGTGCCGCCCTTGTATGATAGCGGATGGAACACATTGCAAGCTTCCACCGCCGCATCTCCGCGCTGCTTGTATCCGAAAACAAGATCAATCCATTGATGAAGCCGCTGACTAACATACGGGCTCTCGAGCGCTTCACGGTTTTTGGCGATGAAGATCTTGGGATCCCCCTTAGCCCACGGTGGCAGGATGACATTATCAACCTTGCCGCCATCGCCCTGGCGGGTGCCAAAGTTGTACCCGTTGATGTTGGTCAGAAACTCGGGAAGGTAAAAGAACTCGGGAGTCAGTTCACGAACGTCGGTACCGTTGTCTCTTGAAGCGGATGCCCAAGCACCTTCGATCGAGTAGAATAATCTGTCAGCGTGGTCAAACGAGCCACCCTGCATCAGGATGAATGTCTGCACGAAAGGTGGCAGACGAATCAAGTATGACGAAACGATCATGGCTGATGAGTAGTGAGTACCGTAGTGGTAAGGTTGTTCGTCCATCTCAGCCAAGCTTTGGTACTTGGCTATGAAGGTATCCATGCGGCTCTTCGTCTGAGCGCCCATGGGCTTCGAGAGATCTCTGAACGTGGCCGGATCATTGAGATCGAGTTCCTCGCTGGTATAATCTGCCAGAACCCAGGGGAAGACGGGATACTGTGTGAGATCATTGAAGGTCCTGCCAGCCATAGTGTTGACCAGCATCAGATAGTGAAAATTGGAGATCTCGCCCTTCTGCCACTTCCTCATCATAGGGTTCCAGGCAGAAGAGTTGAAGATGCTTCCAAACTTGGCACCCAAAGTCTGTGGCGCCTCTTCACTGAACTTGAGACTTTCAAGGCGCCAGGCATCCTCGGGCGTGGGTAGCAAGTTGGGCCCATTGCTATGAGGCGTCTTGTTCATCATCCGGCTGTAGATCTCGTCTCTCATGGCAGAATTGAGAGCTGTAAACAGGTAACTCCTACCATCGGTGAAGAAAATCTCGATGGCCACATCGCGGAAGAGGAAGCGACGTTTTGAAACACTAAGAACATCCTGCCACCTCCAGCTGCGCGACACCTGATCGGTACGGTTCTGGCCTTGCCTACGGTCATTGCTCTGACCGGAGATCATGACCGAGAAAGGGTCTCGGTCTTCCGGAGGTGCCTGCCAGACATTGATGATCTCTCCATCGGGGCTCTGGAAGAGGTTATCCATCAAGTACAGGGCTTCTTTGCCGATAATCAGTATACCCTCGGATGCATCTAAACCAATAATGCGAGAGATGTTGTAGACGTTCTGCACCGTGTCACCCTGCTGTAGTCGCCGCATGACCTTCCGATTCTTGTCTTCAAAGGCATCGTCTTCCTGTTCGTTAGGGTCATCCACAAGCTCGTAGTCATCCTCCGGTAAAACGCTTTGTTGGTCTGACTCGCCTGGCGCGAGTTTGGGCGCTAGGTTTGTGTTAGAGTCACTTGAGGGCTCAGCTCCGGTCCTGCTCTGCGGCTGGGCGACGGACGAAGGCGCGCGGCTCCTACGACCGGAGGACGAGCTGTCACCCGCAGCTAGGCTTGAAGCCGGAGCGCCGCTGCCAGCGTTCCCCCTTGGTTGATAGTCCGGTTGCTGCTGGGCAGCATAATCGGGGAGCAGGCGAAGACGCATGCGATTCCGACCCTCTGTGCGATCAAGCTTCCATTTGATTTTCTGCTCCCTGGCAAACACCGCTCCAGGCCGATACAGTTCGCGCTCCATCTTTGTGAAGGATGAAGCCAAGAAAGCGTTATCATCCTGCTGGTCCTGCTGGAGCCTCTGGTGTTTGAAATGTTCGGTAAAGTAGATGCTCTTCATCCAGGCGTTATTGCTCATCTCATGCCGAAGCAAGATGCTATCGCGCTCCATGGCTTCGCTATGCCATTGTCTGAGTTTGTCCTTACGGTTCCTCATCCGCGACCTGGCGGTGTCTGCTGTGCGCTGGTTTTCACCACGCACATAGTCCTCCCATGTCTTGGACATGCCACCAAAGAACAAGATATCGAGGGACGAACGATGACTGTCCACCCACTCGAGGAAAGATAAATCATCCAGCTGGGTGAGCCTTCTGAATCCCCTGGCTAGTGGCTGTTGATCAGGGCTCATAAACTGACGGAACAGCATCGATGACTCCTCAGGCTTCTGGACAAGCATTATCCGCCACAACATCGCTGCCATGAGACGGATTGGCTCGCGGGTGTCGACCAGCTTGTTGTAAAACTGATACCAGAGAAGCTTCATGAAGTCGTCATCGAGATTCAAGCAGTTTAGAAGGACAGCTTGCCAGTAGAGGAGTTTCTCCATAATCGATGTGGCTTCTTGGTCAGTGGTCTGCGGGTCGTCCATGTCGGATAGCTTCAACAGAACAAGCTTCAGGAATGTTGTTCTGATGGTATTGACCGCAGAACTGCAAAGTCGGACACTTTTTGTGCTTGAGACATCTGGCCGCTGTAGATACTCCAGCAGTGTTCCAGTAAAATCAAGCATAGTCTCAGCGCCGTTGATGAACCAGCCCTCAAAGATGGCCTCTGCCATGTGCATGTTGAGGCGTGACATGTTCTGCAAAACCCTAGGTTCCAAAAGGGCCTTCTGGTCCAGCTGAACGGCGTTTCTCAGCTGAGTGATGGCATTGCGTAAGATATAGGTTTCGAAGTACGCCTGATGCTCCTGGAAGCCCGGCGGAACCTTGAGGAAGAGGCTGAATCCCGTGAAGTCTTTACGCGACAATATCTGATCGTTGAACACGCTGATGATGAGTTCCAGGATGCCCTCCAGAACCACATTGCTTACTTGCTGAGTGGCAACCTTCTTCTTCGGGGACATGATATGGTTGAGGCGGGAAGGCGGAGGTGACATGGGTTGGTCTTGAGCAACGAGGATAAAAGACGAGGGCCTGCGTAAAGGTGTACCGCGACTTTGTCCCGGTGAAGGGGTTGGCTGCTCAGCCACAGCAGTATTGGTCGTTCGCACGATCGGAGTGGCTGTTGATGATGACCCGGCCACTGGCCGAATGATCACATCAACTCCGTCGAAATTGAGCGAGGAGTCCTTAGATCCAAGTTCAGTTTCGGGAGAGACTGGGTCAGCACTGACGACAATGGGATACAAAGCAGATAGAAGTAGCCGAACATAGTCTGATGCCAACGTGAAATCACGAAAGCTCTCAGATCGGCTATACATATCTGCCATGAAACGGACAACTGTTTGCAAAATGCTCGCGTGATTGGCGACTCTTTCTTTATCGGGCATGGGGGCTCCTGGAAATCTTTGGTTAGTAAGGACAATGAAAAAAAGGCAGGATCAAGCTTACTTCTGGATTCAAGTGCCTGGCCCAACTCCATAGATCTAGCTCTAGGTCTCGTATGAACCGCAGCTAGATTGCCCCCAAATGTGGCGGCCCCGCTGTGTTCGGCTGCTGGTGAGTCCGGATCATCCTGATACCTAAGAATATCCCTAAGGCCGTGCTGCAGCATGGCAGTCATGACCGGGAGCACATCTGGGTATACTACTTTGCTGTCTCCAAATATCTCCAAGAGGCTGAAGAAGTCAAACGACTTGTCAAAGTCGATTTGGGCGACATCGTATCCAAAGAGGATACTGAAGAGGATGGCCCAAAGAGTGGGAATGTCCCACCAGTGTTTTAACCGATGTGCCATAATCCAAAAGCCACCGGTCTTAGAGGCGAACTTAGCTGTGTAACTGGTGGGTTGGGTGACAAGTAGACGAGCGAGGATCTTGCACCCATAGACAACGATTTCGGGATCGTTTTCGGCGAGCAGGTAGAGTAGCCACTGGCTCGTCGTCAGCACGAACTCCTTTTCTGAGCCCTTGATATCAATCACCTTGTTGGTCACCGTCTTGGCAAACCTGCTAATGTCCACCAAGTTGTTCTTTTCGCAGAGGATCCTGGTGTACATCTCCAGCATCTTCACGCCGAGCTGCTTTCGTGTGAGCATCCTCGACCCATTGCTGGAAGACGGCCCGCTATATTCGGGAGAAAGTCGTTTGGCGGTATAAGGGCCGGGGCCGGGGGTGACTGATCGACTAGCTGAAGAAAGGGCTCTTGGTGTTCGCGGCAATGAGTTTGCAGGAGTATGGAAGGTATAAGTGATGAAAAGCGCAAGAGAGCGATAAACTTCGGAACTATAACTACACCTGACCAAGGCCTCGAATGAGGTCAGGAAGTGTGGTAAGATGTCTTCGGAGATGGTTTCCGTCTTCAAAGCGTCTAATAGCCGCTTGATGATACCTGTATCGAGGGTAGTGAGTTCCACAAGATCATTTCTCAAAGGGATGGAAGGCCACAACGTACGCATGCGTAGAAGTCTACGACTGTTGAATTGGTGGTGCTTGCTGTTTACCGCAAACGTAACAAACTGCTTGTAGTATAGCTCCTGTATAATGGATGCAGATTTGCGCCAGAAGTCGGGGTCGATCAAAAGGATGCGATAGGCAAGAGGGTTCACGATAAACGACTCAATGGGGTCAGCATGATTATAGCCAACAAAACTGAGCACAAGGCTCAGCAACTGAAAGGTGAGCCTGGTCTTCTCATCGGGGCTCAGTGAGAGCCCCCATGAAGGATTGTCAGAAGCAGAGACGCCATATCCCAGTTTGGCACGTAGTAACATGCTCAGGATGGCATAGCCATTGTCTCGTTCCATTGCCTCGCTGTTTCTCCAGCTATGAGTGATGCAGTGGAGCATTATCTCAACGGCACGCACGAGGTCATCGCCTGTGGTGGTCCGCTCAACAATCTTGAGAGCAACGGGTGTGAAGCCGGCCAAGCGCCAAAGGTTGTCGTCGAAGTAGTAGGGAGTAGCAAGGATCGGGTCGCCGGTAAGAACTCCAGAACCATTAGCTCTTATCAACGCATCATTAATGCAGGACACGGCTCCGTTTATCGCAACAGAAGTCCCATTCTTAGTGGTTGAGTGCAATAAGTTGGTGACGGAGTGCCGAGAAAGAGATCGAAACAGCGTTGTTTCCATAAACTTTCCATCGGTTCGGAACACAGCTCGTGGAAGTATACTCAGCAAAACCTTGTGCTCCGGGACGATGGTTCCAGCCTTGTCCCTGATAGCTCTCAAGATGTCCGACACCTCATCTTTGCCAGGATGGAAGATTTCATTTCGCAAACCCAAAGCAGCCGAGGCCTCGTAAGTCTGGAAGCTACCAAGACAATCCTGGAAGTTACCTTGGTAACGAGGTCCCAGTCGGTAGTGTACAGCCAAGAGATCGTCACTCAGGACATCTTCGAACAAGTGAGCAGAAGCGAGTGACCACTTTGAGTGTACAAGTCCCGGGCCGACTTGAGTTGCCAAGTCCCGAGGAGTGCCCAAGAAGGCTTGCACGGGGTTCGTTTTGTTGGCATTGGACGTGAAGGATGCGAAGCTGTCGGTACTGGCGTTGGAAATTGGAGGTGTGCTCGGGTATGATGACCGTATCTGTTCGGCGAACTCTCCATTTACAAAAAGACTCGCTTTGCTCGTCGTCAGAGCCTTGGGCTTCCGGTGAACGATGGCAATATGGTACCACCGATTTGGCTTGAATACGACCGACTTGAATCTGACACTGGGTCTTGAAGACGTTACTGACGTTTGAAGGATGAAATTCTTTGTATCTTTCTCTAGGTACGCCAAGAGGAAACATGTTTGGGTAGAGTCGAAGACCCCAAATAGCGTTGTATGAGACTTGGGATCAAATCTGTCAACACGGACCCAAGCAGTGAAGGTATATCCAGGCGCTGATTGTGGCGGGAAGGTTCTACCGAGACTAGGTAGCACGATAGAGGCATGGCCATGGAGCGAGAGGTCAAACTGCACAAATGGAGGGCCATTGTGCTTTTCTGACATGTCCACGCAAAACTCGGACATGACAGCGTCCTGGCGAGAGAGCAAGAACTGGGCATCTGCAAGCTCGTCAATTCCAAGCGATATCAGCTGTCTGCACAGCCATGTAGCGTTTTCCTGCTCTGCCTCTGCAAGCAGGCGGTTCTCGGAAAAGAGCACGCGGAAAAGCCGGGACAGTATGCCAGTTCCATGAATGGCCGTTAAGTTGAAGAACGAGACAGAGGCAACGCGTGACAAAGCCGTCAGCACAATCATGGAAGCATGGCTGGCCGCAGCACCCTCAGTTCTTGGAATGGACTCCCAAAATCCCACAATCGTCCGGATGATCTCTGGATTCTGAACAACAGTTGTCGGTCCAATAATGGCTATCAACCTCTCCCGAATAATGAGCCAGCGCATAGCTTCTGTGGGTTGTAGTTCCACCTCCTGTTTTTGTCCCTGAACTTCATCCTGTTTATTCGGTTCGGGCTCGGTTGGCGTCTGTTCGAGTGATTTTCCTTCTTCGGCGACGGAGCGGCACAGCTCGTCGAAACGCTGATCATCGAGGGAAAAGGAAAGCAGTTTTCCAAACAACTGGCAGTTTGTCCAGAGGTCCGAGTCGCCTCCTCCAACCCCAATGCTGGCAATAATTTGTTCCAAGGCCTCCCAACCTCCACCTTCAACCTTGTCCTGGAAATAACGTCTATTGCCGGGATGTCCGCGGAAAAGAGCCGATATGGTGGCCAGGATAACATGTATCAAATCGAACAAGCCAACACGCTCGGCTTCGGTGCGCTTTTGCGGGTTATAGAAGCCGGAGAATGATCGCAGGACATCGAGAAGGGTCTGGAAGCCGCGCAGATGGCGGAAGTCGTCTTGTGGTGGGGAGGGAGGTCGCGCTGCTGCTATATGTTGGTGTATGCTTCTTATATGGTCTATCAGCTCGTCTATGTTGGGAAAACCGCTGGCGCCCGGCGCTCTCGTCGTAGCTACAAGACGGTCGAGGAGGCTCTGGAGCACTTCGGCCGCTTTCGAGGTCTGGACCGCCGAAGCCGAGGTCGACGACCGGTAGCGGCGTGATCGCACGGCGAGCATCGTGTAGTCTATAGTACAGTCGTGGGTCGGCGACGAATGTGTGTTTGTATAATCATGTATCAAGTGCGAAAGCGAGTCGACGTTTCGAAGTCCCCAGCACCCAGCGCGGGTCTAGGGGTATGTCCAGGACGGCCTTCATGGAAAGGCAACGGAGCAATCTCGAAAATGGTCTGAGGAGAGCCCTCACAGCACCATCCTCAGCTCAATGCTCAACGTACCAGAGGTCGTCGGTCCAGCCTCCTTGAAACTAAAAAGAAGTTAAGATGGACGGCTGCGATGTCGTGTTGTCGTCTTGTCTGGCAAAGGCGGGGTGGCCGACTCGGGACACCAAGAGGAAAGAACAAGCACAGGTTGGAAAAGCTGGTTGGAATATAGTATCACAAGAAGATAGGATTGCTGGTCTGTTACTTTTTTCTGCGTGTTGTTTCTGTGATGCCTACCACGCGTCCCTATCCAAGGTGCGGGTCGTTGTGCAAATAAGATTGAAGCTCCTTCTCGTGTTCAGCCTCGAGCTAGGAAAGTGGACGGTTTCCATTGCGGCTTCTCCTTCCGTTCCAATGACAGCGAGCCCCTGTGTTGTTGGTGCGGTCCAGTGGCCCAGTGGCATCATTATAGTGGATAGCCTTCTGCCGGCAGGAGAGCTCAGGCTGGAAGTGGAAGCGAGAGGGGTAGCCCGGGCCACCTGTGGCGGTGCCTGCCTAAGGGGCTTCTCTCCCGCCTAAAACGGACTTCATTGCGCAACACCTAAATTGCCCGTCTTCAGGTCTGTCATTCTCGCGAGATTTTGACCTTGGCCAAATCTGGACTTGGAACTGAGCAATTTGGCCCGGGATATTAACAAACCAGTACATTTAACAGCGCTAGGTGGACGCAATGCGGGACAAAAGCCCGCTCTTCCAGTTCAATCTAATGACTCTGGTATGACAAGTCTGGCAATTGACTCTTGTTGACTCTTCACGGTCGATACCTCTATGCATTTCCACTTGGTGGTAAGTGAACTCGAAACTGTCTTCAATATCATGATCCGACGATGCCGATGAAGTTGGACTGACTCGCACTAAAACAGCTTGATATTTCCCCTTTTGGCGAGATATCGATACCGCGGGCTGGCTGACGATCTCGTAGCATCATCGTTGCAAAAGATGAACAAAGTTGAGATCCTGTTGCATAGGTAAGCGGACAAGCCGAGGCTTATTTCGACAAGATGTTCACAACAACCTCGACCAATAAACACCGTCGCACACCTACAATGCCTAGTCATTTCGCAACACCCATCTTATGGAGCGTTTACCTTCAACTGCTGTGGTTGCCGATTTTGGATGACGAGCTGGCTTGGGGCTCGTTATGTCCAGTCTGCAGAGCGTCTTCACTCTCGGATCATAGAGGTAGACTAGTACCTCTATGTAGCCGAGGTAGACCTTCAAGACTCTGGCCTTTCTCTTTGGACGATTCTAACTCTGAAACAATGGGCTGTCAGTAACACTTTATCTCATTGGCAAGGCTTTCCCACAAAATGCACGTGAGTGTCGTTATTGACCGCTTCCTGATATGGTGAGTCGCCAGCGCACCCGAAAGCTAAAAGGGCAGACCGCTTTCTGGGCAGGATTCCCACAGTTATCTCCACGGGGTAGTGTACGCTCCGGCGTCTCAAGTCAACATTGACAGTTTTTATTGTCATTGCAGAGCCTGAAGACAGAAAATGAACAAACCGAGTCTTTACTCACTTTTAGTTACAGCGTACTGTAGAACCATTTCCAACAAGAAACAGCTCTCTGAAACACTTGCAAACCATCCCAACAACAGCTCTTCCAAGGCAGTTGAGGCAGTCTGTTGCCTGAATGACCCATTACATCATCCCTTCCGGGATACTGATTGGTAGCTGATAACGGCCGAAACCGATAACGAACCCTGGTCGACCCCAGGCTCCACTTACGCGACACACTGCTTGCTTCGACGTGCCTGCGTGTTAATGCGCCATTCATTGTCCACCCATCCAACGTACCACTCGCGTTCCTGGACTAACGCGACAGAGTGCCTGGATTACGGGGCTGATATCTCCAATCGCTCGTCTCATACCTCACCGCTTCCGCTTTCGAGGGAACCAGACGAGCACGCAAAATGCAACCTGAAAAGCGGTGATTCCAGGCCCCGGAGGGTTATTTGCTGGCAGATAGCGCTATGATGTAATCGCTGTCGAGTCCCAGAGCCATCAAGGTTCCGGCTTCAGCGGGCTAAGCTTGTCCGAGGCCGCAAGGGTCCATTGGCCGTGGCAGCCGCCGACGGGAGCCTGACCACTCCAAAACACAGCGGAAGTCTGACAAGATGGCATTGTCCAAGAGCTCGGTTTGTCGTCGTCGTCGTCGTCGTCCTTGCTGCAACTGAATTGGATGCATTGATAAAGCCATCAAAGGCGTGAGCCACCCGAGCGAAACTCACTCTTCTGGTGCAACACAGTGAGATATGACCGCTGTCACCTCCGGTCTGGTGCTCAGCATCAACTGAGTCAGAAGGGCTGGTAAGGGCCCGGGGGTGCTGTGTTGATTGTGTGGGGGACAAGGAGCATCCTACAATCTGGCACGTGCCGTATGCCAGATGACCACTTTGAACTCCAGTTCCGGTGCGGAGATCCCCCGCCCCCTGGCTTCCACTTGGCATGCTGGCAAGCTGGATTGGATTCGTAAGGACAGTGTCGGATCGCTTGCAAAAAGACAAATCATTGGGATCAGTCGGTGACCTGCTTAGCGAGCTGATACTGATGAAGCGAGGCGAGACAGTTGAGTTGAGAGGACATCTCTCTCGCTAGTCTGCCCAGATCAAGGTACCATATGCACAGTATCAATCCGTTCGACAGGCATGCCTATATCAAGGTGGAAACAGTGTCTCACCTGTCATGGTACGGTTGCGGTTACTCACAGCCTCGGGCCCTCGGAGGCAACTTCAAGGTCCTGAAGCTCCGAAGCTCAATATAGCTTCGACAAATCAAACAACGGGATGACCCCCGACCCTCTCAAACCGATACGACAGGGCGTGACCACAGGTGTGGTTGGCGGTTGACGATCTGGATGGCAGCCTTGCTGGGGAAGCGTCGCAGGTCGGATGTCCATATCGAGATACTGTAGTGTATAGGATAAGCTTAGTGTAGTGCGTACAACGGGTGGGAATCCGCTCCGTTTGTTGTCACCTTTCCAGGCCCGTAGAGGTGTCATTCACAACAAGCAATCAACACACCTCGGGCACCTCTACAAAGCACTTACCATCGAGCCATCCCATCCATCCGGTACCGGGAATGCGGCGACTTTTGCTTCGGTGTTGGCCATCGTTAGTCCTCTTCTCGAAGCGTTCGATTGTTGACGTGTCGAAACCAATGCAGGAGGTCTGAATCTCCTTGCATCTCTTGCTGGTTGTCGTTCCCGAGTCTCGACGAAAGCCAAGCTGATTGACCGGGGCAGTGGACTGGGATTGAGTGATTGACTGATAAGCCGCGACGTGACCGCTCTTATCGGTCGGATGCAGGCCTGTTGCCCCTTGTGGAGCAGGCGCGGGCTCACACCATTGGTCGCTCCGCCTTTAGCTAGTCCCATTCGGGTTAGGGATGGGCGTCCCCAGCTTGGGTGCCTGCGGGTTGACAGGAGGTTCCCTGAGGCAGCAACCCACCAGCACCAGGCCGTGCACGCTTACGCATCCGTCCTGGAGGTGTTCTTTATCAGGACCTCCTTCCCGTGCTTCCTCGCCTTCCCTTCTTCTTTCCCCTTCATCCGCCTGGCTCCCCCCATCCCTTCTCCCATCATCATCATCATCAGCCAACGACTGAGGAATCTCGCCGTTGTCGGTTTATCCTTCTTTTCATTCACATCCAGTTTGCATCTTCTTTGAGGTCGTAGGCCAAACCGACTTCGCACCGTTCCTTTCGTTGGTATCGGTAATCACAACAACATGAGAGGCCTTCTCGCTCTATCGCTAGCAGCCTGTGCTGCGGCGGCCCCAGCAGTCAGCCATGAGTCGATCCATGGCGATGCCGCTCCCATTCTTTCGTCCTCCAACGCCGAGGTCGTTCCCAACTCCTACATCATCAAGTTCAAGAAGCACGTCACCGATGACAAGGTTTCGGACCACCACACATGGATCCAGAAGATCCACTCCTCCCGCATGGATCTGAAGAAGCGTAGTCAGATCCCCATGGTCGACGACGTCTTCCGCGGACTCAAGCACACATACAAGATTGGCCAGGACTTCATGGGCTACTCGGGTCACTTCGACGAGGACACCATTGAGGCTGTTCGCAGGCACCCCGATGTAAGTTACAACACAACGCCACCACCACGGGCAGCTCTGAAATCTTACTAACACGCTTCCCAAACAGGTCGAGTACATCGAGCGTGATAGCGTCGTCCACACAATGAGCATGTCGGAGGATGTCGATGCCGAGGGCAAGTGCGACAGCGACATCGAGAAGTCCGCTCCTTGGGGCTTGGCTCGTATCTCGCACCGTGATACTCTGAGCTTTGCTACCTTCAACAAGTACCTCTATGCCGCTGAGGGTGGCGAGGGTGTCGATGCTTATGTTATCGACACCGGCACCAACGTCGAGCACGTTGACTTCGAGGGCCGTGCCAAGTGGGGCAAGACCATCCCCAACGGCGATGCTGACGTCGATGGCAACGGTCACGGTACTCACTGCTCCGGCACTATCGCTGGCAAGAAGTACGGTGTTGCCAAGAAGGCCAACGTCTATGCCGTCAAGGTCCTCCGCTCTAACGGCTCTGGTACCATGGCTGATGTCGTTGCCGGTGTTGAGTGGGCTGCCAAGTCCCATATCGAGCAGGTCAAGGCTGCCAAGGATGGCAAGCGCAAGGGCTTCAAGGGTTCCGTCGCCAACATGTCCCTTGGTGGTGGCAAGACCCAGGCTCTCGATGACACTGTTAACGCCGCTGTCTCCGTCGGCATTCACTTCGCCGTCGCTGCTGGCAACGACAACGCTGATGCTTGCAACTACTCTCCTGCTGCTGCTGCCAAGGCCGTCACCGTCGGTGCCAGCGCCATTGATGACAGCCGTGCCTACTTCTCCAACTATGGCAAGTGCACTGACATCTTCGCTCCCGGTCTCAGCATTCTCTCCACCTGGATCGGCAGCAAGTATGCCACCAACACCATCTCTGGCACTTCCATGGCCTCTCCCCACATTTGCGGCCTTCTCGCCTACTACCTTTCTCTTCAGCCTTCCAGCGACTCTGACTACTCTCTCGCTGAGATCTCCCCCGAGAAGATGAAGGCCAACCTTCTCAAGACTGCCACTGTCGGTGCCCTCAGCGACATGCCCCGTGACACCCCCAACCTCCTCGCCTGGAACGGTGGTGGCTGCAGCAACTACTCTGCCATCGTTGAGGCTGGCAGCTACAAGGCCACCCCCAAGGCCAAGTCTGACAAGATCTCGTCCGTCTCTGAGCTTGAGAAGGCTATTGAGCACGACTACGAGGTCATCTCCGGCAAGGTCGTCAAGGGTGTCTCTTCCCTCTCCGGCAAGGCTGAGAAGCTCTCGGAGAAGATCCACAACATGGTTGAGGAGGAGCTCAAGCAGTTCGTCGAGGAGATCGCTCTCTAAAGTGATGAAGACTTTTTAATAGCGTGTCATGATTAGCGCAATGACTATGACTGGGCTTTTCAGATGCCCCCTTTGGTATTAGGTTGGGACGAGCACTGCTCTGGGTTTTGGGATAGGTTTCGGATGGGCGTGGGACAGCCCCGGGAGTTTTCATGTACAGTATGCACAATATGGGTCACTGATGAGTTTGGGATGGGCATGCATTTTCGTACGTAATCAGGTACTATCTATCGATCATGAGAAACACAAGGTTATTTTGCCTTTGATACAATGATTCTTCTCCCTACTTGTCATTTGTGTTTTATTCAATTGTTCAATATGTACCAGCCATGGTGTTTTCGCGTATCTGTGTTATTCTCGGTTCGGCTCTTGAACCCCTGAGGCGATCCAAGGTACGTATCCCGGTATTCTATCTTGAGCGTCTTCCATCGTGCACTCCACTGACATCCTAGATGTAGCTCATCTCAACGGAATCTCCCACTTGGAAGCTCGTTCTTTCTAGAATTCGAATTGATCAAGGCAGGTACAAACCCATTCGCGCTTTCCACCAGTGACCGGCATTGCGTGATAGCAATCGCAGCGGTGCGCCTTCCTCGAAATTCAAGGATTCTCTCTTCAACGCCAGAATCCCGTCGGTTCCGACCTCGGTCATCATGACTTCCCGACTTCTTTTCTGGCGAGTGCTCTTATCATCACTGCACACAAAAGGGCTTCAATGGCGATTTCCTTACAAGATCTCGTCGGGTTTTCCCTCATCTCTTTGGGATTTCACTCCCGTGCCAAGTTGCTCCATCAAAGCTCTTGTGTCCGGTGTCGCCGATCCAAACGACCTCATTTCGCCTGAAATAGGGTTAGATGCACAGCTTTACGGCGGATCAATCACGAGGCTATCGCTTGCCAATTCGCAATCATCGAAAGCTCTTATAATTACTCTTCCCCTTACCCTTTTATACGTCTAAAAAAAGGGTCGCTGCCCCGTCAGTCAGGTCCGATGCTACGTCGACAGAGTGTCAAGTCTAAGCCGGATCTCAGACGCCGCAAGTCAACCTCGTCAGCAACACACGGAGTCCATCTCGAACACCTCGATCCAGCCGTCGCTCAACGAGACGCCCAGGTTGCGGCCTGTCAGGCATACGCTCGAGCTCAAGATCGGAGTGCCAAGGCAGACATGTCACTGTTTCCGCCAACACCCGATACCTCTCCACGTCGAACACAAGCAGCTCGGAGCGGCACTAAGCCTGAAGCAAGTAGCACTCCCCATCACGGGCAGGAGAACAACCAAGATCTTCACCGTAGACAGAGCGTGCGGTTTATGGGGCCATGTTCTGTTAAAGGGGAGAAACGCCTTGGTCAAGGTGCTTACTCCCACACCAAACGAAACTCCATGGACATCGGCCAAGAAGACACTGCGCAACTACAACCCAACGATCAAGATTCAAGCAGTGTTCACAGTTATAGTTTGGCCAACAACGTCAAGGAGCTTTCGAATATACACCAGTCATGCCAACCTCCCAAGACTTCGCCTTCAGCTCCCGTCACTGGTGTTGCGGCCGACTACATCCATGCTCTTGTCGCCAGCGAAGATTACTACACGCCAGAAGATAATATCGCCTCTGCTCCATCTTCATACCGTCGTATCAGAAGGTCCAGATCAATGTTCACCTCCGAAGATCCCGAGAGCAGGAAAAGTCAAGACGACTCCGTGTCGTTTGTTGATGGTAGAGTGCCTCCTTCCAGGTCAACGCTGGGTAACTCTAGCCACAAGACACTCGCCAATGGCAAAGAGAACGATCCCTTGACGGGACTGCCGCCGCTGAGAACCCCAAAGTCGATGAGTTTCTTGAGAACTCGGAGCGCTCACTCCAGATCAGACACACATAGGACCAGCATGGACCAGATGCATAGTCCCCTTGAAGCCCCCAGTGTGCTGGGCGATAGGTCCCACGCCAGTGAACGAGGCACCCCACGTCTTGTTTCCAAAGCTTCAACAATCTTCATTTCACGGAATCGAAGAGCCGAGCCAAAGATGCGAAAATCGCTTCGAAGCGCCAGCTGTGGCGATGACTTGGCTGAAACGAACCCGAACCTCACGCTTCTAACTACACCCTCGGGAAAGGATGATGGCTTCAAGCACAAGGCCAGGAAGGTCTCCAAAACCTTGAAAACAAAGCTGAAGAGTTTCTTCAATCTGACCAAATCTGAGGATTCGTGCACAATCCCAGTTCAGCACATCGACTCTCAGAGAACCCATGTCATGGACGATGCCGGGTCCATACACTCCACAGCATCGGATCAAGAGGTCGCGGAGAAGATCGAATGGGGCTCGATTCATCAAGTGCCTTCAAAGATACCCTCCCTCCAGGTCGTCCCGTCCAACCTTCACCACTCAAATAAGGGCAGTCTCGAGAGCCTTAGGAGTGAGCGAGAACGCAATGTGTCGGATGATAAATCATTGACCACCTGGGTGCACTCAGGTCCAAGCACGCTTACCAGTCAGCAACAAGAAGAATGGAGAGAGTGGGAGCGGCAACGTCTTTCCATTATCAATGAAGGCGGCACGCACGCTCCCTCGCCATCGATTCGCAGACAACCCCTAGGGGCTCAGTTATTTCAACGATATGACGGCTCTACCACACAAACCAACCCACCTGGTCCCGGCGTAGATAGCCAGCGAGTCTACTCCGCCTTGATGAAGCGCGTGCGCGATATGCACAATCAAACTTTTCCAACGGCGGAACAGCAACGCGAATTCGAGAGTTTGACTCACGGATCTCTCCGCGAAAGGTCGTCTCTCCGATCTTTGGGCAAAGCGCAACACCTCTACCAAGATACAGATCACATCGACACTCCAACGCGCGCTCCAAGAAAGAGCAGTTTGTCTGGGTATCAGGAACCTCAAGACCACCAACAGGGAATGCGTTCCTCGTCCGCCATAACCTCACAGTCGGCTGAAACCGGATGGGGCGACTCAAAAGGACCTCGAGCTGCTTTCCAAGCTGGCAGGTCAAAGACTGCCCCTACTCCCGCAGCTAGCTCACAGAAAGCACACCAAGATCCCTTCACAGAGCACGCCAATCACCCACTTGGAGTTCAGGATCATCAATCTGGAGGTCAACAGCTTTACGACAACCTTGGTCAGAACTCAGCCGCCTCAAACACGCCTGGTTCACATCTGTTCCGAACAACAAGTCCGTTCCGCCGTACGTTGCGCGAATCTATGGAGGCAGAATACAGTGCTATAGCGCAGGCGATCCAGGAATCGATTCATTATAACAGCTCGGACGACAACACGCAAATCCGTTACTCTGGTCAGTTCGACCCTGCTTCAAAGGATAGAAGTGAGGTCACGGACAACAACGATTACACTGAGAGTGTGTATTCTACAGACGAGAATGGGAACGGTCCACCTAACGGGGCATTGGATGATAGCTACAATCTTCGCAACAGGAGATCTGTAGGCTCACCCCTCGCTTACCATCCGGCGAATCTTGGGATCGAGTCCTCAGCCAGCTCTGTTGACTGGAAGACGTGGCTATCAGCAAATGTTGGCAAGAATGAATCGTCTCCTTCGACCCCGGTGGAAGTTGAATACGCAATTCCTACGATGCCCAACAGCTTCCCCAACCGTCATGTCCGTGAGTCGACACAAATCAACGAAGACTGCGAGGATGATGGCGATGTGTACGAGCCTCCAACCCATCGACCGTCACTTCCAACTTCTCCCTTGGCGACAATCGAGCCCAACGTTGTGAAGCTATCGCCAGAGCAACGCTCAGTCAAGCGTACCACGCCACCTCTTTCCGGTAGAGCTTTACTCGAGAATGATAGCCCAGGAGCTCCTCCTATTCCGGCAAAGAGTGCTTTGAGATGTACCCCTTCGCCGCTTAAGCGTTCTGGGCAAAACAGAGGCCACTACATGTCACCTTCGATCACATCCAGCCCTGGTTTAAGTGCGGCGGTTCAACGTCAGTTTGGACCGGTCTCTACCAAGCAGAACGGCTATGCGGCTGATCATCAACGACAGGTTGACTCCTCGGAAGGTGACCATGCAGGTCAGGAAACTAGAGGAGTGGCAGACAATCGGGGCTTCGGAAAGTTGAAGATGTCACAGATACTGGAAGGAGGATTCCGTCGAAGGGTAGCGAGCAGTGACAGCAGTGCGGCAGCCTTTCTTTAATGTTATTTTGGTGTCACCCCTCTAAAGATAATATACGACTGACTAGTGTCAGGTCTCACTACTGTACTATATCACTTCTTTTGTATGGGTGTACAGCATAGTGCAGTTGCCCTGCGAGGGGAGGGGTGGATATGCACAATGGAATTGCTAGAGGACAGGTACGGTAATCGGAGCATGGGATAGGGAAAAGGGCTTAGAGGTCTAATTCGGGGTCGGTTGTTTTTTGTTGCTCATTAAGCTTGACGACATTATGGTTATGGGAATCATCCAGATACGAAATGACGAAAACCAAATAGAGATATAAAAACAGCCAAAAGTCGAGGCATCCAAAAAGGCAGTTACACCTTGCAGTAGTGACAGCGAGTAGATACTAACCAACCAGCTTACGCCCATCTAGCCACAACGGTAGATCGCATAAGGGACAACAAGCAACCGGGTGCGAGGCGCACAGTTGTCAACTTACCGAGTCCGGTGCGAGGGGGACCGGTTGGTTAATCATCACAAGAGGTTGACCGGTGAAGCTGAGGTCAAGAAGATGCAGACAACGGCGTTAACAGCACAAATGACGATAAAGTCCGGCGAGTTCCTTGGCGCAATGGCTTTGTCCGCGGCGTTCGTCTGTACTTGTAATCAAGATCACCACAAGGAACGAACAGGCTAAACCCTTAGAAGGCCCGAGAGAAGCCCAAATGCCAAATGACGTAGAAGTCAATTGGTTGGGTTGTTGATCAACACACCCCCTCTGACCCCCTCCAACTCCAAAAGTGCCTTCAAACTGGAGGAGGGAGGGAAAAAGTGTGAAAGTGTGCATTTGATATCATCTGATAACGGCCTTTGATGCCCGGGCGACTGAGCTCTGCATTGTTTGGTAGGTACCGTACATGCGCAGGAAGGATGTCCCGGCGCCCGGGTGGTCCGGCGTTAGCATGCATGCGCTATGTTGTGCTTTGGCGCCAGAGCCCAAAGGGCTGGAATTGGAATTTGGAAGACTTGGAGCGGTGGAAGAGGGTGGATGAAAACGTCGACGGGAGGTGTGAAACATGTTTTTTCCACTTTGACGGTGAGGTGGGAAGGGAAGAGGGAGTGATTGAAGTTGGCGTTGGAAATGGAGATAGATTGGAATGGATCGCTTGGTGGAAACACCTGAAGACCTGGACGGCCAAGTACCTCTACATCTACCTGAAACTGGGAGTACTGATTACGGACCTTAGCCTCAAACTTTCTTGTTCAGTTTCAGAATTTGGCTCTTCAGTTTGCTATCATCGATATCAAAAACACAAGGTCCCAAGTGGTCGGTTGAACAATATGCAAAGGGAAGAAAAGGAGCATGGACGATGATGTACAGTTACATACATGATCAGCGTAGATTGACATGCGCCTCGAAAGCAAGCCAATAGGAAGGCAGCATGTTAACCGCAATTCATCATCTCTCAAGTCACCAACGGACTCGGAACTTGTTGGAAGGAGAGACAAAGTCCCGTCATCATTTCTAGTAAAAAGTCATTACGCAAGGCGCCTAGACCTCCATATTCTTTTCAAACACTTCTCGATTTCTTGTTCAATCTTCGCTTTCCGCATAGCGTGCGCAACACGACGGATACCCGTAATTATCGGTCTCGCATGCTCTAGCAGGGGTCCCTAACGCGCTGACTTCAGGCCCCGGATCCGCTGTCAGGCTTCACAAGTACCTTTTTGCGCAAAATTCCGTGCTTGGGTACCTCGGCGGGTGCTACAACAAGATTACCTGCGATTGCGCCGACCCAAACAAAGGTCACCTTCATTTCAATCTCCACGCTCCGCCCCCGTCAGACTCTGGCAAGGCCCAGGAAAACAAAAAACTCCGAGGCCCAGGCTTGCCAACCACGACACCATTGCCCTATCTCACCCTTTCTCTTCGTCTCCGACCCGTCATCAGCGATCCCTCACAAGTCCACATGTTGCAAGACCGAACGACAACGACCGCCCGACGACCCAGGCACCACGTCGCCTTGTGAGAGAGCGAACTGAAGCTGCTGCCGAACATCCCGTCAACCAACAATCTCTTCGACCCGATACCCCTGAATCAACAACCAATATTCAAAAATGAACGCCCTTCAAGACAAATGCCGGCCCAAGCACCAGGTCCTAGTCCTCAAGTGCTACCCTCGGACCATTAAGGGCGCCGTCGATGTGAAGCCCAATTCGAGCGAGCTGAGCTACCTCCTGTTCTACTGCCAGTCGCGCCGCGCAAAAATCCAGAAAGTCGGCAGCTTCCTCGAGAAGAAGACTGCCAGTGACGTCTACCGCCAGAGGATAGGGTAAGCATACTTAAGCTTCATATGCGATGCAACAAATCACCGACATCAACCCCTCGTCGCACAACTTTTGAGAAGGATACTAACGAGTGCATGCATACACCAAACAGTAACGTCCAGGTTACCCTTCAGATCCTCGCCGCCCTGATCGAAAAGTCTCCCAAGGACCTCCCCCTGTTCGCATCATGTGTCCTCAGCATCCTCGAACAGGTCCTCAAGTCGAGCGACATCACCATGGTCGAGTCTTCGATCCCGACCTTCCAGGCCTTTTGCGAGCACCATGACCCTACCTCGCTCGCCGCCGACCAGGCCTACTTCCGCCAATACGTCTCTGTCGTCCAGCAGTACGCCTCTCTCGCCTCGACACGTCCCGCGGCTGGAACGGCACAGCATAGTAAGCCTATCGCTCTGCGGTGGAGGAACGCCGGTTTGGAGGCCATTAGGAGTGTCGCCTCCTCCGACGCCCTGTCTTCCATGGTTGCCCGCCAGTACGATATCATCGTCCCCATGATTCTGGAAAACCTGTGGACGGAAAACGAAGACTTCCTCGACACTTTGCTGCAGAGAGCCGAAGGGGAAGACAAGGTCGAGGATGCGCCGCTGCTGCGGAGGAGGACGAGCAATGCCACGGCCCAGGCATCTGAGACGAACGGCGGTGAGCCGGGCCCCAACCCCATCGCTTTCCTGGGCACCGCGGTGGATGTCGACAAGCTGGCGGAAGAAGATATCGGCGTCTTGGCCATGCAGTGCTTGCGACAGGTTTTTGTTGCGCCCAGCCGATCTCAGACGCACAACCCTACCATTGCTCTGCTCAGGTTCATCGAAGAGCGAGTGGACCAGAACGAACAAGTTATCAAGAAGGATGCGCATGGGAAGGACAACGGGTGGGCTGTCAAAGTGTTTCTGATGGCGGCTCGGTGGGCTCCAGTGGCGGACAGATTCACTATTCTCCTCACAGCCATCGAGGTGCTTGCGCAACGACCCCTGACCGACGACAATCTGCGACACCACAACATCCAGGTGGCCATGATCAGTGCTCTATTGCGCTCCGACGTCAACCTAATCGGCTTGAGCGTCATGGACGTCCTTCTCAACCTTCTTGGCCATATGCAGAGGCTCGTTCAGATGCCAGGGGACCCAGATAGTATGAGGGTCGATGAAGAGGTGATTTGCACCAACGAGGGGGCTATAGGACAGCGCAGAGAGTTGCTGTTCAGGCTGCACCTGTGTATTGGCGACTTGGCTACCCACGTCTACTACGCCGACCAGATCTCGGACATGATCCAGACGATTTTGCTTAAGCTACAACCGTCCAAGTCGGCCAGCCCCCCTAACTCCTCGCCAAACGGAGAGAGGTCGGAGAACGGTGCCGCTGAGGACCAACCCCTCGAGTCTCTTTTCGCTCTCACTGTCGCCAAGATCGCGGCGCTTAGAGCCATCAAGGCGATTCTTCTGGTTGCCAACCCCCGCACAAAGATGAGCGGCGGCAACATCAACCTCTCCAGAAACCGCGTTCCCATCCAGACTTGGGATGGTACTCAATGGCTTCTGCGGGATCCTGATGGCCTCGTGCGCAAAGCATATGTGGATGCTGTCGTGACATGGTTGGATCGGGAAACCACACCGGCTGATTCTTTGGCAAGGGATGAATCTGCCAAGGCAACGTTGAAGAACCGGGCTGTCCAGGAGGCCAATCTTGCTCGCCGGGTGGTCTCGAGCGCATCTGCTCGCGTGGACAGGTCTGCAAAGGTGCCGCGCTCGCATTTCTTGCAGCTCCTTCACCTTGCCATCTACGACCACGCTTTGCAGTTTGTTGACTACGAGAATGACCTGGTGCTGCTCCACGTGCTTTTGGCCAAGCTCGTGAGTCAGCTTGGTGTCAATGCTGCCAAGTTTGGTATTCCCATGGTTTTCAGACTCCAAGAGGATATCCAAGAGGTTGAGACGCCCCTTGGCAAGGTCCGCATTGGCAGTTTGGTACATGGCTACCTCTGGACATTGACCGAGAAGTTCGATTGCGAAGGAACCGCTCCGGGGAGGGCGATCCATGGCGAGATCATCAGGCGCCGTAGCAAGAACTTTTGGGTCGAGGGTATCAACATTCCCGCTCCTACCCTTGATCTGGTGGGCACACCAGGTCAGGCACGCCCACCACCAAAGATGAACATCCAGGATCTCGAGTCCGAGGCCCTTTTGCCGTTCGATGAGCGCGCAATCCTGGTGGACTGCATCTGCACAGGCTATCAGGAACTGGCAACCTCCCCTCCTACAAGCCCGACCGCTAGTCCCAGTCGGAACTTCACCCACCCCATCCTCGGATCGACCTTGAGCACGATCCCTAAGGCCGAGACCCAGCGGGAACTCCCACCACAGTTCCGCGAGCTGATGCTCGGCGACTGGACACGCGAAGCAGTCCTCGCCAACGCGCAAGCAGGCAGCAGCAAGACTGCTTCGCTCAACGGCTCGCGATCCGGCACAACCGGTACTCACCGGAACACCGTCAACAACAACAACAACAACAACAACAACAACAACAACAACCGCCTGGGAGTCAACGGCGTGACCTCACCATACGCCAGCAACTCCAACCTCCGCCCTTCGTCTTCCCCAGCAGGCGCCAACGGCGTCCAAGTAGGCCGGACGCGCAAGACCAGCATCCGCAGCAACGCCGGCGGCTCACCCGCCCACTCCACGTACAGGGCCAAGGTCCAACAACCGGTCACGTCCGTGGAGCAGCTGAAGGCCGTCCTGTCCGGCCACCTCCAGCCCCCGCCGACCTCGCACGGCATCGGATTCCAGCACTCTGATGATAGCGACGATAGCCTCGTCAGCTATGACGCGCCCAGCGAGCTGTCCTTCAACCCAGCCGCTGCCGGTGGCGGGCAGGGCTCCCCTGACAATACCAGCCAGGTTGCTTCTAGCCCGCCACGCCGCACATCCCAGGATCGCAATCAGCAGCTGAAGTTTGGAGGGCCTCTGGTACCAGGGGACAATGCCGTAAACGGTGAAGAGAAACCTGCTACCACCGCCGGTGACGACGTCGTCCCCAACGGCGCCGCCGCTAACCTCGGAGTCCCCGTCTCGCGAACTACTTCCCGAACTCAACACCAGGCTGCTGCGCACACCCTTCCCCGGCCACCCACTTCCTCCAAGAGAAGCATCAAGAGCCGGGCGGGCTCTCGCGCGGGACCCATGTCCTCGTCGTGGCTGGGGGAGAAGCCACCCGCTATGGACCTGGCGGCGCTGTTGAAGGGGATTGATAGTGCGGTGGGGAAGCCACCTTACTAAATGGTGGACTTTCTCATGATGTTATTAGGGAAGAAAATTCTTATTGGGGGAACGTGGTGTTTTTTTTTTCGAGAGAGATTATTTATAGACTAACTTTTACTTTCACACTTATCTAAATTTGATAATGGGGTTTGAATTCTGGAGCTGGAGTAGGAGCAGGAGCAGGAAGAGGAGATGGAAGGAGGTATCGTTAGTGGGATGAGTTACTAGCGTTGCAAAAGGAATCTTTCATGTCTTAGGGGCGCGCGCGCGTGGATGGGATGTATTTGTATACTCTACCTTACTTTTTTCATGTTCTTTTCGTTCAGTTGCCACGTTACCTTATCTTTCTTTTTTTTTTCTTTCACAGACTTCACTTTGCTCATGACATTGAGCTAGCTGTCTTTTTCCTTTGTGTGCTAAAACCAAAAGTAACTTTATGTACCAACCACGCTAAGCTACATTATTTCCTTTTTGTTGTTTCTGTTTTTGGGGAGATAGATAAATGAATCAAAACTAAGAGATATGAAAATGGGGGCGACTTCAAGCAAGGTATCTCAGGTGAAAATGACGAACCGAATCAGTGTTTTTACAATGTTCCATACTTTTATATATACCAGAATACCATGTACAGCTAAGCAATAATAATACCTTTATAATACAATTCAGAAACCACCATCTCAATCAACAGACCGACCTATCCATACAAACCCACCAAAACCTCACAACCAGAACTATACTATAGCTTTGCCTTGTTCGCACTCACATCCGTCGCCCCCTGACCAGCACACAACAACACCGCGCTACCCAGCTGCCTCCTCAAATCCACCTTTTCAACATCATGCGTATCCTCGACCTCTCCCCACTGCGTCGTCTGCCAATCCACCTCCAAACTGACCGTCCTCGCCGCCTCTTCGACTCCCCACCTCTTTTTGTTCTGGGTGGTCATCTCCTCCTCTTCCGGAGTCTGCACAACAGCATTCCCCCCATCCCCACTCCACTCCACCACCAATCTCGCAGCGACCAACAAACTCTTGCCCGCCAGCGTCGCCCTCTCCAGCGCCGCCAGCTCCCACGCGGATAAGCCCAACATCCACCCCTGCACCACCTCGCGCGTGCCCGGTTCCTGCTGGCGGGGCATGATGCTCGATTCGTCGAGGACGGGGACGATGGTCACGCCTGGCCAGACGCGGGTCGTCAAAAAGGAGACGACGGAGGAGTAGGCTTCCTCTTGTACTTCGCGCAGCGTATACCCGGCGTCGTTCCGCCCGTCTTCGGGGTGCGTGGGGGCCGGTGCCCAGCAGAGGAGGGAGTCGGTGTCGAGGTAGCGGAGGAGGACTTTTGTGATGGCGTTGCGGATGTCGGTCTTGCCTAGGGCGTCCTCGTCGGCAATGTCCAAAGCTCGGCAGACCAGCGAAGTCAAAGGGATGAGATGTTGCTTGGTCGCTTGCTGCGCAGACACGAGCTGGTCCCATTCGATTGCCAGCGCGGAAGCGAGGGAGGGTTTGGTTAAAGGCAAGCTGATGATGGATTTAGTGTCGGGGCGGCGGAGCGGGCGCGAGTCGAGGTGGATTTCGTTCATGTCGTTCTTGGTTACCACGTTGACAGATTTCCAGAAACGCCGCTTGAGGCCGATGCCACCGGGGGCGGAGGAGGAGCCGGCGGTTGGGGGCAAGGTGGCGGCGCGCAGCATGGCGGCTTGCCGCTTGCGGCGGGAGATGCGGGACCAAGGGTCGGCGGCGGTGCCTTCTTTGATTTCGGGGATGGCGCCGCTGTTGCGGGTGGGAGGGTCGGAAGGGGTGCTGGAGGCAAACTCGGCGGCGGGCTTGGGAGGCTCGGGAGGGGGACCGGTTCCATAGACGGGGACGACTTTGGCTTGCTCGGGTGGGCTGGAGTGGATGGCGCGGGCGGTGCGGTAGGCTAGGACAGAAGTTCGGGAGGGGAGGATGGCGGCGCGCTGGCGGAGGAGAGGTGCGGCCAGGCGCATCCGCATCGCGGCGGCGGCGGCGGGCGTCATGGTGTTTAGGTGTTTCGGTCTGCTTATTTCGAGCTACTTGCGGGAGAAGAGGGTGAATAAAGCTTTGGTCGAGGAAAAGAAACCTAGCCGCTCGTCTGGGAATCGGGCAGGGGTTGTTGAGCGGTGGTTGTTGCTGTGGCCGGAGCTTGCCGTTGTCGGTGGATGCTGCTGGCGGAAGAAGATGGTCGAAAATAATAATTTGGAGCTCCCGATCGCCAAGACTTTGGCGCAGGTCACCACGGCCGAGTCCCCGCTCCGTCCCGCACGTTTGTACTGTGTAAGCGCGGCCCACCCCACTTTCCCTGCGCCGGCCCCCCACCGGAGCGGTGCACGGTGCAATGGTGGGGTCAGCCGTCCCGGTGGGCTTCAATGACATCACTGAGCTTATCGTCGTTATCAGTTATCGCCGTTCACAGTTCACAGCCTCAACCTATTCAGAGTTTGAACGACAGTGTGTATGGCGAAGATAATGTATTGAGGCTGTTCATCTTCTTTAGATTCCCATCCGCCAATTACCAACCAGCCTGTCCCTTCATCTTTTACACTTGTCCGTCGATTGCCCGGCAACCTACCACCAACGCCGGGCCGGGTTCAGAACCTGCCTCTTTCATCCTTTCTTCCAATACATCCGAATGGGACTAACTTTTCAACAAGCCAGACTCACAGGCCAAGCCTACCCGTTCGATTCCCGACAACGGCACTTTTTGAAAGGGGGTGCCCGACTGCGGTCGGGCTGTCGATAGCCCCCTTCCCTTTCTCACCCTCCCTTCACCGCGGGTCCTTGGGGTGCCGCGAGACCATTGTTCCATTATCAATTTTTTTTTTTTTTTGCGACGAATACCTTGGGTAATGATACGTATGGCTCTGGGCTTCATGGCGAGCAACTTTCCGACCATGCTCGACCTCTGTTTCGAGCTTTTCAGAACTACGCTTGCAAAGGTGTGACCGGACATTCTTCTGTAGAGCAGGGGCCGGGAGATTTGGGAGCAGGAGCGCTGAAGGAGCCAATGTTTGTCCTGCTAACAGTGGCGAGGGCGATAAACGTTCCAAGTGGTTACTCTCCGATCGTGGGGGTGAATTGGTGAGGGGGGCCAGCAGCGATGATGATTGCTTCATGATCGGACTGTGAGGGTCCTCATCGTTAAACCATGACGGCGGCGGACTGAGCGGTGACATAGGCGGCGAGCCTGGTGACACTTCTGAACAATGTTGCCAACCAACGGAAGCATGTAAGTGACGGTTAACTGTGGTTATTAACTCGGCAATCAAATGTAAGCTTACAATTCAAAGGGAGTGGTTGCACAGCGTTTGGTGATGGACGGCAATGGTCCACCACGATACTAGCACAACCGCGTAACAAAAGTTCCATAGACTAAACATTTGAGGCGGCCGTCAATCAGGATAATCGGCACGCCGAGGGTTGACATCTTGAGAGGAAGCTCAAACAACACGGAGGCTTTGTTATTTCAAATCGACATGTCGGCGTGTGTTGTGACAAATAAATCCGGTATTCCGGTTGATGCAGAGGAAAGTTGAGATGAACGGCACTCGGACACTTTCTCAAACAACGAACTGCTTATGTGTGGGTCATTGTCCCTAACAGCTCCGCATAATGGATGCCGTGCGGGGTAGTTAGCGATGCGGTTACTCTCGGTCCCTCGGTTTACCCTTTTCCAGTCAACGAAAACAGACATGGCAAAAACTAATAGACAGAGTATAGTGAGGGCATCGTGAGATGGAATTATTGCTGTCGTTGGTACCAGAAGTGGTGTACCTAGTGTACATGGACAAAATAGGAAGAGTGGGGCTGCTTTCCCCAGACCGTTGAAACTCATAGCCGAGGACTTGAGGAAACTGACGTGGGGAAGTGGGGATACGGTACCTAGAAGCGGAAAGTTCTCTGCATCAGTCAATCGTGGACCATTGCGGCCAAGACTCGGGGAGATGGCGGAAAGGATTCGGCGGTGACGGGACTGGCGGAGGTGGAGGGCGACTGGACTGGATGGGGAATGGGCGCGGAGAAAGAGCGCGAAGGGTTCCCTTTTCCGTTCTTTTTCCCTTTCTCTTTTCTATTACCAATCTCCCTCTTCCCCCCTCTCTTCTCGCATTCCCAGGCCACCCTCGACAAACAGCCGCAAGACTGAACTTCCGTCCCTTTCCTCCGCCATACTCTACTCACCAACACTTCAAAATGGTCTTCTATCCTCCTCCTTGGGTCCCCAAGCTCCCCTTCGGTACGTTCCAGCCCAGCCATTCATCACCTCTATAGACGTGCCTCAACTAACGACAACCAGACCCTCCCGACTCAGTCACCATTGGCGAGTTTATGAAGAATGAAGTCTACGGCCGCCGCCCCATCGACAAGAGCAAGAACCCTTGGACATGCGGCCTTACCGGCAAGACATATACCGCGAAGCAGACCTTTGAGAGGACAGAGCTCCTTGCAAAGGCCCTCCACAAGATAATGGGATGGGAGCCCAACGCCGACTTGCCCTGGGATAAGGTCATCTGCGTCTTTTCCTTCAACACCATCGACTACGTTTCCGTCCTCCACTCGGTCCATCGCTTGTCTGGCATCGCAACTCCTGCCAACGTCGCATACAACGCTAGTGAACTCGAGCACCAACTTCGCTCTTCTGGCGCAAAGTGCCTGTTCACATGTCTGCCCGTCCTAGAGACCGCCCTCAAGGCCGCCAAGGCCGTGGGCATCCCTGAAGACAACATCTTCCTCATGGATCTGCCTCACCATTCCCCTAAGAAGCTTCCCTACAAGACCGTCGACGACCTCGTTGAGCTCGGCCGCTCCGTACCCGACCTCGAGCCGCTCCAATGGACCAAGGGTCAAGGCGCGCGCCAAGTCGCCTTCCTCTGCTACTCGAGCGGCACCTCTGGTCTTCCCAAGGCCGTCATGGTTTCCCACAAGAACGTGATTGCCAACACGATGCAAATCTGCCTATTTGAAGATTACGGTCGCAAGAAGAAGGGTGTCGAGACACAAGTCGAGCTCGGATTGCTACCCTTTAGCCATATCTACGGCCTTGTCGTGGTCGCTCACTGTGCCCCATGGCGCGGCGACGAGATCATCGTTCTACCCAAGTTCGAGTTTAACGATTTCCTTCAGGCCATTGAAAGATTCAAGATCAACTACCTCCCTCTGGTACCCCCCATCATCGTTCGTATGTTGAGTAACAGGGATACTGTCAAGAAGTTCGACTTGAGCAGTGTCCGCCATGTCTTTACGGGTGCCGCCCCTCTTGGAAAGGAGACACAGGACGAATTGCGCAAGCTGCTCCCCAAGTGGAATGTTGGCCAAGGTTATGGCTTGACGGAAACGTCAACTGTCATTTGCGCAACAAGTGAGCATGATATTGTGCAGGGCACATCAGGCTCTCTGGTCCCTGGAGCTAAGGCCAAGGTCATCGACCAGGATGGAAGGGAGATTACAGAGTACGGAAAGCCTGGTGAACTTCTCGTCCAGTCGCCATCGGTTACTCTTGGATATCTGAACAACGAGCGTGCCACCAGCGAAACTTATGTCTTTGACCAAGATGGAAGGTGGATGCGAACGGGAGACGAGGTCATTGTGACCAAGTCGCCGGCGGGATACGAACATATCACTATCGTTGACCGTCTGAAGGAGCTGATCAAGGTCAAGGTACGTACAGTAGATTCCACCACACTCCCAAAGTGTTTTGTCCCAAGTACTGACATATGATACTTTCAGGGACACCAAGTTGCGCCCGCCGAGCTAGAATCCCATCTCCTCTCCCACCCCGCTGTAGACGACTGCGCTGTCATTGCTGTGCACGACGATCGCGACGGAGAAGTGCCAAAGGCTTTTGTTGTGACACCCGCTTCCATGTCGTCCCGCCCTGACGCGGAGATCGCGGCTGAGATCATGAAGCATGTGCAGGAGCACAAGGCCCACTACAAGTGGCTCAAGGGAGGTGTCGAGTTCATCGATGCTATTCCAAAGAGCCCAAGTGGAAAGATCTTGAGGCGCTTGTTGAGGGATAAGGATAGGGAGGCTAGACGGGCTCAGGGTGCTAAGCTCTGAGCGAGGAAGCAGTTGGTTAAAATATTTAAATGAAAGCGTTTTTGGGGGGGTCATGTCATGGGATACCTTTGAGATGCTTGATATAGGGAAGCAAATGCGTCTAATAAGATATCCAAGCAGTTGGCATTGTGATGATGCCATCAAAAACCAGAGTTGTGGACAAAATGGCTAATCTTCTTCATCTGTTACAAATCCATTTGCATCCAGGCTTACCGGATATCCGCATCTCTGCAAGATATTTGGCCTTGATTGAGTGATGGGATTTCAGAAACTGGTTACTATTAATAACATTTAGATACGAGTTTTGTGTAGGTCGAGGTGTTCGGATGGAGTTGGCACTGCCAATGCGCGCTCAGACTGCCAAAAGTCATGTCGTCATAGGCTGCGCTATCCCGCAACAACAACAGGATCCTACAAAATAATAACCATGATTTTCATATCACAGTAAACCATCCCTATAAAACATATCTCGTCCATCGATCAGTCTCTTCTAGATTTCTTGGCTGCATCCCCTTTTCGGAACACGGCATCAAACACATCTACACCAACTTAACCACCTCCCTAGGACCCACATTTCACTTACACGCATACATAATGTCACTAAGCCGCCACGTAAGTTTGAGCTTCAAGAACTCAAATTCATCTCGAATTGTTAACTTAGACAAACTCTACAGGTTGACCCCGAGGAGATCGTTCATCACCTCAAGGACATAAAGCTTCAAGAAAAGGGCAGTAGTAGCCAGAGGCAGAATCACCTTACACCCTACACCAGCTCCTACGCCAGCCAAGAAGATATCCCCAAGTACAAGATTCCCGAGAATGGCACTCCCGGAGACACCGTCTACGCCATGCTCAGGGACGAGCTAGACCTCGACGGCCGGCCAAATCTCAACATGGCCAGCTTCGTCAACACCTACATTGAAGAAAACGCCCAGAAGCTCTTCGTCGAGAACCTCGGCAAGAACATGTCCGACATGGACGAGTATCCCGCCATGATCTCCTTCAGCGAGCGCTGCGTCAGCATCCTCGCCCATCTCTGGGGCGTCCAAAAGGGCGAAAAAGCCATCGGCACCGCCACCGTCGGCTCCTCAGAAGCCGTCCACCTCGGCGGCTTAGCCATGAAGCGTCGATGGCAGGAGAAGCGCTGGGCCGAGGGCAAAGACGCCTACAAGCCCAACATCATCATGGGCGCCAACGCCCAAGTCGCTCTCGAGAAGTTCGCCCGCTACTTCGACGTCGAGGCCCGCATCCTGCCCGTCTCGGCCAAGAGCAACTACTGTCTGGACCCAGACCTGGTAAAGGAGAACCTGGACGAGAACACCATCGGCGTGTTCATCATCCTAGGCAGCACCTACACAGGCCACTACGAGCCCGTCGAAGAGATCCACAAGATCCTCAACGACTTTGAATCGCAAACGGGCATCGACATCCCCATCCACGTCGACGCCGCCTCAGGCGGCTTCGTCGCGCCCTTTACCTACGCGAAGACAGGCGGACAAAAATGGAACTTTGAGCTTCCCCGCGTCAAGTCCATCAACGTCTCAGGCCATAAGTACGGGCTGGTCACCCCCGGTGTGGGATGGATTGTGTGGAGGGACGAGTCCTTCTTGCCCAAGCATTTGGTTTTCGAGCTGCACTATTTGGGGGGAACCGAGTACAGCTACACGCTCAACTTCTCACGTCCCGGCGCGCAGGTGATTGTGCAGTACTACAACCTCATCCACCTAGGGTTTCAGGGGTATCGCGATGTGGTGGAGAATTGCCTCTCCAACGCCCGGTTGCTGTCCAAAGCACTGGAGGCGACGGGGTGGTATACCTGCGTTAGCGACATCCATCGGCCGCCGGCGCAGAAGCAGAAGGCTTCTTTAACTGCTGGGTCTAGCGGTGACGAAGGAAAGAACGAGCAGAGCTTCGAGAGCCAAAATGACGACCAGAAGGCCGGAAGTGAAGAGTCCAAGACCCATGCCTCTTCTTCTTCCTCGTCAAAAGACGTCCCAAAGGACAAAGACCGTGAAGAAACCTCGGCCGACTACACCCCCGGCCTCCCCGTCGTCTCGTTCCGCTTCACTGACGAGTTCCAGAAGGAGTACCCGCACGTCAAACAAGAAACCGTCTCTCTCCTGATGCGCGCCCGGCAGTGGATCATTCCCAACTACGCTTTGCCGCCCAACGAGGACCAAACCGAAATCCTGAGGGTAGTGGTTCGCGAGTCGTTTTCGTTTGATCTGATTGATAGGCTGGTGACGGACTTGGTGTCGGTTACGGAGACGTTGATGGAGAATGATGAGGTTGATTTGAGCGTGTTGCAGGGGCATCAGGGTGGACGGAGGAGGCCGGTTACGAAGGACGATAAAAAGAGGCAGAAGGAGGAGAGGGAGAAGGAGGAGAGGAAGGGGGATGAGAAGGGGGAGGCAAAGGGGAAGAGGGAGGAGAAGAAGAAGGAGAAGAAGGAGGAAAAGAAGAGGATGGGAGAGGGGATTCATAGGAGTGTTTGTTAAGCTGGGTCTGAGGTAGGCAAGATAAGGACGACATACACTGTCGTAATGGTGGACTGTAATGGGTAAGTAGTTTTGAGATCGAACAGAAATGTTAATAGTAGGTAGTCAGGCCTGATTCAATGATGTTCAAATAAGTCCCAACAACAACCAAAAAAAAAATTACCGACGACCGATTCGAACGCACCACCTCTCCAGACCTAAACAAAAAGAGAGCAAAAAACAACAACAACCGCTCGTTCAGAGCAATGGTGAACCGTTTGAATCCATTTGATTTCTTCTATCGACTGGAGTGTTCCCAGATACCATATAGGTAGACCGGCTACTAGGTAGTGTAAGACCCCTTTACGTGTCTTAGCACACACCGTTCCCGATCCGGACAGGTAATAGATTTTTTTTTTTTTTTTTTTTTGGAGTTTTGAGGACTCAAACGGTAGACCACTGTGCCATCTGACCAAGCGGTTGTTGTTGGAAGGAGGTACCAACCAGGTGCCTTATATGGTTGGGTTTGAGATCAGATGAAGGAGTGATACGGAAGGTACGGCAGGTGCGGCTGGCAGCTGGCCCCGGGACTCGGAGTTCGTATCACGGGCTGGGTACTGTATACAATGACCAGGTCCGAGAAACTACCAAAAGATAGACGATGTTCTGCTTGTAAAGGAAGAACTTGATGTGCACACTATTGACCAATGTAAACCTGTGACAGTTCAAATAGTTCAACTGAAGCAGCTACCGGACAGCCATCTGACGAAACGGTTGTCGTTGGAAAGGGAAGAGGGACCAGCCAGGCCTATGTGGCCATTAGAAGGTATCATATCGAAGGAAGGAGTAGCATGACAGGCGCTGCAGGCATGGAAGGTACGGTCCGGCAGCTGGCCCCGGGGCTCGAAGCTCGAATAGTTCAGTTGAGGAAGTGGCGATGAACTGTACCTACTTGACATACTTGATCGCCTTTTACCGTCCTTCATCATCGTCATGGTCGCATTCCCAGCCTGAGCATGTTTACTACCTTCTCTCATCCCGACCTAACCGAACCCTCAATCACCTAGAGACCTCAGAACCTCACAATGTCACTTCTCAGACCAGATCGACCCCCAGAACGTCCCAAATCACCCCTTATCCTGGCTCGAGAAGCAGCCGAGGGCAAGTCAAGAGTAATGAGCATCGACGCCGAAGCCGCCCGCACCCGCCTCGTCTTCGACAGCATGGGCTTCGACTTCAAGCTCTAGTACGGCAACGACGGCAAGGTCCGACTCAACATCACCAGACAGCAAGGAACTTCGCCCGACAGGCGCCTCAACGTACCCGTACCACTACCACCAGGAACCAGAACTCCCGAGTCCTCCATTTCCGGGATATCCACCCCTACCGACGCCCCCTCTCCCCGATCAGCCACGCCGACGCCCACACAATTGCAACCGCAACCGCAGCCGCAACCGCAGCCGCAGCCTTTCCTCTCCTCAGGACAAGGCACAAGACTAAACATCGTCATGCTCGCCGTAGGCTTCGCCGACGACGTCCGCCACTTCACCGCCGTGGCCGTCTGGCTGCGCGACAAATTCGGCCATCGCATCAGGGTGGCCACGCACCCGGACTACCAGGCGCAGGTGGAAGGATGCAAGCTGGAATACTTCAGCTTGGGCGGCCGGTGCAAGCATGGAGGACACGGAGGAGGTTGTGATGCTTTTGGCGCACAGGAATGGATCAAGTCCCGCGGGCCGGCCGAGAGGGAAAGGTGGAAGGAGTCGGTGTATGCGATGCTGGAGGATTCCTGGAGGGCGTGCGTTGCGCCGTTTACCAGTGATGGGAAACCGTTCATTGCGGATGCGGTTGTGGCTTGCCACAAGGAGTTTGCGCATTTGCATTGTGCGGAGAAGTTGGGTGTTCCTGTTCATGTGCTGTCGCGGTAAGTTATGAGGATTGAAACTGATGGGGGTTGTTGCTGACGTGTTCCAACATAAAGATGGCCGTGGAGCCCAACCCGCAGTTTTCCTCATCCTCTCGTATGTGTCAAGATCTGTGAAGCCAAACGGAGCTTGGCCAACCTCTTCACGTACAGTATCATGGAGATCATGCTTTGGTGCGAAATAGGTGAGACAATCAACAAGTTCAGGACAGAGGTCCTGGAGCTTGATCCGGTAGACTTCCTAACCGCAGTCGGAATGCGACACCGGTTGAAAATACCCACTACTTACTTTAGGTCTCGCACCCTGAGAGAGAAGTCGGAGGACTGGGAGAGTCACATTTACTCCTTTAGTTCGTTCGAGGAGACAGCGGTTTCCATCCACTGGCGACTGCTTGAAGACTGTCAGCCCTGTTCTCTTGTCAGCGGGGAGCTTGCATCCTTGATGGCAAAGACGAAGTATACTCCGGTTCCTCTGTCGCCCATCAGCGCAGTGGCCGTTGTCCTTGGAGGAGCCTCGGAGATTGAGGAGCTGCAACTGTAGGTTTCCTCTGAATATCTTGCACCTTGCCGCCAGTAACCAGCTTCCCTACCTAGGTATCATTCCAGAAGATAGAGACTTTCGAAACCTCGGCCAGACCTCAATCCTGATACAGTCTCGGGGGTTCAGAGGAACATTGTTCTGGGCCATCTAAGCCAGATTTCGCCCATCGTCATCACTGAAATTCTGGCCAAGGACTTCTCCCGAATTCATGGGCATCCTTACGGCAACAGCTCGGGAGACATCATTGGCTGGCAAAGCGGGATACTTGCTGCAGGACGAGTAAGCTACGCATTCTTATCCGAGCGATTTTGGCAGTAGAGGCACTCACCACTTCACTAGAAACTCAGCCAAAACCTCTGGGTGGGTCTCTCCGGTGTTTTCACCAGACCCATCGCAGGCGCGCGCGAGGAGGGAACTGTTGGGTTTCTCAAAGGGTTTGGTCAGGGCCTCGGCGAGCTGGTGATGAAGCCAACGACAGGCGCCCTCGAAGCCCCTGGATTCATCTTTCTTGGTTTTTACCGAGAGCTGGAGAAGCTAGGAAAGGCAGATATCGAGGCTCAGATTGTCATGGGCCGCCTGGCGCAAGGCGAGGAAGAATATGTGAAACTGCGAAAGAGTGAGAGACAACGGATCGTGACGGCCTGGCGCGTGTGTGAAGCCATGGCGAAGGGGGCGGCGAAAGATGCGGCAAAGCGTTGAGCTGGCCTTTTCGGGGATATAACCTAGATAATATCATCATCTTTCGATTGTTGTTGGTTTCCCAACTTGCCATGTGCAATTCTCGTGAAACATCATGATCTTGCCCGTCTCGACCATGGGATGGCACCGATGACCGCCCGGACCGGGGGAATCCCAACTTCCCATCAACCGAATGGCAAACTCCAAACTCCCGAGGGCCATGTAACTTTGCTATCACGTACACCTCCTTGCCGAGCCTACCCATCGTGCTTACAAGTGTAGATTGTTATCACACACAAAAAGCGCCGAGACTAACAGCCGGCTCCGTCTTCGGGGCTCCGCCCTCGCCCAGGCCCGCCACGGAACTGGAACCACACTGGAGCCGCTGGAGCCGTTGGAGACGTTGGAGCTCACGGGGGCGGAGATGGGAATGGAGTCAAGTATGGATTGCCCGTGCATCACTGCGGAGATGGGCCACCGCTTGGGGTAAAGCCTGGGGGAATCTGGGTGGACTCGGTGGAATTTTCCCCTCTTCAACGGTGCTGATTGCAGGCAACGCCCCTCGAGATACTGGAGACAGAGCCGCGACGGAGTCTGAGGAGCTCTCCCCACGCATATTTGGCATGTTCCGTCGCCCGCGGCCGCAGGCGGGGGACAGGCGGGCGGGCGGGCGCAGGCTGTCAAACCTGTCAATACGAGTCATGTTCCTGGCTTTCCGTTGCTTGAGAAGCCCTGTGGACGCGTGGGCAGTGTGGGCAGAAAGGGGAACAACCTTGGGGGAATGGGGTGCTTGCTTGGCTGCACAAACGTCATATGGAGAAAAGAAAGGCAAGAAAAGGAGGGGCCCCGTGTTTTGGGGTGGAGGACATTGTGGTTCCTGGGGGGAAAGCAAAAGCATGTGAGGAGAAAGGGGGTTTTGTGGTCTGTGATGTTCCTCCGTTTGTTGTCTTCATGAAAAAGAGAAGAACAAAACAAAAACACCATGAGAACCTCAATGGATACCCACACTACATATCAACGCCGAAAAAAGTCCAACGAGGCTTGTGATGAGGCTCAATCGCCCTTTTAGCCGTCCTCGGCCGTCCTGCCCGTCTTACATAAGACGGTGAAAGGGGAAACGTCGCTGTCGTATTGAGATGCCTCTCTGGGTTAGTAGCATCTTCTTTCCTCTTGCAAGACCGATCACAAGATGTAACACAAGATGTAACACTGGCCAGCGCCGACACCTCTCCAGCCAGTCACCAGCCAGCGCCCGACCGAATGTGGGGAGAACAGGTTCGGCAGACCGCGGTAAACCACGCTGGTCGACCAATTCAAGCTCTTCCGTCTGAGCGACGGCGGCCACGGTCGAACCGAGTTGGAGTGCTAGTCAACCCCGCGCCAAGTGTCCCCAACAGGCCGAGAAGGTACACGCTTAAGCCGAGCGAGAGTGAACAGAAACATAAAAAGTCTCTTGGCTTCGACACTCTTGTTTGTCCGGGCCACCTCACTCCCTTTCTTTTCCCCTTCTCCTCCATCAGCTTCGTCCTTACCTCTTCTTAAAACACCATAATGTCTGCTGTCAACCGCGGTTTGCGCCAGGCGTCCAAGCAAGTGCGCCTATCCCAGCGTGTGAGCAACCTTAGCTGCACCAGATCCGCCGGTCTCCAGTCTGCCTTCAGACTCCAGAACTCTTCCTCCACTTCCACTTCTGCTCTCCCCAACACCCGCACCAGCAGCTTCTCTACCATGGCTTCCCTCCAGTCTGGCGTTACCCCCTCGCCCACCGCCCACAAGGGCTATGACCCCGAGATCACCGACATTGCCGACTATGTCCTCAACAAGAACATTGACTCGGAGCTTGCTGTAAGTTTCTCTTCCGTCCCTTCCGGTCAATTCGTCTCAAAAAGCCCTCAATCGCAAAGGAGTTATGAGATGAACCGGTTATAAACATCGGACGAAAACCTACTCGTCAGCATGCTAACCACCAATGTCTACAGTTCGACACTGCCAGATGGGTCTTCCTTGACACCCTTGGCTGCGGTCTTGAGGGCCTCCGCTTCAAGGAGTGCACCAAGCTCCTCGGTCCTACCGTCCCCGGCACCGTGGTGCCCAACGGCCCCAAGGTCCCCGGTACCCCCTACCAGCTCGACCCCATCAATGCCGCCTTCAACATTGGCGCCATGATCCGCTGGCTCGACTACAACGACTGCTGGCTCGCTGCCGAGTGGGGCCACCCCTCTGACAACCTTGGCGCCATCCTCGCCGTCGCCGACTGGATCACCCGTACCAACAAGGCCGGCGGCAACCTCGCCAACGGCAAGCAGTTCACCGTCCGCGATGTCCTCGAGGGCATGATCAAGGCCCACGAGATCCAGGGCTGCCTCGCTCTCCTCAACTCGTACAACAAGGTCGGTCTCGACCACGTCGTCCTCGTCAAGGTCGCCTCCACCGCCGTCGTCTCCAAGATGCTCGGCCTCAACGAGAAGCAGACCGCCGACGCCATCACCCAGGCCTGGGTTGACGGCCAGTCCCTCCGCACCTACCGCCACTCCCCCAACACCATGTCCCGCAAGTCGTGGGCTGCCGGTGACGCTTGCCAACGCGCCGTCAACCTGGCCCTCAAGGTCCTCAAGGGCGAGCCTGGTGTCCCCACCGTCCTCTCCGCTCCCGTCTGGGGCTTCTACGACGTCCTCTTCAAGGGCAAGAAGTTCGAGTTCCAGCGCCCCTACGGCAGCTACGTCATGGAGAACGTTCTCTTCAAGGTCTCGTACCCCGCCGAGTTCCACTCCCAGACCGCCGTCGAGGCCTCGGAGAAGATCCACGCCCAGCTCAAGGCCATGGGCAAGTCCGCCGCCGACATCAAGGAGGTCACCATCCGCACGCACGAGGCCTGCATCCGCATCATCGACAAGCAGTTCAAGCCCATGGACAACTTTGCCGACCGCGACCACTGCATCCAGTACATGTGCTCTGTGATGCTCACCTTCGGCCGTCTTACCGCCGGCGACTACACGGACGGTTCCGAGGCCGCCACCTCGGAGCTCGTCGAGTCCCTCCGCAAGAAGATCAAGTGCGTTGAGGACCCCCAGTTCACCGCCGACTACCACGACCCCGCCCTCCGCACCATCTCCAACGGTCTTACCGTCGAGCTCAACGACGGCACCTTCCTTGACGAGGTCGTCGTCGAGGCTCCCCTCGGCCACCGCCTCCGTCGCGAGGAGGCCAAGCCCCACATCCTGGCCAAGTACAAGCGTCACTTGGAGCCCCACTTCAGCGCCGACAAGGTTGAGAAGCTCGTTGCTCTCGGCCAGAACCCCAAGGAGCTGGAGGCCATGTCGGTTGATGAGTATGTTGACCTTTACGTTAACGAGAAGAGCGAGTTTGTTCAGTAAATGGTTGGGACATTTTGAAGAAAGGAAAAGATGGGAGGTGGTGCATTATATAGAAGCGATCTTTGGTGTGCTTAGAATGGCGTGAAATGAATATACCATTTTTCTTTTTTTTGGTTCATACACTTTGGATTGTTCTTCATGTTGGCTGGTGATTCTGAGGAAGAGATTGTGGACTGTATAGTGTATCCTCCGTGGGAACTCACTTGACACTCGAAAGATGACCATTGTTACTGGTACTGTTATGGTTATCTACTAGAGGCTATCATCCATACTACCGTACCTAATGACCATATAAGAGGCCTGGTTGGTCTCTCTTCCCTTTCCAACATCAACCGTTTGGTCAGATGGCACAGCGATCTATCGTTTGATCCCTTAAAACCTCACTCAATGTTCGGAAGACAGACATTGTTACTGGGACTGATATGGTCATCGCCTACAAATAGCAAATGCCTATACTAGAAAACACCTTGAGAATAACTACCCCCCAACCATTTACAACAACCAAAAATACGCAATGAACCAACTCCCAAAATCTGCGGACCTGGACTAAGAAAAAAAAAAAAAAGACGACTACGCCCTTCATATGACCTGCAAGACCCCGCGCACAATTCGCAGTAAGTATACCTCTAAGATGCCTGCCTCAACAGTGTAAAGAAACCCCAATAAAAGGGGATAGATAGATATTGATGTAGTTCTTCCCCCTCATTTAAACGACGTTCCTGCCCAACGATTCCTAACCGTCAAACTCGACGCCCACAACTTTACTCGTCACACCTCCACCATTACCACTCGCTTCACCACCGCCGCTGCTGCCTTGTTGTAGCTGAGCCTCAGCAGTAGGATCACTAGCCTCCGCATCCGCCCCCGTCAACAAATCTCTATCCGAACTCCTCACCCCACCCCTTCTATCCTCCAACGCTGACCCTCCCGCGCCACCAGAACCATTCCCGTTACCACCCAGCGACAGACCCTCAACAGGCCCACCATCATCCTCATCATCATCTTCATCATCGCCGCCGCCGCGATTCGCGCCGCCCGGCCTCTGCTGCCCCGGCAGCGCATTCTTCTCCAACTCCCTCTGCGCATCCTCCATCCTCCTCCTTACTTCCGCCGCGACACGCATCCCGTCTGTGACGATATTGTCCAGCACGCCTCTGAGACCGCGTCCAGCTCCCGCACCTTGTTGGTTGTTTCCGCCGGCGCCGCCGCCGAAGAAGCCGATGTTAGAGAAGGTGCTTCCTAGACCGCCGACGCCGTAGGATGACGAACCGGCGTTGGAAGAGTTGCCGCTGGACATGTTGATGCCCTCGACGAGGTGGAACGAGCACGGGAAGGAGGACTCGAAGAATTGTTCGAGGAGCTCGTCGGCTAGGACGACCATGCGGAAGGTGGGCAGGGTGATGTGCAAGGGATTGTTGGGGTCTAGGGCGATGTTGGCCTTTTCCGACTGTTGGCGCGAGACGCGGCGGCGGTGGTCCTCGTCGTTGTTGGAGATGGAGGAGGGGGCCGTGGACGGGTCGAGGTGCAGCGAGGAGGGCGGTTGCAGGCTCGACGTGGCGGTGTCGGACTCGCGCTTGGCTGGGCGGGGGCTGGCGGTTGGGGAGTCCATGGCTAGGAGATCGTCGTCGTTCTCTTCGTCGAAGTCGTCGTCATCGTCGCCGATGGCAAAGGCATCCGGGTCTGCCAGCCCTTGGGCGGCATCGTCATCATCAATGGCGATCAGGTTGTCTTCCTGACGGGACGCCGTTTGCTGTTGTGCCGGTTGCTGGCTGTTTTGGTTATTGGGATGGTCTGGGTCTGCGTACTCGAAGCATCTCCTGATAAATGCACTGACGCTCCCGAGGAATCTCTCGTTAATAGACTGATCGGGCACATCATTTCCAGGGGTCACCATGCCCTCAGTCATCATCCCGTTAGGTGCTGTCGCACGATCCAGTGCACCCTCCAATCCCCGACGTGACAGGAAGAGCAAAGCCTCGGACATGCGCAATATGCCTTCCCGATCAACCTTGCCGTCCCCATCATCGTCATGCAGTTCAAAGAAGTAGTTAATCGTTCCCATGATATCCCGCTTTCCTTTGATGCGAGCCAGGCCGGTAACAACGTTTTGGAGGGTGAGCGCGGAACTGGAATCGAAGTCCCATTTCCTGAACAACCTCCGGAGGAACTCGTGGTCTGCTGGTTCAGGACCATTGCCCCAAGGAGACATAGATGACTCGTTCTTCCGGAAGCTGTTGTAGAAACCTCCCCCGTTGCTAGAACCGGTGTCACGGCGAGACTGAGTGGGGGAATCCGAAACAGCCCACTTGGCGATACCCGCGAGGAACTCTCTGAAGGCATCGTAATCCATCAGGCTCGTGCTCGGACCCAACCCAACTCGCCCCTTTTCGACATTCCCCTCGTCCACCATTTGGCCGATTCTCGATATCCGGTTGCTCTTGGCTCTCCTCGCCTCTTCCTGTTTGATAATAAGATCCCGTTGCTGCCTCTCGTACAACACGCCATAAAACCTATCATATACCGCGCCGAGCTCATCGGTGCTCAGAAGCTTGCTCTCCGGCCCCAGGTTCCGGATGGCCGTCCGCTTGGCAAAGCTCTCAATGTTGTTCAGCACAGTGTCCTTGTTCTTTAGGCGGAGCTCCGTGATCGTGCTGTGCGTGATACCAGAGAACTCCTTGAATGCTACCACCATCAACTCCTGAAACCTGGTAACAGCTCTCAGCTTCGGATTTTCCGACTTGGGGTGTGCCGATTCATCCAACCGAGCAAAATAATTCTTTAATACCGAGATGAAGGCACCGTCATCAGTGGCATCCAGTAGCTCCTCGCCGTTTATTCTTAGAATAGCCAAGCCAACCTGGAACAGGACCTTGGGGCCTTCGACGAAGAAGACATCCAAGACTCTGAAGGCGAAGACCAAGGGCATAGAGTTGATGTACAGTGACAGAAACCACGGCAGAGATACCACCGAAAGCTGCACGTCGCATTTCACCAGGTGTTCCCACAGGATCGGCATGGTCCTCTCCACAAGGGATTCGAACACCTTCTGATCCAGGAGGGTACCATACATGGTGGTGGAGTAGTACCCGGGAACCAGCCGGTCACAGAGAGTTGACAAGAGGAAGAATGCCTGAGCTTCGGACATGTAGATAAGCAGCGCGGCCACGACGATGTTCATGGCCTGGCAATAACCAACGTCGGTGTTGACCCAGCTGTAAGCGGTAAGCACCCGGCGCAACCGGCCGATACCCTCCTCGCTCTGGAACCCCGGGTACTCCGGAAGACTTCGGTTGAGATCCTTTTCGATTTCGTCGATGGCCAGCGATTCTTTCCCCGAGTGCTTGGCGAGCGTATCGGCATACAACGTCGGGTTCTCTAATCGCAGATAGACGGAGCCTGATGTCAGCTCCCAGATTTCGCCCCTCAGCCTGTTTGGCAGGCCGACTCTGATGAGCTTGTGGAAGGTGGGTTGGCGGATTAAGGTCACGTTCCGGCCGTTATCTCGAAGGTATTCGGCCCACAGGCGCATCTTTGCCCGGTCTCGCAGTTTCTTGGGGTCGCCAGGGTATCGGAAGATCATGCCGAGCCCCGCGTCGGGCGGGCTGGCGCTCTTCTGCTCCTCAGGCCGGAGCAGGTATTCCGAGTAGCACTCGCCGATGACCTTCTTGAGTTTGCCGACATTCCCCACGGCCGCACGGAGCCCTTTCTTGAGACCATCACAGAAGCGCTCGCATGCTACCCGTGTGCCAGCAAGCTGGATGGTTATCCGTTGTTCCCTCACCTCTTTCCTATCCTTGTTCTCCTTGGGGGCATCCTGGCTGATTCCGTTCCATGTTGTTATCGCGAGAGCAAACTGTTATCGTCCCATGTCAGCACTGGTCCAACTACCCTTGTTTGCTGTCTCCGTGAAGGGATGATATCCTACCTGGAAGTTCTGGCTGTGAAGGCGCTCTACCCTACGGATAGAGCTTAGCGGGAAAGTAAACCCATTACCACTGGGTCCTCCGCCATGAGTCTGGCCGGTAAATGCCGAAGAGGTCGAGGTGCTGGCTGACTGCAGGAAACTCGAAGGCGTGGTAGAGAAGCAGAGGTAGGCCTCGGAAAGGTGCAATTTCCCGGCGTAGTGGAAGCCCCTATCTTGGTCCTTGCCGCCCTGTGTCACGTTCGAAGGAGGGATGGTGAGCTCGGCTGTGATCTCGTAGAGCGGGTGTTGGGAGTCGGGCAGCCGAAATTGGCTCTGGAAGAGGGAGGCCTTGGACGGGTTCTTGTCGGAATCGGTCAGGTTCAGGCCCTGGGTCGGATCGAGCAACTGTTGTGCCTTTTGCACAAAGCTCGATAGGTTCAACATTGCTGCCGTGGTTGTGCGAGCTCACGCTCCTGCCATCAAGAGGCCCCGAGGCAACTGTGTGTGTGTATGCGGTTGTAGATGATGGTATCGAGCGGCGGGCAGCGGAACGATTGGCGGGCTGATGACGGTCGATCGGAAGCTCAGCTTGGCGGCATCGCCCGGCAACCACTTGTTGCTCTTGCAGTGTATGGTTGGGGAGCCTCGGTGTAGACGCCGATTAGAAGCGAGGGATAGTAGGATGTTTCGGTATATATGGTTGAAGCAATGGCAACTCGGATGGGTTGTGTAGAGTGGTGGCGGTGGTGGTTGTTGGTTGACCTTCCGGCTGCTCCGTTCTTTATGGTATTTGGCCGAGCACTATACCGTAGTCGCCGGCAGTCTTTGTGATGTTCGCCGTGACTTGGGTGATCTGTATTATATTAAGTGGTGCCAGTCGGGTGAAGGTGTTGTCGAATGGGCTACGACGACTGGTGCTGTAGTGGTCTGTGTGCAGGTGATGTCGGGTTTGCGGCTCGGGCAGTGGTAAGTGGGATGGAAGGCATGGAGATTGAAGCGATGGAGGTTCCCGTCCTCGTCCATTTGTTTGGAGTAGGTATTTCACCCCAGTGTGGGGACCTGTCCGCCCTGTGTTTCAATGATGCAGCCCAGCTGACCCGTGCGGGCCAACAGGAACCGCTTCGCAGCGGCGGCAGCGGTGGCAGCTTCCTAGCCTTCTAAGTACCGACGCAGCACAGGGCACCCCTTACCTGAACAAAAGGTTCCTGGCGTTAGCGCATTGCTGGAGATTCCCTTCAACTTTCCATCCGTCCTCCTGATCCGCCTTCATCATAGCCAATGTATCCTACTTTTATTGCTTCAATAATCAACGAGCGGCGGAATTGAAACATCATGTTCATTCCTCTGTTAAGACCTTACTCATTCAAACGTATTCATCCTTCCTATACTAACTATGTGTAACGTTCATCGTACCTCTGCCCTCTCGCAACGTCAAGTGTCTACCTAGAGCTCTAACTCTCTCTGAGGTGCTAGGTAGGGGGGATATAAGATCATAAAAAGCATCAAACAGATAAACCCGCGACGCCGTTCCAGTACCGTCCTGTAATAACTCCGTTTCCCGCCTCTTTCCATTTCAGTCGCTTCTCATTCTCGAGAAGGACGAAAGAGCAATGATATGAAAATCCCGATAAACAAAGCTAAAATCATAACCATGGTTTCCCTGTGCTGTTGCCCTCGAGCGAGGAACAACTTGACACATCGAAGACGAGCCTACTTGGAACGTCAAGCATACCCGTCTCCTCAGTGTCAAAAGCACGACGAAACACCGGAGTGACTTCGACCCGTCACACCATATATCCCATCTCACCCATCACACCCGATATTCCTCTTCCCATTGAGCCGATAGCCCCCCTCGAAATCTCCTCACCAAAAACCGCTTGAGACCCAAAATACTTGGGCGCTTGAACCCCTTCCCGCAGACAACCGAGGCCCTTTCACTAAAAGTCCTCAAAATACTTTTCGTACTTCGCAAACATCTCATCCGTATACGCCTCGTTGTTGACGTCCTGCTCGGGATACACATCGAAGCACGAAGCATCGCCGGGGTGGCTTAGGTGAGGGATGATGGGACCCTTGTGGCGTTTTTGCTCCACGGCCTCCCAGTCGACGCCCTTGAACCATGGGTGCGCCTTCACTCTTGCCGCGCCACCGCTCATGTTGCCGAGTCGCATGGACCGGTCGACTGTGCAGAAGGACCGGATGATGTCCTTGGCCTCTTCGCTGATTGCTGGTGTGGCGGGGAATAGGACCGGCTTTTCTACGATTCTGGCTTGGGTGTTAGTGACTCAAACGTGACCATCTCTGCGGATCAGGACGGTATGAACTTACTGTCTGTAAATCTCTAGGGGATTGTTGTGGTAAAACGGGGGATAGCCCGTCAGGAATTCGTATATCAGGATCCCCAACGCCCACCAGTCCACCGCTGTCGTGTGGCCCTTGTTCTGGATGACCTCAGGCGCCAGGTACTCTGGAGTGCCACAAAGGGTGTAGGTCTCGACCGGGTGCTCATCGTCCTTGTACCCCATCCGCTTGGCAAAACCAAAGTCGACCAGCTTGATGTGCCCGTCCGCGTCCAACAGCACATTCTCTGGCTTCATATCCCGGTAAGCTATTCCGCCCTGCTTTTCGTGGAGGTACTCGAGCACGAGCACGATCTCGGCCGCGTAGAAGCGGGCCATCTCCTCGTCGAACCGTCGGTGTTTGCGCAGGTATGTGAACAGCTCTCCGCCGGGAATGTAGTCGAGCAAAAGGTAGAGGAAGTCGCGGTCGGCAAAGGAGGCTTGGAGACTGGTGATGAACGGGTGGCCTGTTACATCCTTGAGGATCTGTCGCTCGTGGCGCACATGGTCGATCTGTTTTAGTCTGATCACTGTAACTGTGTGTTAGTGACCCCGACTCCCGGGTTTCTCTGTTTTGCGGCGCAAGCGAAACTAACCTTCCGTCTTTCTTAGAATCTTCAATGCGTAAACCTTTTGACGGTCAATATCGGTGCCATTGGCTGGTCGGACGAGCACCACACGAGCAAAGGTGCCTATCGACCGTTTATAAGTGGTTAGCAACACAGTCCGCTGGAAGTCTTGAGTCTTTCAACCGTACCAGTTCCTAATGTCCTTATGCGATGAAAGTCGCTTAGCTGGGGCTTGCGCGTAGCCATCTCGAACCCACCACCAGTATTATTCTGTTGCGTTTGTGATGGGTCATTTCGGCGTTGATGGTTCTGGTAAGAGTTGTGCTGCCAAAGCATGCAGGGATGAAGCTGCGGTTGCGATTGCGCCTGCTGCTGTTGTTGGCGCTGCTGGGCTGCTGCAAGTAACCCCTTTGCCTGCAGTGGATGTAGCCCACCGCCAAATGAGTGTGACGAGGCGACGGTGGCCGCCATGTTGGATCCGGACCAGTGAGTTACTCGGAAAGCAGCAGGTAGGTTTCGGTCTTTCGATTCGTCCGAGAAGGGGTGTTCGTGGGTATCGACAAGAGTCCCTATGGTGACTGGATTTGAGGAGGAACGTGGAGGTGGAAAGACAAGGCGGGGGGTAAAGTTTAAAGTGCCGTGGCCAAGTTGCTGTTCCGCTCGTGATCGATGTTTCCCGAGATATCAAGCCGCCCAGATTATGCGAGTCTGACAGGGGCGGAAGAAGGGCCGAAGGGAAAAATCCAGAACCGTTCAAGAGGGCGGGTCAGACGAAGTCCAGACGGGATATACAGCAAAAAAGAGGTGTGTGTAGTTGGCGAACAGTGTTAGGGGTTAATGTTATCGAGCGCGGTGTCTAGACTATGTCTATGTGCGTGTCGAGATGGTATTGTTGTGGGCCACACGCTAGTCAATGGCAGATCGTTGCAGTGCTGTGCTGGAGCGCAAAGTGAAGAGTTGGGGGCAGAGTTTAAAGAACGGGAGAAGACGTTGTGGTAGGTATCGCGGGGTTTTGGACAAGATAAGTTGTTTCTCGGGTAGAGGTCGGGTCCCATCCGGCCCAGCGGGAGGCCAGTGACGAAGAGCAATAGAGAAAACGGAAGCTGGGAACATAATCGCGGGACTAAAAGCAGGCATGAATTAAGGCCCGGCATGGGTATTGAATGAACGGTGTGAACAGACAACGCTCGCGATCCATTGCTTCACTTGGATATCCCATCTCGACATCGAACCTAATGCCTACCTTAGCGTACCTTATCCCCGCCAAACAGGTCCAACCAGTCTCCCAGTGGATGGAAGAGAACCGAGTTCCCGACGGACTCCTCACTGTCCGCCAGGCACTCTGCAGTGATTCACGCGCTTCGCAGTGGGGGGGATTGGGGGATGAGACCTGGGGGCGTGGGCATTGTGGGCAGTGTGGGCTTTGTGTGGGCTTTGTGTGGGAACGAGGGCGGCGGTAAGATGACGTTGGTTTCTGCAGACCCCAGTTCCTGCGCGACATCTCGTGGACCTGGATTGTGGGAGAGGCACGGTTTCTGGACAAGACGGACCGACCAGCGGCGAATCGCAGCGAATCAGCTCTTTTACAATTCCGAGACGGGACCCGGAACTTGACGAAGTGTTTCCCTTTTCTGTCCTGTGAGGTGTTTTCTTTTCTTGTTACAAGAGGTTACAGAGCGGGAGAGTTTTGAGTGAGAAACAGAGTGGACAGGTTTCGATCCTTGACGGTACACTGAGCGCTCGGAGACCAGTCAGGAAACACAGACCTCAACTAGGCTCTATCACCAACTTCCAGTTTCATGCTAGCTACAGGCTACATCGTGAAGGATCGGTTCAGGGCAGTTTCAATCTAGGAAAGAACCGGTTCGACGGTAAAGGGATTCTCTGCCCAGGACCCTCCGCCAGCGTCTAAAACAGCCGCACGACCCGGTTTTAATCGTAATTGCGGGGTTTCTCACCGCAGGCAGTCCGGGGTCCAAAGGATCCAAAGGAGGAGCCACAAGGAAACCTTCAAGAGGTGCGTCAGTGTACAGAAGGATACAGGGGATGTCAATGTCCATCTCGCAGCACCATCTCTTGGACAATGTCGTCGTCTAAACATACCCAAACGCACTCTGTCATCCCCAAAGTACTACCGTTGAACACAGCAGAAAGGGACGGGACAAAATGCGAAGAACCGAAAATATGAATTTAACGGCGCCTGACGAACGAGTAGGTACATTGGAGTGGCGGCTGCCATTCATGTTCCTGTTCGCTAGACAAGCCGCCCAAACGCCTGTGACCTGTATGTACCTTTCCTTCCCGCCCGTGCCTGCCTTAGACTTTCCGTCCGAAGGTCCCATGCTTCCACTTCTGCCATGTGCTTCATGACTGGAGTGGGAAAGGAACATCAAGCACCTGTCCTGCCCCTGAAACGCTGGTCGTTCCCGTCGTGTGACACATTCGTTGCCGCAGCTTTTGCGCCGAACGGATCTCCCTCCAGGGTCTTCTCCAGTTTCTCCTCAAACAATAGTTGCGGAGCTTACCTAAAACACCATGACATACATAGTACACACAGTAGGACGGCGGTGACTTGCCAAAACGGGAAATAACTTCGTGTTAAAGCACACTGAACTGTACAGTCCGAGGTAATTCAGTTTTGTGGTAGGTAAGCCTGTGATAATCCGTTGGCAATAATAAGCCGTCAATCTCCGATACTATCGAAAAAGAGTCTTCGGGGCTATCCGCCAAGTGCCAAGAACTTTTTGTATCCAACACCACAATCGAGGAACGGAAGCAAAAGATCGCGGTGTTATAAAAAGGTCACCAGAAGAAGACAGTCAAGTTTCTTGGCATCTCGTGCTTTAATAGAGTTCGTTCGTGCTCGTCCGGTGCTTTTCCCACTCGTGGTACTTAGTGTTCCAGAACCTCCACAACATCGATCAAGGGGAACCAAAGCCAAAATTCCCCTTACCCACGATATCCGATGACCTCATGTGCCTCGTGTGGCGGGCTGGCGGCCGTGTTGAACGAAAGGGATGTTGTCCATGCGTGTGCATGTTCTGATACGAGGGCGCTGACTCGTTTGGGTTGCTCAGACCTCTCGTTTTTTTCCTTCGAAAATTTCCTGCTTTGGACATGGTGGGCTACGCTCGGATGGGAACTCGTTTGAAAGGAATATGTGTTCCGTATGCCTTCTAGGGTGATAATGGGCCGCTCGAACAGCAGGTAACAATGCTGCATAGTGATAACCAGAATAAGGGAGGCATACAAGCCTTGAAGCAGGGGAATCTACAATCTTGCAAGAATGAACCACCTCGATCCATCAAAACCCAACCCTCCTCAGACCTAAAAAGTGCATTGTAGGTATATCCTCCTATACCAATCAAACGATTAGGATGACCATATAGGTAGACGTAGACGTTCGCAACCATTCCCTACTCCATATCATATCCCGTATCCAAGAATTTGCAAACCCAAGAAACCGCCCATGCAACCAGAACATCCATCATAACCATCATCCAAACCTTCTCTACTACCAATCCCGTAAAAGCCACCAACTCCCAACACCCATAACCAACAACGCCACCAACACCAGCGCTCCCTCCTCGGTACTCCAAAAGAACGCCGTCCACCCCACCACCACCTCCTTCCTCCTGGCCGCCGCTCTCCTCTCCCAAGCATGCACGTCCACGGGCATGGGTATCGACACCCGGGGATCCTTTTTCCATTCTTCCAGTACCAGTTCGTCCTCACCCTCACCCTCCTCCGTGAGTAAAGGTACCCTCATCTCCTCCTCCCCCAAAACCGGCACCTTGGCCCTGAAGAATACCGGCCGGTGATCACTCGTTTCCACGACCGGCAGGGAATCGTACGCCTCCACTTCCACTTCCACCTTCTTTTTCCGCTGCTCTGCCTCTGCCTCTGCCTCTGGCTCTGTTGTAACCCAGGCCGGAACATCCAAATACAACACCCTATCACACCACCCCGGCCACCGATGGCTCGCAAACCGCCACGGCACCTCCGGGACCCCATTTACCTTGTTCCCCCTCTTCACACTCTCCTCATTGACCGCCTCCCCTTTGACAGGATGAACGTCGTATTTATACGTCGGACCAAAAGTTATCGGCGCCTCGGAAAGGCCGTGCATGGTCCGTCCGGCTTCGCGCTCCTGCGTGAGTTGGTCCCGCGGCAAGAAATTGGAGAAGTGGTTGGCGGAAGAAGGATCGAAGGAGGGGTAGGTGGCGAGGGGGGGAGGGGTGGTGGTGTTGATGCGGTAGTTGAGGTCGCCGGCTAGGAAGAGGTGGGAGGTTGGTTTGAAGATGGAGATGGATTGGAGCGTGGAGGTATGGTCTGGGTTGGTGTTGAGGAGGGGTTGGGCGTCGGAATCGCCGTCGTCGTCGTCGGCTGAGTTGCTGCTGTCCTGAGTACCTCTGGGCACAGGAGGAGCGGTATCCCCCGCTCCAGACCTATCCGGCGTCGACCGCGCTGCTCGGCTTTCGGATGGGAACTCGCCTTTGGGCAAAACCTCGCGCGGGTTGGCAAACGTCAGTCCTGACACGATGCTGCGCCAGTTGGCGTTGCGCTTCTTTAGGTTCCACTCCATGGCAGCCAGGTGTGTCGCCACAAAGGTGAGTTCCGTCGTCTTTGGTTCTTCTGTCGTCGTCGTCGCTATCGTGTTGTCCTCCCTGCCATCCACATCGCTCCAAGTAACCCGCAACCCTACCGCGCCTTTGTTGCCCATGTCGGCGGCGCCAAATCCGCACTCTGCTTCTTCGATCTGCTGGATCTTGGATGGGTCGCGGGCAAAGAGCAGGATGGCTGTCATCCCTACGTTCTTGGCCCGGACGAGCTTGTAAGGGTCACCACCACTGGCACCACTACCACTGGCACCATTACTGCTCGTCCTGTAGTCATCGGCCTCAAGTAGCTGCCCAGCCGCGAGGTTGAGTGCCTCGGCGTACCGAGCGTAGTACGGGTTCAAAAAGTAAGGGCCGATGAAGGAGTAAGCCAGCGGGGCTACTTCTTGCAGAGAGCTGGATATCAATGGTGAGCGAGAGCGTTCACGACACACCATCTTGGGTCAGATAAGGTAGGTAGTAGACTTACAAAACAACCAAATCTGGTAACGCATTCCCATTCCCCTTCCCGGCAGCACCTTGCCCCGACAGCGCCGCCTTCAAGTGCGCAGCCCAAACCGCGACATTGATGAGGTTATTTGCGCAGTTGAAAGTGAGGATGAAGAGGTCAATGGTTGAGGGCGTCATTGTCGCGATCGCGGAGACGGCTTCTTGCTTGTTGTTGGTGCTATTTGTGTGTTTGGCGTAATGCGCGTTTGTTGTTGGGCACCCCCGAGTGGGGAGAAAGCGAGCGAGAGGAACGCCCTAAATATATAGATATATGTATGTATGTATGATGGATCAATCGGATGCACTAGAAGTCTAGAACCGAGTCCTCCGGAGCACAATGTCTCGTGAGTAAATTGTACGTTTATATGTTGCGCACGGAAGGTTAAGCTTTTTGTCATATATCGGCTGTTCCAAAAGTTGTTGAGGTATCGTCAAGTGGGGTTCCGAGTGTGGCTTGGCTGGGACAAAATGTCTTGATTCCCCGAAGTGCCTTCAGTCAGATCCAACGATCCAATTGGCGGCACGAAATAGGGTACCAAGGCGTAGGTTTTTCGAGTAAGGCCTCCGGGTTCTTGAGTCGAAGTGTTGAGGTTTCTTGACTCTTGAAATGATACGGAAATGGATAGTTCCGGCGATGGTGTAGCTGAGCAAGAGCGCTTGACTTGGACATGGGAGTGCTGTGTGGAAGGTTGAAGCAGGCTAGAAAACAGAACTTGATCAATAAAATTACGAACAATGATTGCATTCGCGGCAGGTATATCCAAAAACTGCAACTATAAGAAGTGCTTCATCTTCTTTATATCCAACATTCTTCCATGTTCCCATCACTACGGTACACATGCGCTCATGCTATCGGATGGTAGGATCTGAAATATTGTGATTGGGCCAGAGGTGTGACGTAGGTAGTACGGCCTCTTTCAGACACCGCTGTTTTGCTTTTCTTGGGGCCAATTCGGCCAGCCCGCATACGCATGCCGGTAATCAAGGCTGAGCCATCAGTGGCTTCACCAGCACAACTAGGATATAATTCATAACCCCATTCGGACAGACAAGCAGTCTAGGTAACTGCAGAACAACACGGTAACTTGCTCATGGAGGCTATACGCACACAGGCACAACGTCGGCGACAGTCCAAAAGGGTTAAGATATGAAACCTGTATTAGGAGAACTAGCTTGTAATCTACGTTGCCCGAGCTCTTCCCACGTGGTGAATACCAGTCGTTTCCGTCTTGTCTCCATGATGTCAGCAAGTTCCCTGAAATATCTCAAGGTCAAAGCTCTCTCACGAAAGCAGCGCGGCTAAATGGTGCCCTTCTCCATATGCGTTGCTCGTAATGTTATCGGTTTGGGTACCAGGTCGTGAACGCATATCCGTCGTGTCGTTAGGGAGAGCCATTGCGCCAGCAGATGCGTCTAGGAAGCTTCGAACTGAGCTGAGAGGCTATCACTGCTTGCCCAACCTAGAGCCCCCAGCCGATCGAATTTGACAAGACCTCGCCGTGTCACTGGGCAGTAGCCGCGTCACGGAATCTCCATCGTCTAGGCAGAGACTTTGGCACATGGAAGCCATAGACCAATAACCACCCCGTGACCTGAACTCTGCTACATGATACCAAGCTAATACCAACTGACCAACGAGTGATGTATATGACTTTCGCAAAAAGGTGTAACGCTTCGTCCCCTAATGCCTCCCCACAAGCGAGACCCGATGCGAGAGAAATGACACACCAAAAGGAAATCGTGCATAACAGTAAATGAAAACAAAACAATGGGAAACAGGATGCCGACTGGGAAGATGCTTATTGTTATCTCGCAACGACATGACTCGAATGAGACTTTTGCCATGAATGACCCGTCTCGATCAAGCCGTATCTCGTGACCGCTGCTGCAATTCCGACGGCATTTTGAACCTCAGCCCGTAGAAAGGCCAAGGTCTCCAACTTCAGCACCCCGGAAATCCGAGATACTGGGCATGCCGTTCGTAAGGTCCCCGGTCAAACAGCAGCAAAGCAGCACCGACCGAGAATCGAGCTGCATAGCTGCCATGAACCGAAGAACCGTCCGAGCCATGAATAAGGGCAGTGAATGATAGAGATGTCGAAGAACGAAGAGAAGCAATCTGTCGCAAGTAATCCGTCTGGCTGGGTCGAGGAGATGCATCGGTCGTTGGTGCTGGCCAGGTACAGCCATCCGCTTCCACTCCATCCAGACTCTCGGGGACGTTGGTTGACGAGACGCGGGTGCAGGAATCAAACCATTTGACCGATGCGCAATCTGCTACTCCAACAACCCGCCGAAGATCTTGTTCCAAGTAGATACCATATGCGAGCATCCGCAGTCTCATTCCATAGGACGATACCTGCCGGCCACATGTCCGGAGCCAGCGCCTTGACCTTTAGCAGCCGAGCGCAGCCTATTATCGCAAACTGAACGTCAGCCATCATGTCAGCATTCTACCTCCGGCCAGCGTTATTGAGTACACCAAACTCGAAGGAAATAAGATTCCTTACTAGGAATGCTGGGCTAGGCTGGCAAACTCACATCCTGTCGCTACCGCCGACGGCACGGCTGGTCTCAGGTGTCTCGCCGGTCATAGGCTTCCTGGATCCGCTCCTCAGAGCCTGCTGAGGGTCCTTACGAGCAGCAGCCTGAGCCGCCTCCTTGGAGTCCGCGGGCTGGGGCTGGCTAGAGTTACCAGCAGCCTGCTGGATGGCCTGGGCGTTCTTCTGGTACTTGTAGACGGTCCAGTCAAAGACGTAATCGTACTGGAAGCCCTCGCGGACGAAGAGATCGCGGAAGATCTTGCGGAGATAGCTGTAATCGGGCTTGTCATCGAAGCGGAGCGAACGAGTGTAGTTGAGGTAGATGGCAAACTCGTTGGGGAAGCCGCGGCAAAGAACCTCGGTGGGAGTGGTCATCTTCTTCTCCATGATACGGTCGTACTTCTGCTTCTTGGTGGCAGCCTTAAGGCCCTGCCACGGGAGGGAGCCGCGGCAGAAGTAAAGCATGACGTAGCCAAGAGACTCCATGTCGTCACGGCGAGACTGCTCGACGCCGAGATGGGTGTTAATGGAGGCATAACGGGCAGTGCCAGTGAGGTTCTTGTTCTCTCTGTAAGGGATGTGGAAGTGAGTCTTGGGATCTCTGTACTTCTTGGCAAGACCGAAATCGATCACGTTGACCTGGTTGCCACGCTTGCCAATTCCCATAAGAAAGTTGTCGGGCTTGATGTCGCGGTGAATGAACGACTTGGCGTGGATGTACTCGATGCGGGAGATGAGCTGATCAGCAAGGAGCAAGACAGTCTTCAAAGAGAACTTGCGGTTGCAGAAGTTGAACAGATCCTCCAAGCTGGGGCCAAGAAGATCGAGGACCATGGCGTTATAGTCACACTCGGTGCCGAACCAGCGGACGAAGGGGATGCCGACGCCACCGGCGAGAGACTTGTAGACGCGGGCCTCATATTCAAGCTGGGGATGCTTGGCCTTGACACTCTCGAGCTTGATGGCAATCTCTTCACCGGAGATGATGTTGGTGCCGAGGTAAATATCGCCGAAAGAGCCAGAGCCGATCTTGCGACCGATCCGATACTTGTTACCGACGCGGAGATCCTAGCCTTTCAGTTAGCAAGATGCAACGTTCAGCGTTCGAGGGATATTGACGGATAGGGCGTACCATGGTAGTCATGTTTGCGGTTTATTAGGGAGAAAGACGGATCCCAGAAGATCAGTAACTATACCCGATGGAAAGGAGTCAGTAAAAGAGTCACTAAGGCACGCATACGTAATCATGTCGAATGCTGAGCTGTCGAGAAAGGTCGGTGTCGCCCCAGGTGTTTCTGCGGGAGTCCATGCCCGGCTCGGCCACGGTAGGTTGTTCAACTGCTCCGAGAGGTGGCCTATTTGGCAATGATGACGGCAACATTTCCAGGGACCTCAGCAGACACGTCCACATCGTGCATCGCCCTGGAAGGGCGTCTGGACGGGATGGTTGGCAATGGCAACACTGCCCATCAGGGCCATGTCGACACGGACGCGTCCAACAATGAATGGCCTTGGCGACGCCGACATTGTTGGTGAGGATTATGGTAATGTCGTTCCCGTTACCATGCCAAGCAGGTTGTCGAAGCTATTGAGCAGCCTATCAAGTCGGTGTCGTTGACTGATGGCGAAGGTGTGCATCCAGGTAGATGGTGGGCAAAGGCGGCCAGCAAGGGCAGATTGTTGGCGAGCGAGCCAACAATCAGCTCACCGATACATGGCGGCAGCTGAGTGGAACCACCACAATGCGTGCAGCACCTCCCTCGCTCGTTGGGGACGACGACCCGTCTGACGGAGATGATGATAGAATTTTTGACTCACTCTTCGGCGGGATGTGTTCTCCTTTTGTAGACGGTCGTTGCAGACCGGATGCTGGGCTAGAGGGTCGTCGGGACCAGGCTGGTAATAATTGATCGAGAGGGGCGTGCGTGCCGAAGAAGGCAGCTTAGTGATGTTGGAGCGTCGGGGGGCGACTGAAATGCAGCTCAATCTGTACGGGTATGTGTTAAAATGCAGTCGAGACGAAGCGTGCAGCAGCAAGATAATGGGCACGGGCTTGGTGTTGATGTATGGTGCAGCATGCGGGAAAAAAAAAGAGATTGTTTTGGTGGTTGGGGTAAGTTCTCTTACCGTCGTCGTCGGCGCCGGGGATTTTAGGTCGTCGGTGGTGAGACTGGGGGCGAGGGAAAGGACGATGTGAAGAGGGAAACGAGACAGCGAGAAGGGAGGAGGAGGCAGTTTGGTGACTGGGACCGACTGGGACTTCTGGGCAGCCGACCGACCTGGGGACTGGGGACTGGTGGCAGGATTTGAGACGCCAACGCCAAGTGCCAGCCAGGCTCGCCAGGTCGACCAGGCCCAGCCAGCGCGCGCTGGTGGGCTTGTTCTTGGCGGCATCCAGCTGGCGAACTGAAGTGAAGGAGCCGTGATCCACCGCCATCCACAGTGCCACAATGCGGGCCAAGCAATGAGCTGGACACAGTGCAAGGCGAGTGAGATGGCGAAAAATGACTGGAGCACCGTCGGACAGGCAAGGGCCAGGCGTCCCAGGCCTGCCAGGGCATTGGGCGGACGAGGGCGGAGTTCCATGTCGCTGGCTTCTGGGCGCGCCCTTTTCCTTTGGCAACGTCCAACTGTCATCCAAAGATGGAAGGTCTCAGAATGCAGGCTTGCCTTTCAAACACTGCAAATAAAATCTGCTGATTTGCAGTTCCCCAACGAGGCAAGAAGCCGGAAACACACGGCAGGATGGACTGCGGGCAGGCAGTGGGAAACGAACACTACCTATCTGGCAACCTAAGGCAAACGTGCTGCGGTACGGTAAGGCAATGCGGGCAGGACCACACCGCGTCTACGAGGGAAGGCACACAACACATGCCTCCCATTTTACGCCCTTTCGAACAGGAAGTGAAGACTCAGTTTTTCCCTTTGTTAGGCAGGAACTGGACGAGGCCCAATGGCCAATGCAGTGCCAAAGTGCCTGCCTGCTCTCACTGTGCTGAGAGTGTTAATGTTTGCCCGGCTTCCGAGAATTGAGCCATTCTGACTGGTAGCCCCTCACCTCCAATACGTACACCCAATACACCATGCACAACCACGAATCCGTTACAACAGCAATTGCGAGCAGAACCTCACGAATGCGACATATCCCATCCGATATCAGCCTCGGAGAAAAATGGCACTTTGATTAAATCAGGTGCCGTCTGGCTACTCAGTACTCTGTGAGACCCGACGAAAAGGGGAGCAGTGTCCCGCTTTGCCCCGCCTCGCAACTGCATCATTGTGATGCTTCAGAGAGACTATACAAAAGACGAAATGCATGAGCCCTCTTCCAGTGTCTCCCAAAAGATCAGACGAAGGGATCAAAACACAAGCAAGTGGACTGTTCGGTGTACGCCAGGACCCCTATAATCACAGTCGTTTGCTGATACGTACCAGTAGAGTTGGGCAAACTGGGATATCACAAGTCAAAGCAACCAACATGGCCCTACCCGGTGGAACAAACCTCTCGGTGACTGGCGTCCCGACAGCTTGGAACATACCGAACAAAAGCGCCCTTCCTATCTTCTCTCGTTCCGTGCTAGATATGCAAAGAACCTACGTCAAATACTGGCAGCCAGAGGAGAGCCTATCAAAGCGGTCATGACAAGCCATATCATCGGTTGTTGACGGGCGCTTACGCAGCACACAGAAGCCGTAGAACCTGCGGAGAAGCAGCAACACCGAAAACTGTCAATATCAAATCTCAAAACCCGCTGCCGAAGATCACGGGTCTGGTGGCTCTGGTGGACCAAAAATGGCGCACTGTGTCGTATATTTAGAGGACGTTAGGCGCGGCTGAGAGGCCAAGCAAGCCCTCCATGTCAGCGTCTCACTGTCTTCGATCCCCGAATCTCCGGTGGAATACGTTCAAATGGGCAGAGCATTCCTCACATCCCCATCTATCACAGCCGGGAAAGGTTGACAAATATCCTTCCCTTGCTCATGTTCGGTCTGCCGCGCTAGAGGTACCTGGTCGTTTCCAAGACAGTGCCCGGAATTTCAACTCCTCCCCTGGCCTTGCAGAGACTATCTTCCAACTACAAGGCGGTGTCGGAGAAAATCCTGTTCAACAAGCTCTTCCTACATCATCCCAGATCGCAGCCTTTGAAATATCCTCAGCTTAGGAACTCTCCATCTGAAGCTGTCAGAAGCTATCAAGAACCTCATATGAAACTTCTCCGTTAGCCGTCAAGTTACGGATCGGAATACATCCGAGGCAAAATGGAGCCGGCCTTAGGTCCGTTGGTGGTTCGCGTCCGCTTTGCTGCCCAAAACGCGACCCAAGGGGAAGACAAGGGTGGCATCGACTTCGCGTGGCTCGATCTTTGAAAGCGGCAAACACATGCCATGATCCCTGCGCATAGCAATGCCCAGATTACGAAAAGTGTCAGTATCAAACGACATGCCAGTTGGAGGGGCGTTGATTTTCGAACTTTTTTTATGAAATATCCAGAATGAGCGCCGTCAAAGTCGCTACACCGCCTTGACCGCCAACTGCAACAGCAATCCATTACCGACCCTTACCCATGCCTGCCATGCTATCCAAGGCGTTAAATCGGTAGTGTACAGACGGATACGGAAACGGCAAGAGACAAAGGAAGAACATGCGCGCGATTATGGAAGCACACCAGTTCAAATGTTTCACCGACACCTTCTAGATCTCTCTTGTCTTGGTATGAAAAACTACTTCCCAACGGTTGTATGTGTCGGGAGATGGCCCAGAACCTCCACAATCTCGGAGATCGCCAGTTCCAGGTTGCCCGGTTGCACTTTTAGGACACACTTCCTCTCCAGGAACATACCCGTGGAGATAGTGTGACGGCGCTGGCAGACTGGGTCTGGGCGCCATGTACGAGGTGGTTTATGAGGCTGTTGGAATGAGGTATATGGAGGTTCTAGGCATAGTATAGACTAGAGGATGCGAGCCATTCAATTGGCTATGCCAAGACTAGTTATAGGGTAGACCCTTGTACGTATAGGGGTTTTGTCTTGTAGGTGAAGGGGATACGAGTAAAGGGATTGGCTGTTAGCGACCTATATATAGGTCTTACTGTCGCTTATACGACTAGGGTATTTATTTAAGTTTGTACGCTTATACTTAATTCTCTTCCTTTTTTCTTTTCCCTATTTAAAATCTTCTATTATAAATAGAATTTTAATTTTGCCTTTGATTTACCTATATTATGCCCTTATATTATTTTAAATCAACCCAATAATTATTTGGGAAGGTTAAATCCTAAATTAAAAACGAAATTAGAAAAATCTATTACGAAAATTCAAAGTACCGAATATTTATAATAATAATACAATAATACTATTACACTAAATATATAATAACGCTAGTAACTACAAGGGTACTAAATAGATTAAAAACTGCGATAACGATTATTATAATAAGGATATTTTTAATAACGATTGTAATAATATTTTCTTCAGAGAGGAGGGCGGAGATAGCAATAGAGAAGGAGGCTTTAATTTTTTAAATCCCGACCTTAAGAAAAAGGAGAATACAATTATAAAACCGAAATTTAAAAAGAAGGTTACTATTAATAATAAGCGTAAATTTATTAACCCTATTATTAAAAATAACGCGTATAAGGCCGTACGATTTAATAAGGAGCGTTATAATAGTTTTTATTTAAATAAGGAACGCTCCCGTAGTAAATTTACGATCCTTCGTAAAAAATCCCTATATTATATATACTATCCATTAAAAGTATCCGATAAGGTACTAGTTAATATGGTTACTAATACGAAAAAAAAGGACGAAGAGTCCATATTATTTTTTAATTTATTTAATTAATATATTATAACGGCGGTCGAAAATACTAAAACTTTCGACGTTCGCTTAATTAGGTATAAGGTTATTAACGATTTAAAATAGAAAATAGAAAAATTCGTTAAATTATTTATTTGCGATTCTATCCCTAATATTCTTTTTTAAATATTATTCCCTTCGAACCTCCCGTTTTCTAACTACTTAATTAAGAAAATATTTACTAAATTATACCGTAGAGACCCCTAGGTTATATGTTTTAAAAATTTAAATTATAATTTATTGTAAATATAATATAGAAGGAGTAGGTATTAGAATTTTATTACTTCGTTTCCTATTTGAACGTTAAATTTAAAATTATTTACGATTAGGTCCCTGCTTTAGTCGATTATTATAATGCTATTACCCTTATTATAATCTAATAATTCAAAGATTCCCTTATAGAGAAGGAAGATACTATTAAAAAATTAAAAAAAAAAATTATTATTAATTTAAATATCGGTAAAGGAGTAATTACGAATACAGGAAAGGTTAAAGAAATAATACTTCTTAATATTGAAAAGGATGCTAGCGAAGTTCCTTTTAAAATTTCCGCCCGCTTTTCGACTTTACCCTTCGAAATTAACTTTAATAATAGAGAATATTCTAATTCCTACTACTATAATATTAAATAAACCGACCCTGCTAAGTATTATAATTAAAATAAGGAAGATAATATTCCCTTCGAGGTTTAGTATAATTTAATTTAAAATAAATTCGAAATTAATATTAATTACTATCTAACCGATTATAATAAATTTTTATATATTAAAAATTACTTAACCAGTTACGCTTACCATAATTTAATACTATACTTACGCGAAATTTACTCAGATTAAATTAAAACCTAATTCAATTTAATAATTCATTTAGAGTATTAATACTATAACCCTAATTAAGAAGAAAACGAGCTCTAGAATCTTATTGAATTAAAAATTAAAAATAATAATAATTTCGACTTTTTTTAAAAATAAATTTATTTAGATATTTAACGAATATTAACGTTTTAAGACCGAATAGAAGTACGAACTATTTTAATACCTTCTAATTAAATATAATAAATAAATAAGTACGAAATATTGCGACTTTTCTATTTTTTATAAATTTTATTATATAAATTGCTCTAATTTTAAATGAATATTAAAGACTATCGCCGACGAAAATAAAGTTATTTCCAAAAGTAATAAAAATAATAATTTTCATAGAAATAATAAGGGCTCTAATTTTATTCCTAAGCTTACTAGTAGAGGAGGCGGAAGCGCCGCTCGTTAAAGTAGTAACTATAAAGAAATTATTTGATTATTCAATAAGGGTAAATACTTTTTCTATAAAGAGAAGAGTTATATTAAATATAATTATCCTAAGAAAGAACGTTTCGACCGCGAACGCCGCGATTGTATTATTGCTATCGTCGATTGTTATTTAATTTATAAGAACGGAAGCAACTAAGTAATTCCAATTACCCCGGCCGTTCTAATTGCTAATAAACCGGGAAATTAATTACTTTAAATAAATTAGATTCTTTCCTAAGGGAAGTATCGGTTATAAAGTAATAGAAAAAGGAAAGGAAGGATTTAATTTAATACCCTTTCTAGGAGTAAAACCCTTATTTATTTAACATACTTTAATTAATAATAGAATATCTATCTATATTGAATACTTTAATTAATATAAAAATAAATAAATATTTATTTATTAATACCGCCTTTACTAAGAGACTAAAAAAACGATTATTAATAGAATATACGAGCAACTTTCTAATTCGAGGAATTAACGATTACTAAGAGTATTAAAAAAGTTATTAAAACCGCTTAAAAGATTTAAAACCGAACTATACTACCCGATTACTTTATTATAGTTAATATGGTGTACAATATTATTATCAGCTGGAAATAGCTTAACTTTTATAATATTTAAATAAATTATACTAATTAGCGTTTACTCTTCCCCTTAGAATAAAAACCGGACCCAGACTAATTAAAGCATTTCGAAATCTAAAATTTACCGACTTCGTTCAACCCTATTTATTAAAAAGATTTAAAATATTATAACGTACTAATAATTCGAAAAGTTAAATAACGAATAAATGGAAAAAATAGCAGCCGAACAGCTATTGGCTTTATAAATAATTATATCTTAATTAAGCTTATCCTCGACGGATAATTATTCTTTAATTACTACAAAAAGAAAGAAGTCGATTTTAAAGCTTAAAATTAATATCGTTACGAAGTTCGATAATATTAGAAGGATATTAAAAAATAAATTTTAAAGTTAGGAGCTACTTCGGATTTTAAACCTAAGAAAGTTTTTATTACGCCCGCCGATTTTTAATATACCCGCGACGACGCCGGCGAACTCGGATATACCCGACTCCGCTATCTTTTTTAAAACCCTATTACAATTTTTAAAAAAATTAATTTATTGAATAAAATAGAACGTAATTTAATTAATTTTACCTACCTTATAATACTATTTCTAGAATCCGAATCCCGACCCCGTTATTAAAAATAACCCGCCGAAGGAAAATAAAGATCGGATACCTAAAATATATATTAATTAAAATACAATAGTACGGGTTAATATAAATACCGCCCTGCCTAAATATATATATTAAATAGGGACCTCTTTAAATAATTCATTAAGAAGGAAAACCGAATTACTTATTCTATAAGTATTTTCGAAATCGACCGGTTTATATAATAGAAACGAATTATCGACAACCCTACTTAAAAACCGCTCCTTCGTAACGAAATTAAGATTATTAATAAATACGATTCCAATATATTGCCCGAATATTAGCCGTATAATTACAAAATCAAATTCGACAAAGGCTACCAACCCGAAGAGTTCAGTTATAGCCCACTCTACAAAATATCCTTTAACGAATTAAAAACTATAAAGAAGTACATTCTACAAAATTTATCGAAAGGATTTATTAAAGCGAATTCATCCCTATAGGCAATATTAATACTATTTATTAAAAAGGCTAATAGCAATCTCCGCTTTTACGTAGACTATTAGAAATTTAACGCTATTATTTGAAAAGACCGCTACTTATTACCCTTAATTGAAAAAACCCTCGCTAAAGTAGTTAAAGCGTAATAATTTACGAAAATCAATATTTGACAAGCGTTTTACTACATCCGTATAAAATTAGAAGACGAGGAACTAACTACTTTCCGTATAGGTATAGGAGCTTTTAAATATAAAATACTACCCTTTAACCTTACTAAAGGCCCCGCTAGCTTCTAGAGTTTTATTAACTCCGTATTAAACGAATATTTAAACGATTTCTATACGGCCTATATT